ACATTTCCGGTTCTTTAAAATCCGGAACTAGTACAATTTGCGAAAGATTTGCCCAGAAGAACATTCACGAAGCCCTATCAAAATGTGCTGTGAACTATGCATCTAGCCCAAGTTCTGGTTTTAGCCGAGAACCGGAACTAAGCACCACGCCCTTAGGCGAGGCAATGAGGGGTTCAGGGTCGCATCCAGAGTCGCGGCGCAGGCGGCAAATGATGTGTACAGTCCCAGGCGGGCGGTGCGCGTGATACTGGGCTGGAATCCGAGTCAAGGATCGAGGGTCCTTGCTAGGCCCATCTGTTTTTCTTTTGCGACGAAATCTGGGTTTCACTCGCATTACGTATGGTTCTGCTTGTGCCCGTACGCACATCAAGGCACATGAGGTGATGTGTCTCGTCATTACCTAGGGTTCAGCAAAGCACGCCGATTGTAGTGTGCCGGGCTGTGGAGGAGTGAGCAAAACTTTTGGGTTGCAGGAGGTTCTTGGGTGAATTAGCTGCAGGAAGGAATGTCTCTGGCTGTGGGGGACTTAGCTGAATATTTAGGATACGAGGGGGTGCTTGGGAGAAATGTTTCTGGCTGTGAGGGACTTAGGCGAATGGATTGCAGGGGGTGCTTGGAAGGAAAGTCTCTGGTTGTGGAGACTTCGCCAAAATTCCTGGGTTCTGCCAGGGGACTGGTAGGCATTTTTGTCAGTGTCTGGCGGATTTCATATGTCGTGAAGGAGTACAGTACAGCAATAATCTGGGGGTATACCCTCTACTGAAAATCACGCAGGGTAGTACATAAGCCAACTGTGATAAATCAGAGAAAACTTATAATTTCAAAAATTTACCTAGAGGCGAAAGGGTGGTACGCAAAATCAACTCTGATTTTCACAGAATCAGAGTTATTTTCTCGTGAAAAATAGGCACTGGCGAGGGACCGGCTAGGGGCGCGAGGGGCCGGTAGGAGGCGCTACGGGGCCGGATAGGGGCGCGAGGGGCCGTAGTGGCGCGCGGGGCCGGCAAGGGGCGCACAGGGCCGGCTAGGGGCGCGACGGGGCCGGCTAGGGGCGCGACGGGGCCGGTTAGGGGCGCGACAGGGCTGTAGGAGCGCGACAGGGCCGGTGGGGGCGTGACGGGGCCGGCTAGGGGCGCAACGAGGCCGTAAGGACGCGATAGGGCCGTAGGGGCGCGACGAGGCCGTAGGGGCGCGACGGGGCTAGCTAGGGGCGCGACGGTGCCGGCTAGGGGCGCGAGGGGCCGTAGGGGCGCGACGGGGCCTGCTAGGGGCGCGGCGGGGCCGTAAGGGCGCGACGGGACCGTAGGGGTGCGCGGGGCCAGCTAGGGGCGCGAGGGTCTGGTAGGTGGCGGCACGGGGCGGAAGCGGGTGGGTGGACCTACCTACTCGTGATACCGTGTGAATGTCAACTTATACATATACTGCATGTAGAAGTTATAGACTAGACTAGGTGTGTGCTTCTAGTGAGTACAACCCCAACAGGTATATGTTCTAGGTTTCTCCCTCTAGTCATCATTCTCGTATTCTAACACAGTACGAGCTTTAGACCAAGCCTCTCCGCGGCACTCTGTGCCGCCGCCCTCACCCGACCGCCCGCTGTTTCCGCCGCCTCGATGATCTCTTTCGTCGTCGCTTTGGCCCGGTCCCGGACCTCCCCGACTAGCACAGCCTTCTTCGCCAGGGCGTGCCAATCTTTGAGTTAGATATGGATCCGATAGGTGCTGCTTTGCATGCCTTGTATGCTGACGCTTCTAGTGTTGCTGGATCTTATTACCCTGTGTACTCTAGTTTAGGCGTAGCACCCTTGTGTAGCTTAGCCTCCCCTGCTGCGTCAGGCGTAGGACTGCCTAGTTTGCCTAGCCTTGTTTCTGCACAAACTCCGTTCCCGGCCTCCGCTAACTGGCTCTTCTACCACCCGCAGTCTCACCGCTTCCTCCACTCTCGTGACGCAACCTTTGACGAGTCTGTCTCCTTCTTCCGTCGCTTCCCTCACCGAGGTCTCCCGGTTTCCCCCCCCCTGTTCCTTGCTCCCTCTCCCCCGGTAGCCCCTCCTCCCGTCCCGCCTCGTCCTGCCCCGTCTGGTGTCTCCCATGTCACTCCCCTCCCGCCGGTTGTCCTTGTTGAGGAGTCTGCTGACTCTGGTGCTCCCCCCGGCCCGTCCTTGCCGCGCCCCCCTTCCTCGGTGTCTCCGCCCCCACTGTCGCAGTCGCCGCCGCCGCCGCTGCCGCTCTTGGCCTCTTGGGGTGCCGACGTTGCGGAGGGTGTTCGTCCTGCGGCTCCTGGCGTGGTCTGTCCCGGCGGGCCTGGGGGTGCCGCTGGTGCTGGAGGGGGTTCTCGCTCTGGGGGTGTTGGTTCTGGGGGTGCTGCCGTTGAGCGTTCTGCCGGTCAGAGGGTCGAGACCCAGCCGTCGCAGCAGCCGCCGCAGCCGTCGCCGCCGGTCTCCGCTCTTCGCCTGCTCGGCCTTCCCTCCCCTGACCGATTGCCGGTGTCTCCCCCTCCCCCTTCTCCTCTTCCTGTCTACGGCCCTGTGTTCCCGCCCCCGGACTCTTCTCCGGCCCGTCTTCCTCCTCGTTCCCCTCTTATGTCCCCTCCGCTGTCTCCTGACCCTACACCTACGTCACACGTTTGGTCTCGCCGTCCCTCACGTGCTCGTCTCGTCTCTCCTGTCCTGCCCTCCCACCCTATGTTGCTCCGTTCCCACTCGTCTCGTCCTCCCATCCTCCCCTCGCCTCCTCCCTCGTCGCTTGTTGTTGCACCTCCCCCGTTGTCTGACTCCTTCCGTGCCGCTCGTCCCCTTGTCCCTCGGGTCCTTGCCTCTCTTGTTACACACCCGTTTATTCCTGTCTCGTGCCTTGACGCGCTTGTCGCTGCTGACGCTGACTTCGCCTCTACCCGCCGCCTTGACTACGCTACCGCTCTGGTCTCTGGCCCTGCCCGCCCTCCGTCTGTCGGGGGTGCACCTGCCCTTGGCAGTGACGCCCTGGAGGACCGCCAGTACGAGCTTGCTTTCCTTTCCGAGGCCGCTCCCCATCTCTGCTCCATGCTCCTAGTCCCAGAGGGTGACCCAGACGCCTTCGACATCCCGACCCCTCGCACCTACGCTGAGGCCACCTCGGGACCCTAGGCCTCTCAGTGGATAGCTGCCATGGAGCAAAAGATGGCATCTTGGAGGTCCACCGGCACTTTGTCGACGCAGTTCCCCCTCCTGGGGTGACCGTAGTCGATGGTCGGTGGCTCTTCAAGGTGATGCGCCCCCCTGGAGAGCTGCCTGTCTTTAAGGCGCGCTATGTGGCTAGAGGCTTCAGCCAGCGCGAGGGGGTGGACTTCTTCCAGACCTTCGCCCCGACCTCGAAGATGACTACTCTTCGGGCACTGCTACACGTAGCAGCACAACGTGACAACGAGCTTCACTCCCTCGACTTCTCTACTGCCTTTCTTCAGGGCAGCCTACACGAGCAGGTCTACCTGCGCCGATCACAGGGCTTCATTGGTACCTTCCCCCCTGGGACCCAGTGGCTTCTCAGGCGCCCGGTCTACGGCCTGCGCCAAGCTCCCCGCGAGTGGCACGACACGCTGCGTGCCACGCTAGCAGACCTGCAGTTCTTTCCGTCCTCTGCTGACCCCTCGCTTTTTGTGCGGTTCGGCCAGACTCCGTTCTACATGCTGGTCTACGTAGACGACCTGGTCTTCGCTACTGCTGACAGGGACGCACTGGCCTCTGTGAAGGCCGAGCTGCTAAAGAGACACACCTGTACTGACCTTGGAGAGCTGCATCGCTACCTTGGCCTGCAAATCTCCAGGGACAGAGCAGCACGCACCATCACCCTGACACAGTCACAGTTGGTGCGTCAGGTCCTTCAGAGGTTTGGTCTTCAGTTCTCCTCCGCACAGCCCACACCTCTACCTGTAGACCATGGGCTCTCTGCTCCCGTTCCTGAGGAGCCAGTAGAGCCCAGCGCCCCCTACGCCGACCTAGTGGGTTGCCTCATGTACCTGATGATTTGCACTCGCCCAGATCTCGCATACTCTCTCAGCATCCTTGCTCACTTTGTGGCCACAGGCAGACACCGACCACAGCACTGGTTGGCCGGTAAGAGAGTTTTGCGATATCTAGCAAGTACATCGGGCATGGGGTTAGTGCTTGGAGGACGCAGGCCAGTGGTCCTCACTGGGCACACAGACGACTCTAAGACTCTCAGGTCGTCTCAGGGCTACTGTTTTAGCCTTGGTTTGGGTGCTATCTCTTGGAGATCCACTCGCTCGTCGTCTGTTGCTCAGTCGAGCTGTGAGGCTGAGATCTACGCAGGTGCCATGGCGGCATAGGAGCTCCGCTGGCTGACTTTCTTGCTCACAGACTTTGGTGAGCGGCCTAGCTCTGCCCCGGTCCTGTACGCTGACAACAGGGCCATGATTCTCCTGTGTCAGGAGCCTCGACTTGAGGGCAGAGCGAAGCATATCCAGCTGCGGTACTTCCTCCTGCGCGAGCTACAGCAGCGTCGCCAGTCCCGCGTAGTTCACTTGGCCTCTGGTGCCAACACAGCTGATATCTTTACGAACGCGCTTGCGCCTAAAGATCATCAGCGGCACTGTGTACAGCTTGGTCTTGTTCCTGTAGCTTCTCACTTGTTAGGACCCTGATTGTGTACTCTCTACTATATATACTTGTCTGACTGGCCTTGTGGCCTTACCTCCAGTGGCTGGACTAGTAGTGCCGCCCTGGCTTGCTTTTGTCTTGTTTGTACTCTTGCTGACTGGTCTCCGGACCCCTGCCTCAGTTGTTGGACTAGTAATGCCACCTTGAGCTGTGTGCTTCTTGCTCAGCACCACCCCTTCTCTAGCCTAAGGGATGTGTCAACTTATACATATAATGCATATAGAAGTTATAGGCTAGACTAGGTGTGTGCTTCTAGTGAGTACAACCCCAACAGGTATATGTTCTAGGTTTCTCCCTCTAGTCATCATTCTCGTATTCTAACAGTTAAGACTAGAAAGAATGGATAGAAGGGAGAACAGGGGAGATACAGCGTTTGGGTTGTACCCACTAAGAACATACCCTATCTAGCCTATAACTTATACATAACAATATACGTGTAAGTTGACACGGCCAACTTCTTCGGTTCCGAACCATTTCGGGAACCTAAACCTAGACGTGCGACGCTTCCGTGGCTTTCCCCACCCGGATCGCCCGAGCCTGTTCGCATGGTTCACGGCTAGCTCTGTTCGTGCCTATAAATGCCTAGGCCCTCATTTGTCTCGACACTCTTGAATCACGACTCCTTTATTACACTACCTGTTACTCTGATTAATTCATAACAGCTACACTCTTGAGTTATAATTCATAACAGCCCACCTCCCCCGCCACCACCACTCCTTCGTGGTATTCACGGCATAGTGGTCGCCGGGTAGAGGTGGAGGTACACTGACTGGTCTACTGTGGAGGGAGGATGTTGAGCAGGTAGTGTATAAATGCCCGCACTTGCGCCTCCCCCACCTCCCCAACCACCACCGCCCCTTCCTCTGTGGGTTCCACCATTGAGTAGTGGTGGTCATTGGGGTGAGCCGTGTCGAAATACCGTGGCCCATCCACCTGCCACGTGTCCAGCACTGTAGCTGCTCCTGCTGGTATCGGCACCAGCTCAGCAGGCGGAACTGTTGATGACGTGGCAGCAGCGGCTGGTGGGAATGCTGTTGCTGCTGCAGATGCTGCAGATGCTGCGAGTGCTGCTGCTACTGGTGGTTGTTCGGATGCAGATAGGGTAAGGAGTTTCCTCCTCATACCAGCGGCTGCAGCTTCATCAACGTCTTCAGAGTCTGAATTACCACCTCCTTCAGAATCCTCGGAATCTAGTGGCAGCTGCTGCAAGCTTGCATCAAGATACACCAGTCCCTGCCTCCTCCTGCTGCTGCTGCTGCTGCTTCCCTCTCCTCCCTTACTCCCTCCCCCTGCTCTCCCTTCTTTCCCTACTCTTTCTATTCTGCCCGTTCCTTCTCCTTGCTGACCCTCCTCTCCACCCACTCCTCTCCCTTCAACCACGTGTTTCAGCAGCACATTAATCGCCATAACCACCCGGTTCGAGCTCGGACCCGGATACCAGGCGTTACACCTGTCCCCAGAAACCGGAAACGACGGGATAGTCCGGAAAACAACCCGGCCTTTTGGGGGCGCGGCGGCAAGCGCCCAGCGGGCAAACTCCTCCAAGTGCACTCTTAGCGCCTTGAGCGGCTGGCGGCAGAAGGAAGCTGCCCAGTAGCCTCCTTCAAAGAGGGTGACGTCAGCAGTGGTGGATATGTTGGGGAACTGCTCGTATCGGTTGGTGGTCGCGCCTCTGTGACTGGAGGGAGGATGGAGGGGGAGGAAAAGGGTGGCAGTGGGGTAAGGAAGGGGGGGTTTGGTCTATTTTTGAGGCGCCTCAAAAATAGTGGGGAAGGGAAGGGAGGGATGAGGGGTCTATTTTTTAGGCGCCTCAAAAATGGAACTTTTCATGTTGATTGGTGGTCGCACCTCTATGTCCGTAAGGAAGGGGGCGTTGGGAAGAGGAGGGTAGGGGAAAAGGGGGGTGGGGGAGAAGGGGGTTGAGAGGAGAAACCGAAGGGGGTGATGGTGAGAGAGAGGGGGTCAAGGAGAGGAGGTAAACGAGCGACTTGTCAGATCGGTTGGTGGTCAGGTCACCTCTGTAACACACTCTTAACACACCCTCAAGACACACTCTTAAAACCCTGACGCACCCCCTGGCCCACTCACGAGCAGCCGAGTTCCCCGTTCCTGTAGATGCCATCGATCCAGTAGAAGTTGATCGTGAGTGGACCTTTGAGTCGACTCAAAAGGACGTTTCAGTCAACGGAAAAAAAAAAAAAAAAAACTCTCAAAACACACCCTGACACACACCCTGACACACACCCTGACACACACCCTGACACACACCCTGGCCCACTCACGAGCAGCCAAATTCCCCGTTCCTGTAGATGCCATCGATCCAGTAGAAGTTGATCCTGAGCGTCCGATTGCTGCTGTCCCGCGCCTCAAACACGAGGTTGTCCTGCCAGTGCCGCACGTTCTTGTCCGCCTCAGCAGTGAGCAGGTAGTACAGGTGCGCCGCCAGGAAGCGCTGGTGGCTGTCGCCCACTATGCTGATTTCTTTGATGCCCTTTCGGTGCAGTGCTGCTATCCAACCAGATGCAGGGACTTCAGGCGCCGAGCACCGGTAGAAAGCCCAGCTGGGGGGGAGAGGTGGGTGGGCGAGGTGGGGGGGAGAGGTGGGTGGGAGTAGCAGGGGCGAGAGAGGAAGGAGTGAGGGAAAGGCGACCTTTGAGTCAACCACGAGGTTGTCCGGCCAGTGCCACACGTTCTTGTCCGCCTCAGCAGTGAGCAGGTAGCTGAGGTGCGCCGCTAGGAAGCGCTGGTGGCTGTTGCCCACGATGCTGATCTCCCGTATGCCGTTTGGTGCAGTGCTGCTATCCAACCGGATGGAGAAGCTTCAGGCGCCATGGACCGGTAGAAAGCCCAGCTGGGGGGGGGGCGCGGAGAGAAAGGTGGGGGGGGGGGAAGAGGAGGCATCAGCAGTGAGCAGGTAGCTGAGGTGCGCCACTAGAAAGCGCTGCTGGCTGCTGGCTGTCGCCCACTATCTCTCGTATGCCCAGAGTGCCTGAGGGGTGCACTATGCTCACTATGCGCACTATGCTCACTATGCTCACTATGCTCACTATGCTCACTATGCTCACTATGCTCACTATGCTCACTATGCTCACTATGCTCACTATGCTCACTATGCTCACTATGCTCACTATGCTCACTATGCTCTGGTCTCTGGTGCCGAGCACCAGTAAAAAGAAAGCCCATCTTTGCGGTCCGCAACCCATTTTCCTGGCACTGACGCCCCCCCCCACCCAAAGACACTCCAGCCACTCTCCCCCCCCACACGAGACCACGCACACCCACCTACACCCATCTACACCCATTCACAGCCACGGGAGCACATACACACCCACATACCTGTAAGAGCCGTTATCCGCCACCCATCTCCCCGGCACTGACGCCCCCACACACGGATTCTCCGGCCACTCCGCCAACCCCTCCTGTTCCTCCTCCTCCTCCCCCTCCCCCGCCCTCTCGCTTTCTCCCTCCTGCCTGCCGCCTGCAGTTTCTGAGTCAGCAGCAGCTGTGGTGATAGGTCTGCTGCTGCTGCCAGGAGTGTTGGTTCTAGAAAGCGCTTGGACACGTGGCACGACTGTGATTGGCCAGGACCCGAGGTTGTGCTGTTGCGTCTGGTTGAAGTGGTGGGCGAAGGCGGAGGAGAAGTTGAGGTTGGCGCACCCCACGTGCAGCGTGGCCCTGGGGGAGGGGGAAAGGGAAGGGAAAGGGGGGGGGAGGGGGGGGGAGGTGGGGGAAGCATGGGAAACGAGGGGGAAAAGGGATGATGGATAGGTGGCGAATTAGAGGGGAGCCGAGGAGAATAGCTAGAAATCCGATGGCATTAGGTTCTCAATTTACTTACCAGAACTTAATTTACTTACCCGTACTTAATTTACTTACCAGTACTTAATTTACTTACCAGTACTTAATTTACTTACCAGTACTTAATTTACTTACCAGTATTCCCCGATGTCCCACACGCGGTACGACACTCTGAGCTCCGTGCAGTGTGGCGGGTCTAGGCACCTAATATCCCCGTGGGCCAGCGCGGCGCCTCTTAAAGTCAGAGTCAAGTCGCGCTTCCACCAGCTCTCTTTCTCCGTGTCCAACACCTGCGCCCAGCGCGCGGGCGCGCGCACGGACACCCGGAACGAGCAGCGCTGCCCGCGCAGACACGTGGCGCAACCTGCGCCGTGGATCACCACCCCCGATGGGGAAGGGGAGGCATAGTCTGCGGACGGGAGGGGGAATGGGGGAGGGAGAAGGGGGAAGGGGGAAGGGGGAAAACCTTTGAGCGTTCAATTGAGGGAAGGGGGGATAGGGATGGGGGGATTGAGAAGGGGGGATTGGGAAGGGGGGATAGGGAAGGGGGGATAGGGAAGGGGGGGCACGCTACTTGAAAGGGAGGATGGAAAGGAAATCACTCTGTCTCTCTTGCGCTGCTTCGGCTTACCTCGAGGCCACGTCAGCATACTCGTGGTCGCTCCAGCTAGGTTTCAGCCTAGCTGGAGCGATTCTCAGAAGCAAATTCCTGACGCGCAAAAAAGAACCGCAACTCTCTCGCGCGCTGCGTCAGCTTACCTCCTGACGACACTCGTCGTCGTTGCTCGTGCTGCGCGGAGCTGGCATCGGACGCTAATACGCGCTGGCATCAGAAACAGCAGTAGTGACGACGACGGCTTACCTCCAGACGACGTCCAGCATACTCGTCGTCGCTCGTGCTGCGCTGTGCTCGCATTAGAACCGGACGTGAGTCGACTCTGAAGCTAACATGTGCTGGCAGTAGAAGCGGCTGTGACGGCGACAGGGAGGAGGTGAGGGGCTTACCTCCAGACGACGTCCAGCACACTCGTCGTCGCTCGTGCTGCGCTGCGCTGCCATCAGAAGCGGATGCGAACGAGGAAGCGCCATAATACGTGCCGACAGAAGCGGGCGTACCGCTGCGCGACGGGGGAGATTGCGCATGGCGGAAAGCGGGTCGAAGGGCAGGGGAAGGGGAGAGGAGGGTAGCGGGTCGGGGATTAAAGAAGAAGGGGGGTGTGTGCGATACATACTATGTATGCGATGAGGCGCACAGACGCCACAAGATTCGGGCCTTAATAAAGTATTGAATAATAGTTTCTTTTATTGGCAGCTGGAGAGCGGCAACTCAACTGTGAGAATAAGATGAACGAAAAGGAAGAGGACAGAAACTATAAGAGTTAAAGATCGGATTTTGAAACACTCTGACCGTCGCAGCTGCTTACCCCGTTATAAGCCGCCTCGACAACTTACTCTAATGGGCTCATAAAGCTGCTTTCTGCTTCATCCGCCGACTGCGCGCCAAGCAGCGACTTGCGCAGCTGCAGGGGGAAAAGAGCCCCCCACTCCCCCGGGAATCTCCCCCCCGCTCCGCCTGCTGCCGCCAATCCCGTTCCGCTAATATTCCCCGCGCCCCCGCCTGATCCGGTGACCCATGGTGGTAACGTTTCCGCTATAACGAGTACGAGGAGACACAGGTTAACGGAAAGAAGCACGTAGTGGAACCAATCCATAGCATACCCTGATCTAACGCTCCTCCCTTCGTTTGTGGAACCTCCCGTTTTTATCCCCAAGGTCGTTAACAGGTGCGAAACTACACGAGAGACGCGCGACAGGGGCGACGCTGGCGACATTGGCGACGGCACGGGGAGTGCGTGCGACGATTGCGGGGTGAGCGCCGCGGCGTGCGACAGAGACTCCTCACTGGAAGCGCGTGTTCCTAAACCGATCGTATGGTACCCGTCACTGATTAGCCTACCCATGCCGCCTAGCTCACGGGTAGGAAAAACGCCTCGAAAGAAACCTCACGGGTAGCTCACGGGAAGAACAGAGCTAGACCGTTGTAAGCACTGAAAGATCCTATCAAGAAACCTCATACAGATTATCCTACAAGCTTTCCTGCAACGTGTTTTCGGTGAGGACCTGAAAAGGCTATTATACTCGGACTACCAAAGAAACCAGCAGGGCAACAGAAAGCAGTCCAAGAAGAGCTCGAGCTGATAAAGTCTAGGGAGCTGGCGTGCGCTTTACCTTGAAAACGCATTTCCTTCAGTTCTAGAAACAGCAGCTTTACCGTAGCGCCATCCCTGTCCTCCTCTTCCGCCCCTCGATTATTGCAAGCAGCCCCAACCGCAAGGCATCCTCGATGGACCAGTCAACAATTCGGTTCGGTTTTGCAATCTCAAGGAATCGAGCCCAAGGAGAGCACGCGCCTTCATTTGTGGCATCGAAACAAACGGCATTGCGGGCAGAAGGAACAGATTCTGAACGAGTTGGATCCTGTACACTGAACAGTTGACAAAGCAGCGCACCAAGCAACCGTACGGTATCTTGCATTCTGTTCTAGAAGAACAGTTTTCGTTCATTTTCTGACATTGTGTGATGCGGCCTCGCCGAAGGAAATGCATTCTTCGGGCACATAGTTGACGTGCGGGCGGGCCCGCTCTGGAAAACCTTTCGGTTTCTCGTTTGGTTCTTACCTACCACACATTGCTATTGGTTTACTTGGCCCCTGCTGGTCCGGTGAACCAAGCCTGTCAGTCAGCTTCGAGTCGAAACTACAGTGAGCTCGGCGAATAGCTGTTCGGCACAGGAACGTGCTGCCGTCTAAACCGAGCAGATCGACGAAGGACGTGAATCGTGATGTCGGGTCGGGAGGGAGTGCGTTCGACGCGCGACAGAGTTTGAGGCGGCGCCTTTCACGGTCAGCCCAGTTAGCTTTGCCAAAGGGTGTGTGCCACTGCCAGCTGTGATTGACGAAACGACAGATATCGCAACCATTGGAAAGCGTTACACCTGGGTACTTCTAGACCTTACATCACCGAAACTTCATATTCCTTTTCCATTCCAATTTCAACCACTCCCCACCACCTAGTTTGCACATTAGCACAGATTAAGGCATACAGAATTCGGAGGCTTCATAATCACTTGAGTCACACAACTTTATTAGAGCGATTCACGTGCAACACACAGCTCAACTGGCAACCAATTATTGTGCTGTTATTTCAATTGCCTGATAAACCTCGATGGTGCCATTGTGTTAGCTTTATCATGCTCATCCGGAAAGCCTTGTCTGGCCTATGCACATGGAAGGGGCTTTGCACAGCTTGCTCGGCTGAACGAAGAACATTTTCCTTGCCACTTTCAGCGGTGACACACCCATGACACACCACCGCTGCGACCGCAGATGCCACTCCCTCTGAGCCCTCTCCTCCTGCAACCACTCCCAGTCTCCATCCCACTCATCCTCACTGTTCCACGCCTCCTCTCCTTGCTTCTCACCTTCTGTCTCTACCCCCACTTCCCCTTGCTCCAATGGCAGATCTCCACCTGTCATCTGTTGGGTCTCCTGTGTCTGCTGCCTCGTGTCCAGCTCCTCCCGCCTCTGATCCGGGCCCAAAGTACTTTTTTCACTGCAACTATCGCCACTTGACCCAGGATCAACCCTTGTTGCAATCACCTTCCGTAACACTGGTCTTGATCTGATCTGCAGATTTTCAGCAGAAGAAAGAGAGTCCGGCAAATCCTGCAGGCTGTCACATCCTTCCACGTCCAGCAGCCGAAGATTCATCAGCTGCCCTAGATTCTCGGGCAGCCGTACCAAGCGGAAGCAATCAGTCAAGAGGATCTGCTCCAGGCTGCTAAGCTGGCAGAGGGACGCGGGTAGCGCAGAAAGGGCGGCAGAGCCAGACAGATTCAACTGCTTCAGTGACGTCATCCGTTTGATGACGTCAGGAAGAGATGAGAGATGACGACAGCTTGTGACTGCTAGACGCTCGAGTGACGTCAGGGCAAACAACGCGGGCGGCAGAGTGCGAAGAAGCGGCCAATGGGACAGCTCCAAGTGCTTCAGGGAAGAAAGCTGCCCCATAGATTCGGGCAGGTTGGCTAGGCAGGAAATGGAGGAGAACTTGAGGGTTTTGAGGCTCGGAAGCTGCCCGAAATCTGAAGGAATGGAGGCGAAACTTTTGCAGAAGCTAATCTCCAGTGCGGTGAGACTGATGAGGTGGACAAACGAGGGAGGGAAGCCAATCAGCGACTCACACGCGTTAATCTGTAGCGACTCCAGCCGGCTAAGGAAGCCTATATCATCAGGGAGGGAGACGAGTCGCGCGCAGTCCTTAATACTCAGCAGCTGGAGCCGCGTCAGCTGATAGACAGAGGAAGGGAGCTCAGTTAGTCGCTTGCATCCATGCAGATGCAGAGCACTAAGATTTGGCAGCTGCCCGAGAGATTCGGGCAGGGACTCCAGGCTGAAAACGCTGTGCAGCTGCAGGGAATTTAGCGACGAGAGCTGCCCGATATTCGCGGGCAGACGGCTGATTCGCATGCAGTACGAGATGGAGAGGGAGGAGAGCGCGGGCATGCTGCATATGGAATCGGGCAGATGAGCAAGCCCGCAGTCAGTCACGTGCAGCCGCGTCAGATGTGACAACCGCCCGAGTGTTTCGGGCAGCGATCGCAACGCGCTGCAGCCAATCTGAAGATCCCGCAGGTTCGTCAGCTCGCCAAGGCTATCTGGCAGCGCGGTCAAGCTCGGAGCCTGCAGCTTCGGAAACTGGAGGCTCGGCGGCGCGCTGGCGTCGTTCGGGATGCTCCACTTGTAGACCGAGTCGGCTTCGAGGGGGCCCCCGATCCGCGCGAGCTCGAGAAACGAAGCGGGTCGGAGGGAGAAATTCGGCGCGCAGTGCAGGCCGAGCTCTTTCAGTCGCGGGCAGGCGCGGAAAAGTCTATCCAGCCCGGCTTCGGTGATCTCTGTGTTGTGAGTGGATTCCGCGAACGCGCTCGCTGCTTCTTGCGCCTGACTGTCGTCCGCCCCGTCCGCTTCCACCGCTTCCTCCGCATCTTCCGCATCGTCCGCATGACGACGGTTTTGGAGACCGTTGGCGCCGCCGCGACTCCGAGCCGCAAAAGGGCGCACCGTTCCGAAGCGAAAAGATGCGAGCGTCGCGCCGCAGGACTCGCCGATTCGGTCGAGGAGCTCGTCGTCCACGCTTTCGACGCTGCAGTTGGCGAAATGGATGCGCGAAAGGTTACGAAACTGCGCGACAGCTTTCGCGACCTGTCGGGAGGACGCCTCGCGGGTTTCGTGAACGCAGAGGGCGGTTTGAGCGGGACGAGCGAGGTCGAGCCATCGCTTGCAGGTAGCTGCGTGGGAGAAGGAGTCGCCGTGTGAGCCTACGCGAGCGAAGATTATGCGAAGGATGTCGTCTGGAAGATTATGCGGCGAAGAAGTATCGGTCGACATGGCAAGCCAGAAGAGACTCGCTTCTGAAAGCTTCTTAGGGGTGTAGGACGAAGGGACAGGAATTGCGCTGATGAGTGCGCTGCAACTGGAAAGGAAAGGAGCGTTTGAGCGACTAAAGAGGGCGAGCGAGTAGTAGAGCGCATGAAGAAAGAAACACGATAAGCGGGCTGTAACTCACGAGAGGTGGCGTTTCACTCCTCACTTGAGGAACTTGGCGTTGCGTTGTGTGTGACTGACTGGCGATTTTAGTGGCGGGGGTGGTGCTGCTGTGCTGCTGAAGCAGGCGAAAAGGGGAGGAGGCGGAGGAGGGGCGATTTTGAATCGGAAATTTGATCGATCCAGGGAGTGCCGCGACGCGTCTGTAGGAGTAACCCTGTGTAACAGAAATCTGTGACCATTGGATCAAGCCGCTCTGGTTTGGCCGAAGCATCTACGGCACAAAAGAATTCATGCGAGACGCGGGAGGGGCAAATGGGCACATCTGCCAACCGAATTGTCCTTGCAGGGCACGCGCCGGTGCCACGTCACGCTTACTGCCAAATTGGGGCAGCATGCATCTTTAGCCTCAACGCTGCGATCTTTTTCGTCGCAGCACTGCTGCTTCTGCCAAGGACTGGCTAGCCATGTCGCAAGGTTGAGAGCCCAGTCGCCGAACCGCTGGGAACGACATCATAGGGGCTGCCTGACGATTGCGTTGTCCTTGTCGCGATAACGAGGGCCCCTCTACAAAAGCACTCGCGACTCGTATCGCTGATTGTTAGGCAGGCACTGAGTTTCTGGTACTGTACATGTGCAGTGCATACCACCGAGGCAGGGCCGTAGGGGCAAGTCCGTTCCGTAGGTACGGCTATGAAAATCTCGAATAATGCCACCCTGCAGCACACCCAAGTTGCAACAATTTAGTCATACCGATATAAGAGCGCAAAATTTTGTGAATTTTCATTATTACCTCAGCAAATTTTGACGTGAAATATCATCGCTAGAGCTGGATTTCATACTCCCTACATATCCGCGCGGAAGGCAGAGATTGCATTAACCGATGCATTTAATGACGAGAATCAACGCAAACACGCAATCCCAGCCAGGTGGGTTTATCGCTTGCTTCAACGTCAACCTTGTCCCCCCCCGTCCAGCTGAGAGTCTTGCGAAGACTCAACTCAACAGACCCAACGACTCTTATCTCTCGGCTCCGAATTCCACCTTGAGCGTTGACCAGCCATCTCAGCGAAACGCAACCGATTGTGGCAGAAAAAAATTAGGTCCTGACTGCATACGTCTGTAGCTCGTGTGACGTGTCCGATGGCGTCGATGCAGCCGGACCTGTCGACGCCGGCCGGCATGTTTACCGTCCAGCAGACCCCGTCGACGGTGCTGTGCTGCCTGTGCGGCACGGCCATGCCCCCCAATCCGACGGGCATGTGTCCGGGCTGCATCCGCACGCACGTCGATATTACCGAGGGGCTACCGCGCCGCCTGTCCGTGCTGCGCTGCCCGCCGCCGTGCGGGAGATTTCTCGCGCCGCCGCGCGCGTGGATCCGCGCGGAGCTCGAATCGAAGGAGCTCCTCACGTTCTGCCTCAAGGTGCGTTTGAGTGCCCGACTATAACGCGGATGTCGCTGCCCGCCGGCCGGCGGAGGTCTCTTGCGCGCCGGCGCGAGGGTGGATCTGCGCCGAGCCTTAAAATAAGAAACCGCTGATCCTCTATGTCAGGGCCTACTGGTTGTATTTTTTAGGCGCCTCCATGGATTCCTGAGCTCGCTGCTTGCTGCTCTTCGCTTGCGACGAGCCTAAACCCTCGAGTTTGAAACCCACATTTTCTTGCTGGGTGCTTTTGAGAATTCTCAAGAACACCCTGCGACGAACTTAAACTTCGAATATGAAACCCTCATTTTCTTCACTTCGTGCCCTGTTCCCCCCAATCGCATTCCTCCACCCGTCCATGCCGTGAAGGCTGTAAGCAAGGCGAATCTCATAGACGCTTTTTCTTCCTTAAACCCTCTAAAACCAGGTTTCGCCCATGTTTCCATTTCGCCCTTTTCTGTTACATGTGGGTTACCCGATTGTAACAGCGCATGAAGAACCTCAACAAGGTGAAGCTCGTGGACGCGTCCTTCATCTGGACTGAGCCCCACTCCAAGCGAATCAAGATCAAGGTATGTATGACCGAGCCCCTTAACTCGGCGTCTTGAGGTTTTAGGGGGTTCAAGATGCGGGGTTCTAGAGATTCTAGGATCAATGCTTTCTTTGAGGGTTGCTGCATGGACCATTCCTCCCTATATCAGGCCACCATTTGAAAGTAAGATTTGAAGTGGCGCCACTTGTTGTAACCAAGTCTGCTGCAGCAGGCGTTGGTAACCAAGTAGGTGGGTGGAGGACCGCATGTGCGCTGCGCTGCGTGATGCTCCCATTCCAGTCAAATCGACAGACGCCGAACTCGCGCCCCGTGGCTCCCGCATATGGGCCCCTTGCTTTGTTGGCACTGGCAGGTGACTATACGGAAGGAAGTGCTGAGCGCGGACGTCGTTTGAGTCGACTCAAAAGTCACCCTGCATCTGGGCCCCTTGATCTGTTGGCACGGACAGGTGACTATACGGAAGGAAGTGCTGAGCGCGGACGGGCTGCAGCAGACGTTCGTCATGGAGACTGCGGAAACAGGAGACTGAGCAGGACCAGTGCTTTTGAGTCGACTCAAAAGCATTTGAGTCGACTCAAAAGCATTTGACTCGACTCAAAAGCAGACTGCGGAAACAGGAGACTGAGCAGGACCACATGTGCGACGCGTGCAGTGTGTTCTTGAGAATTCTCCGGGTGTTTATGAGAATTCTCAGAAATACCCTGCATTCTCAGGGTTTTTTTTTACAATTCTAAAAAATGCCCTGCAATAGGCTGCAGCAGACGTTCGTCACGGTGGGTGCGGGAACAGGATTCTGAGCAAGACTACATGTGCGACGTGTTCAGTGCACGCGGTCAGCAGCCAACCCCGACCCCTGAACCCTTCGTTTTACACCCTTACTCTTACAGGTCACCATACAGAAGGAGGTGCTATCCTGTGCTGTCCAGCAGCAGACGTTCGGGGCAGAATTCGTGGTGGAGGACCACATGTGCAACGCGTGCACGCGGTGGTCCGCAGCCAACCTAAACCCCGAACCGTTCGTTCTGCGCTCTTGTTTTTCCAGGTGACCATACAGAAGGAGGTGCTCAGTGGTGCGGTTTTACAGCAGACGTTTGTCACGGAGTATGTGGTGGAGGACCACATGTGCGACGCGTGCACACGGTCGGCAGCCAACCCCGACCAGTGGGTGGCGGTGGTGCAGCTGAGGCAGAAGGCGGAGCACAAGCGCACGTTCCTCTTTCTGGAGCAGCTTATACTGAAGCACGGGGCTGACGCCAACACCATCAATATTCGACAGGTGGGTTTTGGCTCTGGGCTTTGGGAGGAGCAAACTGGGGGGTTTAGGGGTTTATATGGTACAGCAGAAGGCGGAGCACAAGCGCGCCTTCCTCTTCCTGGAGGAGCTTATACTGAAGCACGGGGCAGATGCCAACACTATCAATATTCGACAGGTATGTCTTTGAGGGTTTTCTTACTCAGGGTTTTGTGTTTCAGGTTGTAGGTGTGCAAGGGGTGGGGGATAGGTTAAGCAGTGGGTGGCGGTGGTGCAGCTGAGGCACAAGGCGGAGCACAACAAGCGCACTTTCCTCTTTCTGGAGCAGCGTATTCTCAAGCACGGGGCTGATGCCAACACCATCAATATTGAGGGTTTTCGTACTCAGGGTTTTGTGTTTTAGGTTGGAGGTCTGCAAGGGGTGGTGGAGTGGAGGGAGACCAGTGGGTGGCAGTGGTGCAGCTAAGGCACAAGGCGGAGCACAAGTGCACCTTCCTTTTCTTGGAGCAGCTTATACTGAAGCCAATTTTTCTCTCGGGTCTGTGACGTCAGTCTGCACCCATTTATACTCGTACTGTACCTTCCTCCTGTAATTATGTTTCCCTCTCAGGTGCATGCATGACGGCATTGATTTTTACTGCGCCAACCGCTCGCACGTGCAGAAGTTTGCTGGTTTTGTGTTCCACGCGCTTCATACTCATTATAATCTACCTCTTTGCTGTTCCTCCTTTACCTACCACCCAGGTGCAATACGCGTATTTTCCAACATAGTAGAAGTCGATACTATGCCAACCGCTCCCACGCGTAGAAGCTTTTGGACATTGTGTTGGCCGCCCACACTTCATACTCGTTATACTGTGCCCCCCTGTACTATTCGTTGTTACCATTCAGGTGCACGACGGCATTGACTTCTACTATGCAAACCGCTCGCACGCGCAGAAATTTGTGGACTTTGTGTCGGCGGTGGTGCCAGCTCAGCACCGCAGCGACAAGCAGCTGGTGTCGCATGACATCCACACGTCCTCGTATAACTACAAGTGAGTGTGGTTGTTAGTGGGGCAGGCTTATGGCGGGTACAATGACAAGTGAGCGTGCTGAGGCTATACATAGTCTCTGGTGGTGTACTTGTGCCGGCCGCGGTGCCAGCTCGGCACCGGAACGACTAGCAGCTGGTGTCGCCGTGTTATGAATCTATTTTTGAGTAGACTCAAGAATAGAGTCATAGCTTGGCACCGGAGCGACTAGCAGCTGGTGTCAGCGGAGGACCTCTTCTATCATCCGCATCCTCATCTTGCAGGGTGTTTTTTTTTTTTAACTGTCATTTTTTAGAATTCTAGAAAATGGCTGAACTGTCTTGGGACGTCTCAAGAACAGATCTTCTATCATATTGCAGGCTGTTCTTTAGAAGTCTTAAAAAACGCCCTGCAGTATAAAGTAACGCTTTCGGATGACCTCATCTTGCAGGGTGTTCTTGAGAATTGACTTGAGACGTCTCAAGAACAAATCTTCTATCATGTTGCAGGGTGTTCTTGAGAATTGACTTGAGACGTCTCAAGAACAAATCTTCTATCATGTTGCAGGGTGTTCTTGAGAATTGGCTTGAGACGTCTCAAGAACAAATCTTCTATCATGTTGCAGGGTGTTCTTGAGAATTGTGTGACATTGTAACGAGATGGCTTTTGAGTCAAAAGCACCCTGCAGCAAAATTCGAACGCTTTCGGAGGACCTCATCTGCCTGCCCCCGAAGGTGACTTTTGAGTCGACTCAAAAGCACCCTGCAGCAGAATGCAATGCTTTCGGAGGACCTCATCTGCCTGCCCCCGAAGGTGACTTTTGAGTCGACTCAAAAGCACCCTGCAGCAGAATGCAATGCTTTCGGAGGACCTCATCTGCCTGCCCTCGAAGGTGACTTTTGAGTCGACTCAAAAGCACCCTGCAGCAGAATGCAATGCTTTCGGAGGACCTCATCTGCCTGCCCCCGAAGGTGGCCAATGCTTTCAGAAAGGCAGCCGTTTCGGAGGACCTCATTGGGGGGGACCTCATGTGGAAATCTTTCAGGTCTGCAAGGAGGACCTCATCTGCTTTCGGAACTGCAGCCAACCCTCTCGTGCTCTGCGTGCGCGTGTCCAACTCCCTTCAACTGCTCGACCTCTCCACCCTCCATGCTGCTTGGCTCCCTCTTTTCTTCCTTTCAACCCCCCTCTCAGGACAGATCTCCACAGATGAGGTCCTCCTCTCAGGTAAACCTGGGCGGAAGGCAGATGAGGTCCTCCCTCCTTTCTTCCTTTCAACCCCCCTCTCAGGTACACGTTCTCTGTGGAGATCTGTCCAGTCTGCAAGGAGGACCTCATCAGCTTTCTGCCCAAGGCCGCCATCGCTTTTGGCACTGCAGCCAACCCCTATCTCCGTGCATTCCCCTTGTTGCCCCCCCCTACTCAGGTACACTTTCTCTGTGGAGATGTGCCCTCTATGCAAGGAGGACCTCATCTGCCTGCCCCCCAAGGCCGCCAACGCCTGCTCCTGCTTTTCCTGTTTGTTTCTTGTGGCGCCTAAAAAATCCTGTTTGTTCAAGTGTATTTTGAGTCGACTCAAAATACTCCTGTTTGGTCCCCCCCTCTCTTCCCCCCCAGGTACACATTTTCTGTCGAAATTTGCCCCGTCTGCAAGGAGGACCTCATCTGCCTGCCGCCCAAAGCCGCCAACGCCTGCGGCACCGCCGCCAACCCCCTCGTGCTCTGCGTGCGAGTCTCCAACTCCCTTCAACTGCTCGACCCCTCGACGCTCCACGCCATCTACCTCGACTGCAACCAGTACTGGCGTTATGGCTTTAAACCCCTGTTGTCCTCTCGGCAACTAGTGGAGTATGCAATCTTAGATGTGGAAATTGTAGGAGGCCCAGGGGGAGGCGGATGGGGAGGAGGGGGGGGAGGAGGGGGAGCAGGGGGGGCCGGGGGAGCAGGGGGTGCGCCACACAAGGCGGGCGGGGGGGCGCTGGCGCGGTATGTGCTGGCGGACGTGCAGGTGGCGCGGGTGGCGGATTTCGGCAAGAATGACGTCATCTTCACTGCGAGGACGCACCTGGGACACCTGCTCAGGCCGGGAGACTTTGCCATGGGCTACGACCTCCACGGGGCGAACCTGAACAGCGACGATCTGGCCAGGTGAGGGATTGTTGGTGTGGTGCAGCCTTGGGGGACCTTAACCTGGGGCACTTGCTCAAACCAGGGGATTTCGCCGTGACCTGGGGACTTGTGATGACCTTCAAGTGGGATCTCAACGGGGCGAACCTCAACAGCGATGACCTTGCCAGGTGAGAGGGATGCGTGATGCGCTGTGGGGGGGAGGGGATTAGAAAGAGGAGGAGGGGGGAGTGGGGTGGGAGGGCGTTGGCGCGGTATGTGCTGGCGGACGTGCAGGTTGCGCGGGTGGCGGACTTTGGCAAGAATGACATCATCTTCACTGCGAGGATGCACTTGGGGCACCTGCTCCAACCGGGGGACTTCGCGATGGGCTACGCTACGACCTCCATGGAACTAATCTGAACAGCGGTGGGCTTGCCAGGTAAGGCAGCATTGGGGTGCTACTCCAAGCATTTCCAGTCGCTGGGGACTTGGTTAGGAAGCTGAAGCAGCTCGACATGGAGGTCGACACGGGGGTCGGGGGAGGCCACCGTGTTCCATTCTCACCCACCTCTCTCCCCCTCTCCCTCTCTCTCTCCCTCTCCCCCCTGTTGTAACATACTGTGCGTGCAACCACCAGGTACAGCAATCGAGCCACATTGCCCGATGTCATCCTAGTGCGCAAGAGCTACGAGGAGAAGCGGAAGAAGCGCAGAGGCAAGGGGCGAGCCTGGAAGCTGAAGCAGCTCGACATGGAGGTTGACACAGGCGCCGGGGGAGGCGGAGAGAGAGGAGGCGAGAGGGGCGGTGCGAGGGGGCGGATCGACGAAGAGAAGGAAGCAGCAGACAAGGAACGGTTCTTGGAGGAATTGGAGGAAGACCCGGAGATGCGGTCCAGGATCGCTGTTTACAGAGACCCGGCTTATGTGGCCCCGGTGGGGGGAGGGGGAGGAGGGAGAGGGGGTGATGAGATGGTGGATGTGGGGGAGGGGGAGGAGGAGGAGGAGGATGGGGAGGAGCCCCCGGAGATTCCGCTGGAGGAACTGCTTTCGGATCTAAGGATTGGTGGGGACGAGGGGGAGGAGGGGGAGGAGGGGGAGGTTGAGGATGATGATGATGATGTGATGGAGACGTGAGGCGGCGGTATCCGCAAGAAAAGGTGCATGAAGACATGAGGTGCATGAAGACATGAGGTGCATGAAGACATGAGGTGCATGAAGACATGAGGTGGTGGGGGGTAAGAGAGACGAGGTTGCATAGAGAGACGCATTTGAGGGAGGGTGGGGAGGAGCCGCCCGAGATTCTGCTGGAGGAACTGCTTTCAGATCTGAGGATTGGCGGGGGGGAGGAGGGGGAGGAGGGGGGGGTTAAGATGGTGAGAGTGATGCGATGGAGACGTGAGGCGATGAAATGTGAAGGAGCGAAGGAGGAGAGAATAGTTAGAGGGAGGATGGGGAGGAGCCTTGGGAGATTCACTGTAGGAGCTGCTTTTGGATCTGAGGATCGATGGGGGGGAGGAGGGGGATGAGGGGGAGTTTAGAATGATGATGGTGATGGGATGGAGACATGAAGAGGTGAGGGGCATATATGAGGACGCTACATAGGAACCAGCGTTTGAGGGAGGATGGGGGGGCAGGGGCTGGGGATCGTGCTGAAAGAGCTGCTTCTGGATCTGATGGGGGGGATGATGAGGATGATTGAGTGATGGAGGCTTATGGCTAGGGGATGAGGACTGTCCTGTGGAGATATGTGGCATGATCGCACCCACCCAGTGACTGCAACCGACAGACAGTTTTGATGGCTCTATGTGTTCTGTGAAGTGTTATGCTGTTATTGTCTGGTCACATCTTTTGTGTTGCATTTCTCTGTAGAGCATGCTGTGCTGTATTATTGGCCTGGTAGTAACTGAATCCCATCCTATGCTGTAACCTAATGTCTCTATGATTGCCTAATGCACCAAAATGGTTGGGAGCACACTGATGCAACACTGGAAGACAATCTGCATTCAGACAAACAGAGAGGAGATTACCATACCGGTACCGGCACAAAAATCAGCAAAGCCATCATCGGTGCTAGAGTATCACATGCCAGGCGCTGCTGACTGCGCCGCACGGCTGTCCCAAAAATGTCCGTGCTGCGCGATACGTTCTTGATAGGAGCAAAACTGGGGCAAAGCGGAACAGCAGCACGATCCAAACAGGTGGGCATGGGCTGTTTTGTTGCTGGCGGCGGCCTATCTCATCCTCTGCTTCTTGCTGGGGACAGCATGGGCTGTCTGTTGCTTGCTCTTGGCAGCCTGTTCCGGTACCCTCGCTGCCTTTGGAGCCCCACTCCTTCCTTGCTGAACCCGCCTCTGGACCGTTCTCTGCACGCTGTGCTTCCCTTGCTCTTCCTCCGACAATTCCATGCCTTCCTCCTCCTCTGGCTCTTCCTCTTCCTCCTCTTCCTCCTCTTCTTCCTCTTCCCCATCTTCCTCCTCCTCGCCCCCTTCTATTTCCTCCTCCCCTGCTTCCATATCCTCCCCTTCAGAATCCTCCACATCCTCTTCCTCATCCTCCTCCTTCTCATCCTCTTCCTCTTCTCCCACCTCTCTCTCTTCACTATCCTCCTCTTCCTCACCATCCTCACATTCCTCCCCTTCCTCTCCTTCCTCCCTTTCCTCCTCTCCCTCCTCCCCATCTCCCTCTCCCACCTTTCCCATCAACCCCCCCTCCCTCTTACTATCCAGGTATCTCCACATCTTCATTGCAGCATCCACCTCACTATAATCACCTCCTCCCTTCTCACTCCCTTCTCCCTCCCCCTCTTCTCCTCCTCCATCCCTCTCACCTTCCCCCTTTGCCCCACCTCCCCTCCTCTCACTCTCCCTCCTCGCTTTCTCCTTCAGCACTTCCAAGGCAGAAGGCCTCTCCTGGGCGGCAGCTTTGTCCTGTAGCGCCAGGACAGCTTTGCTGCCTGATCCGAGAACCTTCAGCGCAGCTGCATCAACCGGCTGCTGTAGCGCCACGTCAGCATGTAACGCCAGGTCAGCAGTCGGCTGTAGCATGGTGAGGGCGGCGAGTGTGTAGTCCACCAGGTAGGAGCTCCGCAGCACGCGCTCTAGACGTGCCAGGTGGCGCTGCGTGTATGGCTGTAGCCCGTCCAGGATCTCCCCGATTCCTGGGATCTGGGGAAAGAGAAGTTTGGGTTTAGTGAAAAGAACGAGTACAATAGTTGTTAAGCCGACAAGCAGAGGAGTCTATTCTTGAGGCGCCTCAAAAACAGAGCTTGGTGTTGATGTTCCACTCGCGGACGTACACAGCAGCTGCCGCACCTCGCCCCGCTACCCCCTACCTTCACGCACTCGGCTCCTCCCATATTGCCCCACTCACGTGCGCAGGTACAACAGCAGTTGCCACACCTCACCCCACTACCCCCTGCCTTCACGCACTCGGCTCCTCCCATATTGCCCCACTCACGTGCGCAGGTACAACAGCAGTTGCCACACCTCACCCCACTACCCCCTACCTTCACGCACTCGGGTCCTCCCATATTGCCCCACTCACGTGCGCAGGTACAACAGCAGTTGCCACACCTCACCCCACTACCCCCTACCTTCACGCACTCGGCTCCTCCCATATTGCCCCTCACTCAAGTGCGCAGGTACAACAGCAGTTGCCACACCTCACCCCACTACCCCCTACCTTCACGCACTCGGCTCCTCCCATATTGCCCCTCACTCACGTGCGCAGGTACAACAGCAGTTGCCACACCTCACCCCACTACCCCCTACCTTCACGCACTCGGCTCCTCCCATATTGCCCCTCACTCACGTGCGCACAGCAGAAGCTGCCGCTGGGACCAGCACCCAGCTCTGCTCTTCTCCCAGCCTACCTGCCTTCTCCCACTGGTGGAGGGGAAGGCCTACCTGCATCAGCGTGGCCGGTGGATTCTTTAGGCGCCTAAAAGCCCTCCCAGCCGACCTGCCTTTCCCCACTGCGTGGAGGGAGAGGTCGACCTGCATCGGCGCGGCCGGTGGACGGAGCTTGAGCATGGCAATGCAACAACAGGTGGGCTACCTTGTGTGTGCCTTCAGTGCTGATGCATCATGCGGGTAGGACTCTCCCCACACCAAGTGAGTGAAAGTAGCATCCTAGGGCCAGAGCAGGATGGGAGGCTGCTGCTGCTGTTGCTGCTGCTGCTGCTGCTGTACATGCACGACACCAACGCCAAGCTCTGCTTGTCGGTGTAACGCCAAGCTCTGCTTGTTGGTGCAATGCCAAGCTCTCCTGTTGGCTGTTCCCCCCCGCCTCTTACCTCCATCAGCACTGCTGGTGGGTGGTGCTTGAGCACGGCTGATAGTAGTCGCTGAGCCGACAAGCAGAGCTTGGCGTTGGTGTTCCACTCGCGCACATACAGCAGCAGCTGCCGCACCTGCGATGGCTCCAGCCCCGCCACTGCCCCGCCTATCCGGGCTTCTGCACCTTCCTTCCTGTGACCGGGCAGGAGAGGGAGGGGTGTGGGGAAGGGGGAGGGAGGGGAATACTACAGCAGCAGCTGCCGCACCTGCGATGGCTCCAGCCCCACCACTGCACCTCCTATCCGGGCTTCTGCTCCTTCCTTCCTGCGAGGGGGAGAGAGTGTGAGGGGAAGCGGAAGAGGGAGGAGCGAGGGGAAGTGGAAGAGGGAGGAGCGAGAGGAAGTGGAATAGGGAGGAGCGAGGGGAAGTGGAAGAGGGAGGAGCGAGGGGAAGTGGAAGAGGGAGGAGCGAGGGGAAGTGGAAGAGGGAGGAGCGAGGGGAAGTGGAAGAGGGAGGAGCGAGGGGAAGTGGAAGAGGGAGGAGCGAGGGGAAGTGGAAGAGGGAGGAGCGAGGGGAAGTGGAAGAGGGAGGAGCGAAGGGAAGTGGAAGAGGGAGGAGCGAAGGGAAGTGGAAGAGGGAGGAGCGAAGGGAAGTGGAAGAGGGAGGAGCGAAGGGACGGAAACTCAAGTGTTTGCAGCAGCTGCCACACCACAACCGCAGTGTCACAGCGAGTTACCGAGTCACTTCATCATGGCGATCAGCAGAGCTGCCATGGTGGCTGTCGGCTTCAGCGGCACATGCACGCACCTTCGCCCTCTCTCTTGATTGAACTCAGACTGCAATAGGTTTCGGATAATTCTGAAAAACATATCATTCGCCCTCTCTGTTTATTGTTCTCAGACTCACTTATCAAGCCACTCACTTCACTGTGTCCCTTAGAAGCAGTGCTGCCATGCTAGCTGGTCCTTTCAACTTCACACATACGTGAGGAGTCTATTTTTGAGGCGCCTAAAAAATAGACTCCTCACACACATACGCACAGACCACATTCGTCCTCTCTCACACGCACTCACAATCCCCCCACCCACTCAACGCAATCATGTCACTGAGAAGAGCTGCCATGGTGGCCGGTCGAATGAGCTGCACACACACGCGTAGACAACAGTCGTCCTCCCCCCTCACAAAGACAGAGTCACCCATACGATCCGAGCTACCAACTCACGTCATCAGGTCACTTAGAAGAGCTGCTGCCTGCCATGGGGGCAGGTCGTTTCAGCTGCTGCACAGATGCGCGGACCACAGTTGTATTTTGAGTCGACTCAAAATACAACTGCACAGATGCGCGGACCACAGTCGGCACCCCCCCACAAAGACAGAACGCGGGACTTTTGAGTCGACTCAAAAGTCACCTCGGGAGCCAGCCAGTGGGCTGCGTTATTGGGGTCCCCCCCACAAAGACAGAACGCGGGAGCCAGCCAGTGGGCTGCGTTATTGGGGTCAGGTCACTTATTGGGGTCCCCCTCACATATGGGGTCCCCCCCACACACACAGAATCACCCATACGATCCGAGCTACCAACTCACTTCATCATGTCACTGAGAAGAGCTGCCATGGTGGCCGGCCGTTTCAGCTGTAGCGCCAGCTGTAGCGCCGTGATGTAGTCATTTGCTACAGCCGCGTTCCTCATCGCCTGCTCCTGCTGCACTGTTTTGACCTGGCGCGTTTGAGTGAGTGTGGAGCAGGGGGAGAGAAAAAGAAAGGCGCTGCTGACACAGCTGCAGGGCCAGCTGTAGCGCCGTGATGTAGTCATTAGCTACAGCTGCATTCTTCATCGCCTGCTCCTGCTGCACTGTTTTGACCTGGTGGGTGTGTGAAAGAGGAGAGGCGGAAGGAGAAAGAGGCAAAAAGGGCTTCGGGAGAGAGCTGGTTGGGGAACGATGAAGACAGGTTGGGGAGCAGGCAGAGTCACGCTTGGGTGAAAGACACAAGAACAGTTGGGGCCAGGACTCTTCTGAAGTCGTAGATGGATTAAGTCTGCACAGGTGGGCTGCGGAGGTGGGCTGCGGAGTTGGGCTGCGGAGGCCTTATTTCCATCAAGTCTGTAGGTTAGTCCATCAAGTCTGTAGGTTAGTCCATCAAGTCTGTAGGTTAGTCCATCAAGTCTGTAGGTTAGTCCATCAAGTCTGTAGGTTAGTCCATCAAGTCTGTAGGTTAGTCCATCAAGTCTGTAGGTTAGTCCATCAAGTCTGTAGGTTAGTCCATCAAGTCTGTAGGTTAGTCCATCAAGTCTGTAGGTCAAGTCAGTTTTGAAGTTGGGGGCAGGACTCTTCTCAAGTCGAGTGTTGAACTTCCCAAGCTTGTTTTAGAAAAATAAACAATGACCCACCTGCTCCATAACGAGTGCAGAGTGCAACACAGCCCTCATAACGAGTACAGAGTGTAGCACGCCCTCACCTGCTCCAGAGCAGCCTCCTGCTGCTCCTCCTCCGTGCAGTCCTGCCACACGTGCACCAATGAGTCACTGCCACCTGTCGCCAGCATCTCCGTGCCTGGGCTCACTGCCAGCGCCCAAATCTGTTGGCAGTGATAGGTGGAGTGGAGATAGGGGAACGGGGGGGGGTCGGGGGGGAAAGAGGGGGGTCGGGGGGGGGGGGGGTGGTGGGGGTGGTGGGGGGAGGCGCCTTGAATTTAAGAGAGACAGGGGGGAAGGAATAGGTTTCAGCAATTTCACTGCGAGCTCCTAGAGATGGTAGGGTATCAATGCCCCCCTCCTCCCCCCCCCCCTCTTCCGACAAGGTGTCTCTTTCGAAGCAGTCTAATTGAAACACCCCCCCCCCCCCCTCCCCCCCCTCCATCTGTTTTGAGGTGGCTATAAAACAGAGTCCCTCCTGCCCCCATTCTAGTCCCACCTTGCCCTCGTGCTCGTCGAACGTGTTCACGCATTCGCCGCTCTTCACACTCCACAGCTCACTTCCCCCTCGCTCTACCCCTCTTTACTGGAATACCCCTGCCGCCTTCTAGACTCTAGTCCCACCCACCTTGTCCTCGTGCTCGTCAAACGTGTTCACGCATTCGCCGCTCTTCACACTCCACAGCTTCAGCAGCCCATCCGCGCCTGTTGACACCACCTGTTGGGCATGCGTGATTAGGGAAGGGGCACAGCACGAGCCAGTCAAACGAGCCCGTTTTTGAGGCGCCTCAAAAAAGGGGCACAGTGCGAACCGGTCAAACGAGCCCGTTTTCCTTCCCCCAGCGAATGCTACCTTCACACACCACAGCTTCAGCACAGCAGCCCATCCACGCCTGTCGACACCACCTGTTAGGGGCGTGATTAGTGAAGGGGCACAGCGAGATACAGCGATTGCGGAGATACAGGAAAACCTTCACAGCGAATACCGGCACGGTTTTGTATCACTCCGCGAATGCACCCTTCACACTCCACAGCTTCAGCAGCCCTTGACACCACCTGCTGCCGGGAACGAGGAGAGGAGGATGGGAGGGAGGGGGGGAAAGGTGGGAGACTTAGACGTCGTCAGCAGCCCTACTGCTCCTGTCAATCTTAATCCCCCAGCTGGCTGAAGTACAGGAGAAGGAGGAATCGCCCTTCCACCCGCCCTGGCGTTTGCTTTCGAGTCGACTAAAAGCAGACTCTCGAACAGCCCAGCTACTCCTGCTGACCATGATCCCACCTGGCTGACGCGCATTAGATGGAGGGATCGCCCGTCCTGCATCCCAGCTAATACCCACACACCACCCCCAAGTAAAAAGCATAAATGCGTCCCTCCCTATGGTGACAAATATCGCCTTGAAAATGCTCGCCTCGTGCCCCAGATGCCACCTGCGCGCCCACACATCGTCACCCCGTGCATGCACACACTAACACACCTGCAACCCAGCTATTACCCACACACCACCCTCAAGGGAAAAGCATACCTGCGTCCCTCTGGTGACGAAAATCGCTTTGAGAACAGACGCCTCGTGCCCCTGCAGTCTGCGCAGGCAGCTGCCATCTGCCAGCCCCCAGATGCCACATGACACACACATCCCACTCACACACACACATCCCACTCACACACACATCCCACTCACACACACATCCCACTCACACACACATCCCACTCACACACACACATCCCACTCACACACACATGCCACTCACACACACATGCCACTCACACACACATCCCACTCACACACACATCCCACTCACACACACACATCCCACTCACACACACATCCCACTCACACACATCCCACTCACACACACATCCCACTTGACACACTCACACATACCTGTGTTCCCCTAGTAACGAATATTGCTTTCAGCACGCTCGCCTCGTGCCCCTGCAGCGTGCGCAGGCAGCTGCCGTCTGCCAGCGCCCAGATGCGACACGTGGCGTCGCCCGATGACGTCAGCACGCAGCGATCCACGGGCGAGAAGGCCACGGACCACACGCCGCGCTTGTGGCCTCTTAGGGTTAACGAGAGCGAAAGGTCAGGCAGGCGCCACACCTTGGCTGTGCGGTCCTGTGGGGGGGGAGAGGGAGTGGTGGTGGGGGGGGGGGGAGGTGGGGGGGAGGAGGACGGGGGGATGAATGGAAAGGTTGATGCATGGGCGGGAAGGCGACGGACCACACGCCACGCTTGTGGCCTCTTAAGGTGAGGGCGTGGGAGAGCTCTGGGAGACCCCTCACCTTGGCTGTGCGGTCCTGTGGGGGGGAAAGGAAGAGGGGAGGGGGAGAACAACCAGACATTCGGACGACAATGCACGACGACAATGAGTCCATTCGGAGGAGGACAACCATGCATGCTTGAGATTCGAAAGTGTAATGCGTCTGTGTTTGAGTCGTCTCAAAAACAGACTCATTGCACAGAGGGGAGGGGGAGAAAAAACATTGCAGAAGTCGTTTCGACGACAGTGTGTCCATTCGGACGACAACCATGCATGCTTGAGATTCGAAGTCCAGCCAACCCCCCCCCTGAGAATCACCTGAGACCCACCTGAGACCCACCTGGGAGCCGGAGCACACAAGAGCATCGTTGGGCATGACAGCAACGGCGTTGAAGTCCTTGTCGTGCGCCGCCACTGTGGCACCTGACTTGATTGAGACAAAGCACCCGAGAACCACTTGACACCCGTTTGAGGCCCATCTCAAACCCACTAGAGACCCACCTGGGAGCCGGAGCAAACGAGAGCATCGTTGGGCGCGACAGCCACAGCATTGATGTCCTTATCGTGCGCCGCCACTGTGGCACCTGACTTGAGACGAAGCACGCCGTCCCTCCCGCGCGGCAGAGCTGGTGCTGACGAGGAGAGGAGGAGAGCGAGCGGCCAGACCTTGAGAGTGCGGTCACTGGGGGAGCCGGTGGGGGAGAAAGGGTGGGGAAGAGGGGGAATTTGAGTTTTGAGGCGCCTCAAAACTCAGGCAGAGCTGGTGCTGACGAGGAGAGGAGGAGAGCGAGCTGCCAGACCTTGAGCGTGCGATCACTGGGAAGAGGGCAAAGGAGGGGGAAAAGGAGGAAGGAGTTTTGTTTTGAGGCGCCTCAAAAGTCGAGGTAGTGGTGATGGTGAATAGGAGGTGACTTTTGAGTCGCCTTGACTTTTGAGTCACCTTGACTTTTGAGTCACCTTGACTGTTGAGTCGCCTTGACTTTTGAGTCACCTTGACTTTTGAGTCGCCTTGATTTTTGAGTCACCTTGACTTTTGAGTCGCCTTGACTTTTGAGTCACCTTGACTTTTGAGTCGCCTTGACTTGTGAGTCGCCTTGACTTTTGAGTCAGAAGTCACCTTGAGGCGCCTCAAAAGTCGAGGTAGTGGTGATGGTGAATAGGAGAGGAAGAGAGCGAACGGCCGGAATTTGAGTGAGAGGGGGAGAAGGGGGGAGCGGCCGGACAGAGAGGGGGGGGGGGGAGGAGGAGGAGGAGCGGAGGAGGGGCTGGACTTTGAGCGAGCCAACCACTCGTGGCCCCCCACCCCACCCACCACTCCTGACTTTTGAGTCGACTCAAGAATCTGCCTGCCTCGCGTCTCGATGCTTCACCAGTCTCGCCAGCGTTACTAACTACACCGTGTAGCAAATTCACCCTCCCCAACAGCATTGCTAGTGAATTCACTGTTAAACGAGGTAGTGAAGCAGTGAATTCACACTATCTGTTCCTTCCCTTCTAGCTGATGTGGCATCTGGTCAGAGAGAGACCTCCTCAGGCCACATAACGCGACAAGTTTTGACACAAAGCACTTCTTAAGCACCACGTGCACCTCTCACACACGCACCTGGACCCAGATACCAAGAACGGCCCCACTCCTCCCCCTTTCCCTCCTCCCCCTATTGGCTGATCCGGCGGCGGCCTCTGCGAGAACGCCACAGCAGCAACAGCTGCCACGTGGCCTGATCCCATTGCTAGGCAGGTGCCGGTGGTGACGTCCCACACGCGCACAGAGTGGTCCTTGGCTGACGAAGCGAGCAGCGACACCGGAACAACAACGTCAGACGAACCAACGCTGCCAGCAGCAGCACTGCCACCAGCAGCAGCACATGCAGTTGTACCACCACCAGCATCACCAACACCACCACCAGCATCACCAACACCACCACCAGCATCACCAACACCAGCAGCAGCAGCAGCAGCCGCAGCAGCGGTAGAGGGAGGTGCAAGGAGAGCGCGGGGCACGGAGCAGGCGTGCTGGTACGCGTCGATGCAGAGCACGATGTCCGAGTGGCCAATCAGGGACCGGCGACAGCTGGCGGTCGCCACGTCGTACACGCGCACCTGCTCGCTATTGGTCGCCACTGCCAGCTGCAGATTCTTATCTACCCCTCTCAACACCTTCTTACCTCCCTCCTCCCCCTCCTCTCCCTGCTCTCCCCCCTCTTCCTCCTCTCCCTGCGGGTCACGAGAAAGAGACGGCCCAATGACAAATCGGATGTCGACAATCTCGTCGTTCTGGCCAATCAGCTGCTGACACATGGCAAGGAACATCTGCTGCTGCTGCTGCTGCTTCGTTAAAGTCGCATCGACAGGTTCGTACACCAGCAGCCGTTGATCCGCCGTCGTGCATAGCAGCCTGCAACTACCCTTCCCTCCTCCTCCCACTCCCACTCCTCCCTCACTCCCTGCCCCGCCCAAAAACTGCGCAGACAAGAACCCGCCGCCAGCTGGCGCCTCCTCATTGGCCGCTGCTCCTACATTCTGCACCCCCCCTGTAACCTCGACTGCCCTTTGCTCCAGAACCGCCGTTGCCTTGTCTGACCGCCACAGCCGTAGCACCCCCCTCTCGCCCACACTCACAAACCACACCACTTCCCCTGCCCCCGCCCCCGCCCCCATCCCCTCCCACTTCCGCTTCCCCTTCTCCCCTTCCCCCCCTTCTGATGCTTCCCCTGCTACAGTAGCGGAAGTGGCAGTAGCGGAGATGGCGGGAAAGGATGGTGCCATGGGCGGTGTGACTATAGCGAGGCCCTCGAGAGACTCAAAAACGGGGATGGTGGTGACGTGGGCGTAGGTGCGAATATCCCAGATGTTGACCACCTGCAAAGAGAGGGAAGGGAGGGGGGAGGGGGGGGAGGGGGGGGAGGGAGGGGGAAGGGGGGGGGGGGGAGGGGGAGATTGGGGAAGAAGGGATGCAGGCGACGACAGGGATGGTGGTGGTGACGTGGGAGTAGGTGCGAATGTCCCAGATGCTGACCACCTGAAAAGAGAGGGAAGGGAAGGGGGGGAGGAGAGGGGGGGGGAGGGGGGGGGAGGGGGGGGGAGGGGGGGGATTGGGGAAGAAGGGATGCAGGCGATGACAGGGACGGGATGGTGGTGACGTGGGAGTAGGTGCGAATGTCCCAGATGCTGACCACCTGAGGAGCGGAGAAAGGCGGGAGGGAGGGGGAGGAGAGGTTGGTCCAAGAGGGAGGGGAGAAGTGAGAAAGAGGGCAGGCAAGGGGGGGGGGGGGGGGTTAGAGAAGAGACGACAGGGATGGGATGGTGGTGACGTGGGAGTAGGTGCGAATATCCCAGATGTTCACCACCTGAAGGGGGAAGGTGGGGGGGGGAAAGGGGGGGGGAGAGGATTGGTTGAGGGATAGGGGGAGAGGTGGGCGGGGGAGGGGGTGGGGGTAGAGGGGCGTGCCACGGAGGGGGGAAAGGCAGGGAGGGGGAAAACGCAGGGAGGGGAGAGCAGCAGTGAAGCAGTTTTCGAACGAGGTTAAGGAGGGTCCGCTCAACACAGAACTGCAAACCAAGGAGAGAGGGCTGAAAACGCCCCAACTTAACACGAGAGGCAGCGAGCAAGCAGCAGCCAGCCCGAGGGCGGGAAGGCGGTGGACGTGACTGTGTGGAGAAGTACTTGTGCAAAGACGCTAGGGTAGGGAGGAAGAGAGGTTGCCTAGCCTTATCTCGGGAAGCAGTGAGCAGCAGCCAGCCCGAGGGCGAGAAGGCGGTGGACGTGACTGTGTGGAGAAGTGCTTGTGCAACGATGCTGAGAAAACCAAGCCACGCGACCCGGCTCATCCTGGGAAGCAGCACTCAAATCAGCCCACCTTGTCACGAGACGCAGTGAGCAGCAGCCAGCCCGAGGGAGAGAAGGCGATGGACGTGACTGTGGAGAAGTGCTTGTCCAACGACGCTGCTGGGCGCTTGGTGACCAGGTCCCATACTCGTACCATGCCGCTCTCAGACGCCCCCACCAGCTGTTGAAGGGGAAGGAGGGGAGGGAGGGAGGGGGGGTGGTGGGATGTGAATATTCCAAGGCACCATCTCGCTAGGTGACCAGGTCCCACACCCGCACCATGCCGCTCTCAGATGCCCCCACCAGCTGTTGAGGGGGGGGGGGGGGTGGAGAAACGGTGGGGGGAAGGCGGAACAAAGGGTAGGGTAGTATGAGGCTGCTGAGCGCTTGGTGACCAGGTCCCACACCTGCATTCCCCTGTCCGCCTGCTTTTAACTCAAAGCACTCACCAGTAGGTGGTTGGGATCGGGGTGGAACGTCACGCACGACAGCACCCCGCCCATGCCTCTGAACGAGTGCGTACACGCGTAGGCCTCCAGAGATCCCACACCCGCACTGCACTCCCCTGTCCGCCTGTCCGTCTGTCTGCTCTTAACCTACAGCACTCACCAGTAAGTGGTTGGGGTCAGGATGAAACTGCACGCACGACAGCACCCCGCCCATGCCAGTGAACGAGTGCGTGCACGCGTTCGCCTCCAGGTCCCACACCCGCACGCCCCTGTCCGCCCCTCCTGTCGCCAGCAGCCCGCCACTGGCGTCCACTGCTAGGCATGACACGGGCGCAGGATGCGCCTGGGGTTTTTTGGGGGGGAAAACGGGTGGGGGGGTTGGGGGGGGGGGGGGGGGGGGTTTGGGGCCGGGGGAGTGGGGGAGTTGTAGGGGAAAGAGAAAAAGGGTTTTGGGTACTGGCCCTGTGAGGATTAGAGACACTACCAGCGCGCCCATTCACCAGCACGACTGCACGCCTAGACTCTGCCCGCATACTGAGACGGTGCCCCCCCACCAGCTCCCCCTCAAACCCTCCCTCTCCCCCCCTCCCCCGTCCTCTCCGCTTCAGCTTCCAAGAACGCTTGCACTCCCCCGTGCGCCAGTTCCACCAGCGCGTCTGCAAGCTGCAGGCTGGCCCGCATTGTGCAACATAAACCCTAAATCCCCCTCTAACCGTCCAGCAACGACTCCCCCACCTTTTCCCCTTCCCCCCCCCTTCCTCCGCCTCACCGTCCACGACCGCTTGCACTCCCCCGTGCGCCAGTTCCACCAGCGCGTCTGCAGTATGCATCTCTGGCTGCTTGCTCACCGTCCCCCGAGCTAAACCCTGATCTCCCGCTTTATCTTCCGCCACACTAAACCCTGATCTTCCCCCTCACCTTCCACGACCGCTTGCACTCCCCCGTGCGCCAGTTCCACCAGCGCGTCTGCAGGCTGCGCGAGCTGGCCAATACGGACACGCCATCTGGACTCGCGGCGACGGCTGTGATTGGCTCCCCGTCTCCCTCCAGCGTCTGCACGACCTTGCCCGTTGTAAGATCCACAATCTTTACCGTGTCAGCGCATGGGCATGCCACGTGGCGCCCATCCGGAAACACTGCCACGTGGCCGCCGGTGTAGAACACCTCGAGGCTTAACAGGGGCTTGTAGGTTTTTTTAGGAACGAGGCGCGTCAGCTGCTGATGCTTCTGAGATTGGCCAGAGGCGGATTGCGGCGCGGAGTGGTGAGATGACGTGGCGCCCTCTAATCGGGGCGCCATAGTGTACGAGTGTTCGAGCTAAGTCGTCGCAACAACGGCAGAATCGAACGGCGGAACGACGAGATCGCGCGGAGGATAAAGGTGATCAACGGCTAAGCCCTGACTTCCCTGGAACCCTAAATCACCAGGTTTTTCTGGCTCGGCACAGTGGATTCAAATCAAACCCAGACCATCTGGTCTGGCTTTGAGCTCAAGGCAGTTCGGAGGCCAGCATCCTCAATACAATCTGCTAGGGTAATCGAGCAAACACAACTCGCATTAGGCAACCACCTAGTGAAACTTTAATTCTATTCTGCTCTAAATTCACTATAAGCAGCATGCACCCCACATATCGGTCTAGGGGTGAATATTTGGGGTCATAGGTTTGGGAAATTTATTAATAAAATTTTCATGAATTACTAGTTAGGCTTATATACAACAACCATTATAAAAGTGCAACCTTTTATATTTAAAATCCACATGGATTACTTAAATCATTACGTACTGGCCAAACAAGGCCATGGAATTGGTAGATAAGAAACCATTGTTGGGGATGCTACCATGCTAGACTAAAGAGACAGTGAGTGGTCTGTCTACGCCGGCTGGGGGGGATTTTGCGTAGCAGGCTATCTGCTGCATGTGAGACACTATGCTGGACCGGGGGGGGGTGGAAAGGGATGGGGAGGGTAGGGGAGGGAAGGGGAGAAGAGGGGAGTGGAGAGAAGATAACAACTTTTGCTTCAACCTGTATGTACTATTGGCAATAATACTGAAAGTCTTCCCCATGGTGACTTCACGAGCTGCTGCTCATCCTACTCCTGCTGCTGCGCCAACAAGTGCAAACCGCTACGCAACTGCTGACTCGCGATGGGTCTGTTGCCACGCCCTCGCCGTCTGTCTGTATGCCTCCCTCGCGTTCAGGCTCCTTGCGGCTTTGAGACAAACCACAAGCGAGAAAGCGGCGCATGATGCTAAATAGCACGTGACACTACGAAGTGCGTGATACTACGGAGTATGCTCCGAAGCGCCTGAACGGAACTCGCCTACGCCCACACGTGCATTCTCTCCCGCCGATTCCCGCCGAAGCGCCTCAGGACGAGCCGCCGGATGGGCCCGGCTCGGTTGGCGGGAAAAAACTCGCGGACGAATGAGATCCATTTCTCCTGCTTCTTCTCGTCGTGAACCTTCGAGGTACGTTCCTCTACGTCCCACTCCTTCCAACCGGACGACGCCACGTAACCGTGATTGTCGTTCGACCAATCGCTGGATTCGCTGTCACCCACCACCGAGCCGCACTCGCTGCTGCTGGCGGTTTCCGACGCGCATTCGTACTCCGCGTCGCACAAAACTTCTCGCTGTTTCGAGTCGAATGAAGATGATAATGATGGTGAAACGAGGTTGGTGCTACCGCTGCTGCTGTTCCGAGCATGAGTGAAATTCAACGCGCCGCTGAAGTTATTGCATTGAGCACGATCGAGAGTAACGCTGCTGCTCGTATCGAGCGTGCTGCAGTCTTCGGGTTCGGATTCGAGCGAGATCGACGACAGCGTTCTCTTGAGGACGGGCTGCTTGCGAAACGCGAGGTTGTACTTCGCCAAACTTCGCAGCGACAAGCTCCGCGATTTTGCGGGAACGTCGAATTCCCATGACGACGCAACCTCGCCGCGTTTCGCCAATCCGTGCGAATCGTCGCCGGCAGTCGACGAATCAAATCCGATCATCCCCCATTCCTCCACCTCGGCATCCCCAAGAAGAAAATCCTCCTTCTCGCGAGATTCCGCGATGGATTTCTGCGTAAAAAATCCCGAAGCGGCGCTATTGGCAGCAGTGAGGCTAATCGATCGAGGCATCCACCTCAATGCCTGGGGACCCCTGCCGTCATTCCCGCTCCCGTGATCTCCGGTCTGAGCAGCAAGGTCTCCTCCAGGGCCGGATTCGGCAAGCGCGGAAAGGCGACCGCGAATATCGGGTCCTCGGCGGCGCGAGCTGATGCGAAATGTGGACAAGTCGATGACGCCCATGGCTGGAGATTTGAGTCGACAGCGAGAGAGCAGGTTACGTGAAGAGCGGTCCTCTGGTTGATTCCGCGTGTGGAAGACAAGGCCTCTATCTCCAGAGGATGTGCCTGGAAGTTGTTTCAAATGTTGAGCAGCGAGAAGGATGTGCGCGGGTGGAAAATAGCTATGGCGACAGCATCAAACTACGCATGAGAGTTGTAGTTTAGGCATCGGTTTAGGCTGTAGAAATAAGACGGAATCGAGCTTCCATAACTTTGCTAAGGATTGTTAGGCGAAGCAAGTACCTGCGCTGCGGTTGGGTGGGCGTGAAAAGGTGCGTATCAGCGGCTCTGCTGGCGAAAGAAATGCTGCTCTGTGCTTGGCTTTGAATGCCCCAGCCTTGCTCCTCCTGAGTTAGCGTTTGTCCCGTGTTTGGTCTTTGTGTTGTTGGAGGGTATCGTGTGGTGCATTGTGGCTTGGTGTGGTGTACTGTGGTGTTGACTTTACGGTTGTGTTGGTGCTGCTTTTCGCTTGGTCCGACAGCTATGCGGCGCGACGGTGCTTGTAGTTCTAGCTGACGGTCAGATTCACCAATAGGCGTTTGGGAGGTTTTTAGGGGGAAAGATGTTTGGGATTGGCCGGCAAAGCGGCAGGAGTGCCGACGAAAGCACTGTTGCGAAATCTTCAAATTGGCGTTTGGGAGGGAGGCTAGGGTCAGAGCTACCCGCTGAAATAAATTCTGCGCGCCGCGGAAGGGGGCGAAGCGCTGGGCCACTCCTCAGCAGGCACTGCTGAGAAAATGCGAGTGTTCTGCTCTGACAGCTGGGAGTTTGGCACGAGACTTGTCAACGGTAACCACACCGTCAACGATATTCATCATAATAACTCTGATTTACGCATGAAAACGACAGAGCTGGGTAGTTCATCCTTTTAATCCAAAACGGAGCTGTCAATAACAGCTTACACTTTGTAGCCGTTTCGTTTATCTTCGCAAAAGTCATTTCGCTGGAGCCGTTGCAAGCCACAGACAACTGATAATCACAAATTGTTAGGGCGCGGGACATCAGAAACGGAATGCCAGAATCCGGACGACGTCACGAATTTTGGCAGTCCGAACCACTTCCCCGAAAGTCCGGACCACCCACCGGACCACCCAGCAGAACAGGCCCAACCACCCGACGTTCCATGATTCGAAATTCGAAATACCCTTTCGCGAAGCAGTGCGAAAATGGCAACATGTTGCATGCATTGCCGAGCTTCGCCATGTGTCGCGACAGCTCGCGAGACATACCCATCGCACAACCAACAGCTGGTACGAAACTCCCCGCCAGAGTTTGGTGACATAGCATTTCGCGTCAACTTTTCGTGCGTTGCCTGTCATGCGACCAGGGTGGTGGTTCGAAAGTGGCACTGTCCCCGTCCGGACGACGATTTTCGTGCCCCATGTTCGAACGTCAGTATGAATTGTAACGAAACATTTTGGCGACGCGTGAGCTTACTCGACGATTTTCGCGAAACTAGCAACTCACTAAAGACCGGACTTGGGGCCCTTAGACTGGTGGGAAATAAAGCTTCCCCACTTGGCGCCGACCCCGCAACTAGGCATTCCCGCGCCGCTCAGCCTCACATAGGGTAACCAGCCGTGAACCGAACCGCGACCAGCATTTTGTCCCCAATTCGACGTGTTCAGCAGTTTAGCGCCCCCCACCCAAATTCATCAAATCTTCTTCCACCCCCTCTTGCCAAGAACTTCTTGCTTCCTTCCTCTTCGTTCCCCTCCCCCTCCCACCCCGCTCCCACCGTCGATTCATCCACAACTTGGAGATCTCGCTGCGCCTAGCTCCACCTGCTGGATTATCGTTCAGACCTGCGGGTCAGTTTCCCTTGTTGGCCGTCGACGTGCGAACAGTGCGCGCTTGTACAACCTCCGGCATCCGCTCGCGCCGCATAAAATTCACACCGCGTCAGCCAAATCCCAGCATAACCAACCAGTACCCTTTACCTGGTAGAGCGCCTAGCAGGAGCGGCTAGCGGGAGCGGCTAGCAGCAGCGGCTAGCAGGATCGGCGTCCTTGCTTGGCGTCGTGCAGCACTGGGTGCTCCGCAAGTCGTCTGAAATCACCTACGTTGCAGCGCCAGTGCGCCCCACAGCCAGGCTGTTTTGAGGCGCCTCAAAACTAGCGTCGTGCAGCACGGGGGGGGTGCGGTCAGTAGGTAATCTGATCTGATTGGATTGATCCTACGTTGTTGCGCCAGTGCGCCCCACATCCAGCGCGCGTTTCAGCGCTGCGCAGTAGTCGTCCACAACTGAGCCGTTTGTGCACCGCACCGTAATGCGCGGGTAGCTTCCCTTCCGAATAACCACCACCACACAACACCTCCGTGCACCATCCATCCTCCTCCATTCACCCTCATCCCCCAAAGCTATCTCGAGAGCATCCCGTTTTCGCCTATTTTTGAGGCGCCTCAAAAATAGAGTATCTCGAGAGCATCCCCTTTTCGCCGTGCTCTGCTCACAAAACCGCGTTCGTTTTATTCGGCCAACTTCCCACCGAATTCGCCTGAGAGGTTCTCGCTGCCTGATATCAGAAGCCAGATTCACCTCACTTGGCCAAACGTCGCTTTATTCCCGTCACTACGCATCTCAATCTCTTCGAACGGCACCACAGTAGAATCTCTGTATATTGAGGAAGGGTTTTTTGAGTCGACTCAAAAAGTGCCCTTTCGAAGCGAACTGAACTGGATAGTCGGACGAACTACTAGCCGTCTTCCCTTCCTCCTCCGTTTGATTTGCCATCAGCCCTTCCACCAAGCCCAGTATAACCCGCTTCTTACGCAACGCAGTATACATTGTGTCTCCATCACCTTCATATCTGTCGCGCTAGCCCCTTTAGGCCGTCGCAGCCATGGGGTCTGGCATGAGCCGCCCCCGGCGCAAAAAGGGCCCGGACATCCGCGGGCGTCTCTCCGCGCTCACCGATTCCTCCGCCTCCGCCTCCGCCTCGTTCCGCTCATCCTCCTCCGCCTCCGGCTCCGCCTCGGGGAAGATCCGCTCCCCCTTCGCGTGGATCGTGGAGCGTGCAAAGACCCTCCGCGAGGGCAAGACGTGGCGGCGGCGGCAGAAGAAGCAGGAGAAGCGCCGGCGGCGGCGGCGGCTGGAAAACTCCGCGGCGGTGCAGCCCGTGGGGCCATGGCTGCGGGAGATTAAACCGGAGCAGAATTGGGCGGAAAAAATGTCGGGGAAGCAGTTCTGGGCAGAAGCCGCCGCGTCGGGGGATATTATCCGGGAGAACGTGCGGAGCCACGCGCCTTCCCCCGAGGCTAAAGGCGCGGGGAAGCGCGCGCAGGAGAGGATGCGCGTGTCCCCGTCCACGCTGTCGCCTCCGCCTCCCCCCATGTTCCCCGCATCACTGCTGGATGACGAGACGCCGCACGTCCCGGCGAGCATCACGCCGCCCATCACGGCGCCATGCTGGGGAAGCGCCGGGGCCGCGGCGACTCTTGCAGACACTGCAAATCCGCCTGCAGCGGCACCTGCTGCGGCACCTGCTGCGGCACTTGCTACTGCGCCGCTTGTTACAGCTGCTACAACAGCTGCTGTGACTGTGGCGCCTCCTGTCGCTGCAGGAATCCCTGCTGTTACACCAGCTGCGCCAGTTACGGCAACTCCGGTCGCCACGGTGGTTCCAATGGTTACAGAGTTACCTGCAGTTGCCGCTCCAAACGCCGCTGCCCCTGCTGTTCCTGCCATCACACCAGCTGCTGCGGTTACACCAGATCCTATGGTTACAACAATCTCGACGGTTACAACAGCTACAGTGATTCCTGAAATACGATCGTTTTTGGATCACGTTCCTATGGTCATCGAGCCTACAGCGACGCCTGAAGTTACGCCTGAGGTTACGCCTGAGATTACGCCTGAGATTACATCGCTGTTGGACGACGTTCCTATGACCACAGCTACAGTACCAGCTACAGTGGCGTCTACACCTCCTTCGTTATTGGAAGACGTTCCTATGACGACAGCTACAGTACCAGTTACAGGACCAGTTACAGTGGTAGCTACAGTGCCAGCTACAGTGGCGTCTACAATTCCTTCGCTAATGGACAACAGTCCCATCATTGCACCCGTTCCTGCAGTTACCATGCCTCCTGCAGCGGTTGCAATCGCCACAAAATCAGCATCAAGCGAATCTGGCTGGCTCAATTTCTTCAACACCTAGGGGAAATCTTAAAGCCTCACCAACGTATCCACAAAGGCTCAGGTGGGCAATCGCAACAGTATTCGCAAGTCCTGTTTGCATGCGCGGAATGCCACTCCTCCCCCCCTCTCTCCCCCTCTCTCTCCCCCCCCACACCTTCTTCCTTTTCCCCCTTCCCCCCTCTGTTTGCACGCGCTGCATGTCAAACTGCTAATTTCTGTTGGGAAAAAGGAGTGGGTGGGAGGGGAAGGGGGTTTCAGGAGCGTGGGTTAAAGTTTTTTCCTTGGAAGGCAATGCACTGCGTATCTCTTCTCCCTGCTTCCCCCATTCCGTCCTGTCTCTTTCTCAGACTCGCTTCAACACACTCACACATTCCTTCTCCCTGTCTCACACTCTCTCACTCTAACCCTCCTGCCCTCCTCCTTACCTTTAACCTCCGACCGTCTGCCCTCTCCCCTCCGTCTGCCCCCCTCCCTGCCCGTCCCTTCCGCCTGCCCTCCCCCTCTGCCCATTGTGTGCCATGCATGAGCATTTGCATGCGTTTAGGTGTCTTCATTTTCATTGCTGGCAGGAAAGACTGTGCCTTTCTTCCTCCTGACGGAATATATCTTACTGGGGAAAATGCCCGGAAGCTGTCAACGTGCATACATCGGGGTTTTATTGTCTCCCATCTCACGTGGAGCATGCTGGAAGTGCGATGTTAGAGTACATAGGAAGGCTTGAACGACCCATGTGTGACGACCTGAGCACTCACATTCAGAGGCATCTAGTTGAGTGTATTAGGCAAGCGTCTACTCGTCATGCTTCCAATTCCCAGCATATGGCATCCAAGTACCGTGTATGATGATTTGTTGCTCCATATGCATCATATGATTAGATTTATGTTGGCATGCAAAGAATAATGATAACTCCTACCTGTTACACTCCTCTAGTGCAACATCTGTGTCTGCACATTTCTGTCACCGCCACACGTTTGGCTTTAGTGCGTACAGCAAGATCAAATATCTGTCTCTCCTGACCTGAGGTTCTCTCGGCCAAGTTCGAATTGCCGACAACTGCTTCCCATTGGTCTCACGGCTAGCCCACGTATGTGTTGATTCGCGGGATGTCTAGTTCGTTCCAGCCCTGCCGCACCAGCTCATCCAAGCACAGTAAACCAGGCGCTTTCACGAAAAACGCTCAACAGCAAATGTTGCCTGCTAGACCAAAACCATCGCTTCAGGGCAGTCCAAACCAAAGCAAAGTGGCGGTTTGACGAAAAGTACCGCGAAGGAAAACCAAAATAGTGCGAACAAGCCGAAACCCCACCTGAAAAACACTCGGCCTGGGCCTTACGCAGTTTGGCTTAGTTAAAGTTGTTTGTGTCGACGTTGTTCGCTGGTCTGAGGGGGGGAACGCTGAGCAGCGCTGAGATATTTCCGCGACCTTCCCAAAAAGTGCTGTGAAAACCACACAGAATGTGGAACCTACAGATCATGGATCTCCATGCTCGGCGCGCTCAGGTAGATGTTGCTCATCAGCTTGTTCCTAACGGCTTGTGGCTTCTGTTTGGTAGGCTTCATACTTCCATTCTTGCTTCCACTCTGTTTCCTTCAATCTCCACTCCAGCTCCCGCAAATTGAACTTTCCTGCTCACCGAGTTGCGGGTTATTAGCCCACCGCTAACCAGCCCTATCGTTTGTAGATTGCAACCCGTAAGTCAAGATTGAAACCAAGAGTTCGCGTTCTCTTTCGGCTCCTGATTCCTCCCCCGCGGCTCCTGATTGCTCTCCCGCGGCTCCTGGTAGCTCTCCCGCGGCTCCTGGTAGCTCTAGCCTCATGGGTTCCAGCATCAGCATGCCGAGAGTACGACAAGGCCCAGACATCCGTTCGCGAATGGCGGCTCTCGACGGCGGTTACTCCAACTCCACCTCCTCCTATTCATCCTCCCGCCGAAAGCGCATCTTCGCGTTTGATTGGATCACCTCGCGATCCCCCGGCTTCCGCAAACCCAAGTCCAAGCGTCGTCGGAAAGCAAGCGGCGTTTCAAAGAAGGATTCTAAGAGGGATTACCCTAACTACCCGCCGGCTGCGGCGGCAGTGACGCATAGCTCCTCCCAAGGGGCCTGGCTGAAAGAAATTCCGCCGGAGAAGAACTGGGCCGAGAAGTTCCAGCTTCGGCAGCAATCGTACGGCAGCACAGGCTCGGAGAGTCGCGGGACTCCCGAAGCAGTGACGACACGTCAGCATTCTGCGACGAGAAATTCCACCGCCAGGGAAGAGCAGTCGACAGGCTACGAACGCGAGGGCGTTAAGAGGCAGGAGGTACTGTCAGTTCTAGTTTCCGCGGGTCCCGCACCCGCAGCCAATCACATGTCTCATGCTGGCCCGCCCTGGGATTGCCGAGTGTCGCAGGGTCAGGAATGCGCGTGGGTCGGCTTCTCGTAGCCGTGGATCAATGGGAGGGACGGGGCGGGCGATGTATTCAGCCATGTTGTAACCATAGGGTGTTCTGAGATCTGGGTGGGGTGGGGACTTGGGAATAAACGGGCTCCTGGGGTAGGGCTCTGGGGAGGGTAGGGCTCTAAGGGAAAACGAGCTTTTGGTGACTCGTCCAATAGGTGCTCGGGGCACGTTCCGAGGAACAGAATAACGCGTACTCTTTGGGATTTGCGGGAGGAGGGAAGGTGCTGCTGAGAGGCTCTGTGGTCGTTTTTGAGGCGCCTCAAACTGAGGCACAGGATAACGTGTACTCTTTGGTTGGGACGTGAGGACGGAGAGAAGCTGCTGCTGAGACGCTTTCTTGAGCTTGCAGGGGGATCAGAGTGGTGGCTCGCTTTGTAGAAGGGTTCATTCAGGCTTCGCTTGACCAGGCTTGGGTTTCTCCTGCTCAGGGCTCATTTTTGCCTAGATAAACGTAATAACTGATTGCCAGTGGTATGGCTGCAAGAAGTCCCTCTTCCTACGTATGTACAAACTTAAATCAGCCAGAACACAGCCAGGATCCCTCCTGATTCCTGAGCCCTGTACCTGCTCCATCACCAAACTTCCCTTCCTGAAGATCCCGAGAAAGGGCCAAGATGAATGAAGACCAACGACCCAAACAAATGAAGGAAGATTAAGCACCCTGCCTGCCTGTCCCGCTGGGATGACACACCCATGATTCATGAACAATGTCCGTCCACGGCAAGAAGTGGTGCGGAGGTGTAACCCTGCTTAGTGGAGCACCCGACTGCTGCTGACTCCTAGCCTGGTTGATGCTGGAGAGAGCATAGGTACAGCATCCCTGTGAGACCACACAGAGGAACTCTTGCCAGCATACCGGTATTATTCGAAACCAGCAGGTCGGGTGCAGGTTGGTGGAGGAGGGTGTTGAGATGAAACCATGCTCGTTGCTGTTGCAGCAAGAACCAATAGGCATGTCGCATGGCTTGTCCACAGCAGCATCCATGGCGATCCTGCGCTCTTCTGCTTCTCAGAGATGCAGAAAGCTTGCTTCTCTTGAACCGCACACACAGCCCCATTGCAAAGAACCAGTAGCATGCATCACGCAGCCAATCAGAAAGCGGAACCGCTGCCCTTGGACTGCCCCATGAGCACGTCCTTGGCTTCGTTGATCTTGGACGCCAGTAAGCCTAACACCTAGGACCCTCAAAACCAGCAACCAGAAGGCAGCCAATCAGAAAGCGGAACCGCTGCCCTTGGATTGGCCCATGAGCACGTCCTTGGCCTCGTTGATCTTGGACGCCAGTAGGTCGCTGCCACCTGCGTCCGGGTGATTGGCTGTCATCACTCGCCTGTGGGCCTCCCGCACCTTCTCCTGCGCTGCACTCTCCCTGCCACGTGGGCAACGGGAAACAGAAGGTGAAAGTGTTAGAGATGTAAGATAAGGGTTGATCTTGGATGTCAGTACGTCGCTGCCACCTGCGTTTGGGAGAGTGGCTGTCATCACTCGCCTGTGGGCCTCCCGCACCTTCTCCTGCGCTGCATTCTCCCTGGAAAGACAGGATGGACTGTTGCACATGTGAAGTGCACGGCACGTTATGGCTGAGAGTTTTGCAAGGGCCACAGGGAACACAGAAGCTCGCAGGAACAACAGCTGAAATGCGGTGGGGTGGGGGAGATACCGCAATCACGAAACGCTGAAGACGCAGGCAGGTGAATTCGCTGATAATTTTAGGGTAGTCCCGGGGCGGTTCCAGGGCGGTTCCAGGGCGGTTCCAGGGCGGTTCCAGGGCGGTTCCAGGGCGGTTCCGGGGCGGTTCCAGGGGCGGTTCCAGGGCGGTTCCAGGGCGGTTCCAGGGCGGTTCCAGGGCGGTTCCAGGGCGGTTCCAGGGCGGTTCCAGGGCGGTTCCAGGGCGGTTCCAGGGCGGTTCCAGGGCGGTTCCAGGGCGGTTCCGGGCGGTTCCAGGGCGGTTCCGGGCGGTTCCAGGGCGGTTCCAGGGCGGTTCCAGGGCGGTTCCAGGGCGGTTCCAGGGCGGTTCCGGGCGGTTCCAGGGCGGTTCCGGGCGGTTCCAGGGCGGTTCCAGGGCGGTTCCAGGGCGGTTCCGGGCGGTTCCAGGGCGGTTCCGGGCGGTTCCAGGGCGGTTCCAGAGCGGTTCCAGGGCGGTTCCAGGGCGGTTCCAGGGCGGTTCCAGGGCGGTTCCAGGGCGGTTCCAGGGCGGTTCCAGGGCGGTTCCGGGGCGGTTCCTGGGCGGTTCCAGGGCGGTTCCAGGGCGGTTCCAGGGCGGTTCCAGGGCGGTTCCAGGGCGGTTCCAGGGCGGTTCCGGGCGGTTCCAGGGCGGTTCCGGACGGTTCCAGGGCGGTTCCAGGGCGGTTCCAGGGCGGTTCCAGGGCGGTTCCAGGGCGGTTCCAGGGCGGTTCCAGGGCGGTTCCAGGGCGGTTCCAGAGGCGGTTCCAGGGCGGTTCCAGGGCGGTTCCAGGGCGGTTCCAGGGCGGTTCCAGGGGCGGTTCCAGGGCGGTTCCAGGGCGGTTCCAGGGGCGGTTCCAGGGCGGTTCCAGGGCGGTTCCAGGGCGGTTCCAGGGCGGTTCCAGGGCGGTTCCAGGGCGGTTCCGGGGCGGTTCCAGGGCGGTTCCGGGGCGGTTCCAGGGCGGTTCCAGGGGCGGTTCCAGGGCGGTTCCAGGGCGGTTCCAGGGCGGTTCCAGGGCGGTTCCGGGCGGTTCCAGGGCGGTTCCGGGGCGGTTCCAGGGCGGTTCCAGGGCGGTTCCAGGGCGGTTCCGGGCGGTTCCAGGGCGGTTCCAGGGCGGTTCCAGGGCGGTTCCGGGCGGTTCCAGGGCGGTTCCGGGCGGTTCCAGGGCGGTTCCAGAGCGGTTCCAGGGCGGTTCCAGGGCGGTTCCAGGGCGGTTCCAGGGCGGTTCCAGGGCGGTTCCAGGGCGGTTCCGGGCGGTTCCAGGGCGGTTCCAGAGCGGTTCCAGGGCGGTTCCAGGGCGGTTCCAGGGCGGTTCCAGGGCGGTTCCAGGGCGGTTCCAGGGCGGTTCCAGGGCGGTTCCAGGGCGGTTCCAGGGCGGTTCCAGGGCGGTTCCAGGGCGGTTCCGGGCGGTTCCAGGGCGGTTCCGGGCGGTTCCAGGGCGGTTCCAGGGCGGTTCCAGGGCGGTTCCGGGCGGTTCCAGGGCGGTTCCGGGCGGTTCCAGGGCGGTTCCAGGCGGTTCCAGGGCGGTTCCAGGGCGGTTCCAGGGCGGTTCCAGGGCGGTTCCAGGGCGGTTCCAGGGCGGTTCCAGGGCGGTTCCAGGGCGGTTCCGGGGCGGTTCCAGGGCGGTTCCAGGGCGGTTCCAGGGCGGTTCCAGGGCGGTTCCAGGGCGGTTCCAGGGCGGTTCCAGGGCGGTTCCAGGGCGGTTCCAGGGCGGTTCCAGGGCGGTTCCGGGGCGGTTCCAGGGCGGTTCCAGGGCGGTTCCAGGGCGGTTCCAGGGCGGTTCCAGGGCGGTTCCAGGGCCGGTTCCAGGGCGGTTCCGGGCGGTTCCAGGGCGGTTCCAGGGCGGTTCCAGGGCGGTTCCAGGGCGGTTCCAGGGCGGTTCCGGGCGGTTCCAGGGCGGTTCCAGGGCGGTTCCAGGGCGGTTCCGGGCGGTTCCAGGGCGGTTCCGGGCGGTTCCAGGGCGGTTCCAGGGCGGTTCCAGGGCGGTTCCAGGGCGGTTCCAGGGCGGTTCCAGGGCGGTTCCAGGGCGGTTCCAGGGCGGTTCCAGGGCGGTTCCGGGGCGGTTTCCAGGGCGGTTCCAGGGCGGTTCCAGGGCGGTTCCAGGGCGGTTCCAGGGCGGTTCCAGGGCGGTTCCAGGGCGGTTCCGGGGCGGTTCCAGGGCGGTTTCCGGGCGGTTCCGGGGCGGTTCCAGGGCGGTTCCAGGGCGGTTCCAGGGCGGTTCCAGGGCGGTTCCAGGGCGGTTCCAGGGCGGTTCCAGGGCGGTTCCAGGGCGGTTCCGGGCGGTTCCGGGGCGGTTCCAGGGCGGTTCCGGGGCGGTTCCAGGGCGGTTCCAGGGCGGTTCCAGGGCGGTTCCAGGGCGGTTCCAGGGCGGTTCCAGGGCGGTTCCGGGCGGTTCCAGGGCGGTTCCAGAGCGGTTCCAGGGCGGTTCCAGGGCGGTTCCAGGGCGGTTCCAGGGCGGTTCCAGGGCGGTTCCAGGGCGGTTCCAGGGCGGTTCCGGGGCGGTTCCAGGGCGGTTCCAGGGCGGTTCCAGGGCGGTTCCAGGGCGGTTCCAGGGCGGTTCCAGGGCGGTTCCAGGGCGGTTCCGGGGCGGTTCCGGGGCGGTTCCAGGGCGGTTCCAGGGCGGTTCCAGGGCGGTTCCAGGGCGGTTCCAGGGCGGTTCCAGGGCGGTTCCAGGGCGGTTCCAGGGCGGTTCCGGGCGGTTCCAGGGCGGTTCCGGGGCGGTTCCAGGGCGGCGGTTCCAGGGCGGTTCCAGGGCGGTTCCGGGCGGTTCCGGGCGGTTCCAGGGCGGTTCCAGGGCGGTTCCAGGGCGGTTCCGGGCGGTTCCAGGGCGGTTCCGGGCGGTTCCAGGGCGGTTCCAGGGCGGTTCCAGGGCGGTTCCAGGGCGGTTCCAGGGCGGTTCCAGGGCGGTTCCAGGGCGGTTCCAGGGCGGTTCCAGGGCGGTTCCGGGCGGTTCCAGGGCGGTTCCAGGGCGGTTCCAGGGCGGTTCCAGGGCGGTTCCAGGGCGGTTCCAGGGCGGTTCCAGGGCGGTTCCAGGGCGGTTCCGGGGCGGTTCCAGGGCGGTTCCGGGGCGGTTCCAGGGCGGTTCCGGGGCGGTTCCAGGGCGGTTCCAGGGCGGTTCCAGGGCGGTTCCAGGGCGGTTCCAGGGCGGTTCCAGGGCGGTTCCAGGGCGGTTCCAGGGCGGTTCCAGGGCGGTTCCGGGGCGGTTCCAGGGCGGTTCCAGGGCGGTTCCAGGGCGGTTCCAGGGCGGTTCCAGGGCGGTTCCAGGGCGGTTCCAGGGCGGTTCCGGGGCGGTTCCGGGGCGGTTCCAGGGCGGTTCCGGGGCGGTTCCAGGGCGGTTCCAGGGCGGTTCCAGGGCGGTTCCAGGGCGGTTCCAGGGCGGTTCCAGGGCGGTTCCGGGCGGTTCCAGGGCGGTTCCGGGGCGGTTCCAGGGCGGTTCCAGGGCGGTTCCAGGGCGGTTCCGGGCGGTTCCAGGGCGGTTCCAGGGCGGTTCCAGGGCGGTTCCGGGCGGTTCCAGGGCGGTTCCGGGCGGTTCCAGGGCGGTTCCAGAGCGGTTCCAGGGCGGTTCCAGGGCGGTTCCAGGGCGGTTCCAGGGCGGTTCCAGGGCGGTTCCAGGGCGGTTCCAGGGCGGTTCCGGGGCGGTTCCAGGGCGGTTCCAGGGCGGTTCCAGGGCGGTTCCAGGGCGGTTCCAGGGCGGTTCCAGGGCGGTTCCAGGGGGGTTCCGGGGCGGTTCCGGGGCGGTTCCGGGGCGGTTCCAGGGCGGTTCCAGGGCGGTTCCAGGGCGGTTCCAGGGCGGTTCCAGGGCGGTTCCAGGGCGGTTCCAGGGCGGTTCCAGGGCGGTTCCAGGGCGGTTCCAGGGCGGTTCCGGGGCGGTTCCAGGGCGGTTCCGGGGCGGTTCCAGGGCGGTTCCGGGGCGGTTCCAGGGCGGTTCCAGGGCGGTTCCAGGGCGGTTCCAGGGCGGTTCCAGGGCGGTTCCAGGGCGGTTCCAGGGCGGTTCCAGGGCGGTTCCAGGGTGGTTCCAGGGTGGTTCCGGGCGGTTCCAGGGCGGTTCCAGGGCGGTTCAGGGCGGTTCCAGGGCGGTTCCAGAGCGGTTCCAGGGTGGTTCCAGGGTGGTTCCAGGGTGGTTCCGGGCGGTTCCAGGGCGGTTCCAGGGCGGTTCCAGGGCGGTTCCAGGGTGGTTCCAGGGTGGTTCCGGGCGGTTCCAGGGCGGTTCCAGGGCGGTTCCGGACGGTTCCAGGGCGGTTCCAGGGCGGTTCCAGGGTGGTTCCAGGGTGGTTCCGGGCGGTTCCAGGGCGGTTCCAGGGCGGTTCCAGGGCGGTTCCAGGGTGGTTCCAGGGTGGTTCCGGGCGGTTCCAGGGCGGTTCCAGGGCGGTTCCGGACGGTTCCAGGGCGGTTCCAGGGCGGTTCCAGGGCGGTTCCGGGCGGTTCCAGGGCGGTTCCAGAGCGGTTCCAGGGCGGTTCCAGGGCGGTTCCAGGGCGGTTCCAGGGCGGTTCCAGGGCGGTTCCAGGGCGGTTCCAGGGCGGTTCCGGGGCGGTTCCAGGGCGGTTCCAGGGCGGTTCCAGGGCGGTTCCAGGGCGGTTCCAGGGCGGTTCCAGGGCGGTTCCGGGGCGGTTCCGGGGCGGTTCCGGGGCGGTTCCAGGGCGGTTCCGGGGCGGTTCCAGGGCGGTTCCAGGGCGGTTCCAGGGCGGTTCCAGGGCGGTTCCAGGGCGGTTCCAGGGCGGTTCCAGGGCGGTTCCAGGGCGGTTCCAGGGCGGTTCCGGGGCGGTTCCAGGGCGGTTCCGGGGCGGTTCCAGGGCGGTTCCGGGGCGGTTCCAGGGCGGTTCCAGGGCGGTTCCAGGGCGGTTCCAGGGCGGTTCCAGGGCGGTTCCAGGGCGGTTCCAGGGCGGTTCCAGGGCGGTTCCAGGGTGGTTCCAGGGTGGTTCCGGGCGGTTCCAGGGCGGTTCCAGGGCGGTTCAGGGCGGTTCCAGGGCGGTTCCAGAGCGGTTCCAGGGTGGTTCCAGGGTGGTTCCAGGGTGGTTCCGGGCGGTTCCAGGGCGGTTCCAGGGCGGTTCCAGGGCGGTTCCAGGGTGGTTCCAGGGTGGTTCCGGGCGGTTCCAGGGCGGTTCCAGGGCGGTTCCGGACGGTTCCAGGGCGGTTCCAGGGCGGTTCCAGGGTGGTTCCAGGGTGGTTCCGGGCGGTTCCAGGGCGGTTCCAGGGCGGTTCCAGGGCGGTTCCAGGGTGGTTCCAGGGTGGTTCCGGGCGGTTCCAGGGCGGTTCCAGGGCGGTTCCGGACGGTTCCAGGGCGGTTCCAGGGCGGTTCCAGGGTGGTTCCAGGGTGGTTCCGGGCGGTTCCAGGGCGGTTCCAGGGCGGTTCCAGGGCGGTTCCAGGGTGGTTCCAGGGCGGTTCCAGGGTGGTTCCAGGGTGGTTCCAGGGTGGTTCCAGGGTGGTTCCAGGGTGGCAAAGATTCCTGCACTACACTCCCCCTGGGCTCATACCTGATTCCGAGAATCAGCGCCGCCTCTCACCGCATCATGGTGGGTTCAAAGCTGCCCTTGTAGAATCAGTGCGGCCTCTTGCCAAGCAATAGTCGGTTAAAGCCGCCCTAATTCACGCTCGTACCTGATTCCGAGAATCAGGGCGGCTTCTCGCCATGTCGTAGTAGGCTGAAAGCCGCCCTCATAGAATCGTGATGGGATGCACACTTGATGGGATGCACACTTGATGGGATGCCGCCCTCACACTTTGATGGACAAAAGCTCGTACCTGATTCCGAGAATCAGCGCCGCCTCTCGCCGCGTCATGGTGGGTTGGAAGCCGCCCTCGTAGAACCGCCGAATGCGCGGCACCACGGGCCGCGCTTTGAAGGCCTGCCACGCCTCTATGCCGTAGCGCGCCGTGAGAGCCGCTGCTGCAACCGCGATTCCTGCAACCAACGGACTGGACTGCGATGAGGAAAGAGAAGGGAAAGTGGCAGTGGGGGGTGGCAAAAGGAGAAAGGTGTGAAGGAGGGGTGAAGGAGGGGTGAACGAGGGGTGAAGGAGGGTGAAGAAGGGTGAAGAAGGGTGAAGAAGGGGTGAAGGAGGGTGAAGGAGGGTGAACGAGAGGAACCAGAGTGAACGAGGCGAAGAAGAGTGCCCACTGCTGCTACTGCGATTCCTGCTACAAACGGGCTGGACTGTGTGACGACGAAAGAGACGGAAAGGGAGAAGCGGAAGGTAGAAAAGGTGAAGAAGAGTGAAACGCCGCTACCGCAATTTCTGGACTGCGAAGGAGAAGAAAAGGAAAAGGAAAAGGAAAAGGAAAAGGAAAAGGAAAAGGGGCAGCGGAGGGAGGGCTGTGAAGGGAAGAGGTGGGGAGGGGTGACTGCTGCTGCTACCGCGAGTCCTGCGACGAACGGACTGGACTGCGATGGTGAAAGAGAAGGCGGGAATAGGAGGAACGAGGTGGATTTTTGAGTCGACTCAAAAATCGCCATAGGAGGAAGCAGGTGGCGGAATTAATGAGGACGAAGAGTGGTCATGGTACTGCAGGAATCGCTGTGAGAGGCGTCTATTTTTGAGGCGCCTAAAAAATAGACTCCTCACGTACTGCAGGAATCGCTGTGAGAGCGATTTCGTGAGGCAAGCGGATATGATTCTGCAGGGTGTTTACGAGAATTCTCACAAACCTATAACAGCGGATATGATTCTGCAGTGTGTATATGAGAATTCTCACAAACCTATATCAGTGTATACGAGAATTCTCACAAACCTATAACAGCGGATATGATTCTGCAGTGTGTATATGAGAATTCTCAGAGACACCCTGCAGGCAGACATGAGTGCGCAACAACTTAGGAGATGAAGGAGAGCGGCAAGCGGAGAAGAGGTTTTGAGCTAAGGAGAGAAAGTGGGAAGAAGCAGAGGAAGAAGCAGAGGAAGAACGAGAAAGTGGGCAAACAAATCCATAGCAGATCGATTGACGCAGTCAAGCAGGAGAGCCATTGAATCAAGTCCACGAAGTCCCGAATACCTTGATTTCGCAGGGTGTTTTTGAGAATTCTCAAAAATACCATGATCAGGGAATCACTGGGGGGCGTCGTCGCTGCCTGAAAAATCGCGCTGCTTGAAACATATAAGAGGCGAGCTTGTACGGATTCGACCTACCATGTTTGCAGGAGCTGGAAGCACGGATTCGTCCCGAACGACTGCGACGATCGAGTTTTGCGACACCTCGAAGCTGAAATCACCGTCCCAACTACAGCGACGGTCTGACAAGCCTGGACGGCTGGAACGACGAAGCGAACTTGAACCCAAAAGCCAAGCACGCTAAGAACGCGAGAGACGGCGAGGCGAGAAACGCGAGGCGAGAGCGCAAGACGAAATCGCGAGGCGAGATTCGGAGAGGTGGAATAACGAATCAGAAACTCCCGAGTTACGGATCGGGATGCGCTCGGGTCTGAGTTTGGAACCAGACAAGTCGACAATAACGCTGATCGGGCTGGCACCGCACACAGGCCCGAACTGTAAGGACACTCGCGAATAACTCAGGCGTCGCCTTCTGCAAGCAACTGAAGTGCGTTCTTCCAGCTTCCCAGGTGGAGGTGGCTGGGTTCATATGTGCAAGAAGCTTCAAGAATAGGCGAGATCATGCATACGCGCTAAGGGCGGTATCGACCTCTGCCTGATGAGCTAAGAAACAGCGTGAAGATCACAAATGTTACACGAATTCAATTTGCCTTATGCATACAACCTTGCCTTATGACCAACCAACCAGCACAATAAACTCACAATACGAGCAATTTTTCTAAGCATTCTCAATACCAACACAACATTAAACTTATTCTATGTGGCCTTGTAGTGGTCCTTACAAAATGCAGTAATGCGATCCCATGCCTCAAAAAGAACTTGGGGCGGCACAGAAAGCACAACTCGCACCCAACCAGGTAGACGGAATGCAGTCCCTGGGATTAGCACCACCCTCTGCTCTTGCAACAGCTGCCTACACCATGAGATGTCGTCTGGGAATGACGGGAAACATGCCAGGTCAACGCGAACCTGTTGTTTGGTTAGTGAGGGAAAACGCAAGGAGAAAGGGGAGAAACGATGTCAACATGGAAATGTGGGAATGGGATGCGGTGCATGGGATCAGCATTACCCTCTGCCCTGCCCTAGCAACAGCTGCCTACTCCATGAAATGTGGCCAGAGAATGATGGGAAACTTGCCAGGTTAACTCGAACCTGTGAGAGAGAGGTAAATGCGGGAGAACGGGGAGAAATGATATGAGATTGGCCGACAGAGATACACACCACACACACATGCACACGCACTCACCCTCTCACGCCAACGCGCATGCGCTCACTTGCTCGTGAGTTAATACCGGCATGCATGCACACACACACCCAAAGCGTACACGCATACACATGTACACACACACAACGCACCATGAGGAACATTCCCCCCTGCGGTTCACTGGGACACTCCAGGCCCGGGATGGAGCCGACCCGAGACAGGCTGGTGCGGGCAGCATCTGCCAGCTGGCAATTGAGCTGGCTCAAGAAGGAGGGCGGTGTGGTGTTGAGAATGGCAGGAAGGGCGGCCTGGGGATAAGAAAGGGGATGTGATAGAAACGGATTGTGCATGTAACAGACAAATAGGGGACGTGGTCATAACGAATTGCATGACATAAACGCTCGAGTGCATGAGTGGTAGTTTTAGAGAGGAAACGTGTCAGACAGGCGAGTGTCAGACAGGCGAGTGCCAGTTACGAATCGCTGATGCTTAAAGGCTCTTTGAAAAATCAGACAGGCGAGTGCCAGACAGGTGAGTGTCAGACAGGCGTGTTTCATTTATGAAAAGCTGATGCTTAATTTAAGGCCATTCAAGGCTCTTTGAAAAATCACATGCAACCCAACACTCTTCAGATGGCTATCAGTGGACAATGAGTGAGCTACCAGCTCATCTGATAGAGCTGAAGATACCTGAATGAGGGAGCATGGTTGAGGGGCATACTGCAGTATTCGCTCCAAAGACTCCATCACCTGATGGCATGGCGTGAGACAAGACCATTAACGAGAAAGACGTGGTGTTTAGCAAGGGCAGGGAAGGAGACGGTGGAGCGCGAGGAGGACATTGGAGAAAGAGAGAATGATCAGGTTAGAAAGAGAGTTGCAAAAGAAAGGGAAAAGGGAAAGGGAAAGGGGAAAGGGGAAGGGACAACGCAGCAGATTATCAAAGAGAGTTACCCGAGCGTCAGAATGTGGCGCAGGTCGTGCACTGTGCGATCCACCCCACCTGGTAAGGCGCCTCAAGAGCTTACCCTAGCGTCTCTCAGAATGTGCCGCGGGTCGTGCACAGCGATCCATCCCACCCTCCACCCCGGCACGAGGAACCGCTTAGACAACGAGCTGACTGTCAGAATCGGAACACTTGCTGCTGCTGCCGCTGCCGCTCCCGCCGCTGCTGCTGCATGCCCATGCTCCAAATGCCCGTTCTCTCTAGCATCAGCAGTGCCCGAGTATCTTTCACGCGCAACTCCATTCGCAGCGCTATCTGCCCCGTTTTGCAATCCGCAGCACGCATCAGGCAAGGGACTGCACGGCTGATGAGCCGAGGGCTGCTGTTGAGCGGCTAGCTGCATGGCTGCGGCGCGCAGAGGGACGAAGGGCGAAGCTTCCTGGAAGGCGATGCCCTCGTATACCTCGTCGGCTATGACTGGTAGACGAAGGGCCGCTGCTGTGGTGAGAATCTGAGGGCAGGGGAGGGGAGGGGAGGGGAGGGGAGGGGAGGAGAGAGGAGGGGAGGGGAGGGGAGGGGAGGGGAGGGGAGGGGAGGGGAGAGAAGGGGAGGGGAGGGGAGGGGAGGGGAAGGGAGGGGAGGGGAAGGGAGAGGAGGGGAGAGAAGGGGAGGGGAGAGGAGGGGAGAGAAGGGGAGGGGAGGGGAGGGGAGGGGAGGGGAGGGGAGGGGAGGGGAGGGGAAGGGAGAGGAGGGGAGGGAAGAGGAACGTGTTACAAAGTAGTAACCTTGTCGGCTATGGCTGGTGGACGGAGGGCTGCTGCTGTAGTGAGGATCTGAGGGCAGGGGAGGGGAGGAAACTATAAAGGACGGGAGGAGAGGAGGAGAGGCGAAGACCGAGGAGATAGGTTGGGACAAGAGGGAGGAGGGCAGCAGAGGATGGGGGGCCGTGGGCGACCTTCTACAAGTGTTAGAGCTGGCGCTGGGGGACCCTTAGGGTCTTCCAGGCCGGGCTGCTTGAACTCACCTGTATGCATGGGACTCACCTCCACCAGATGCTGCCTGGAGAAGACTTGCCCGCAAGGATTCCCCGGGTTGCACACCAGCAAAGCCACCGTGCCCTCGTCACGGAGTTTTGCAACCTGCCCGAGATCCACCTCCCAGTTCTGCTCGGGCAGCAGGTCATAAAATCTGGGCTCCAGGCCGGAGTGCAGGCACATGCACTCGTACACCGGGAAGCCCGGGCGGGGCAGCAAAATGTTTCCGCCCGGATTGGCGAGCGCGTCTAAGCAGAGTTGGATGGACGGGCCGCAGCCACCTGTGATGTACACGTCAGCGGCTGAGCATGCTGGCGCGCATCCTGCTGACGTGGCAGGAGGGAGTGCTGCCAGTGCGGACGTGGTGCAAAATTCAGCAACCGCCCTGCAATAGCAGACATAAGGTAAGGGAGGACACAGAAGGCACGAGGGGGAAGAGGTTGGGAAGAGGTTGGGAAGAAGTTGGGAAGAGGTTGGGAAGAGGTTGGGAAGAGGTTGGGAAGAAGGACATTCAGAGGGGACGGAGATTCAGAGGAGATGAGGGCGGGGAGAGGGAGGGGAGTAGGGGGGGGATAAGAGAATCAAAGATGGGTGTGGATGGGGGGAAGGGGGGTTGGAAAAAGATGAGAGAAAATAATCTCTCATCCCTAGCAAGGGGACATTCTTTCTTTCTTTCTCTTCTGCGTTAGTTTCTTGCTGCGCCTTCCCTGCACACTCATCCTACAGCTCCGTTCTCTTCATGCAAGCAACCCTCCCAATCACTCGCTTCACTCCCTTAAACGGCAGGTTCTAAACTTAACTTTCCGACTGCACTACCTATTGCAATCTCACACGTCAGCGTACCTTCGTGCGTCAGGCAGTCCGTTAGAAGGCGGGTACCCGTTATAACGACCACTCGCTATAGCGTCCTGCACAGCGCGCACAGCGACGTCCGGCAGCTTCAAGTGGCCGAACGCCGTCGGATCGCCTTGCCCCAACGAGATCAACGACTTTGGAGGAACTTCGGGAGCAGCAGGAGCGGAAGAAGCGGCGGCAACGGCGGTTGAAGCGGAAGTGCGAGCGGCCGGCGCGGCAAGTACGGCGGCGAGAGAGTCGGTGATCTTGCGAATGGGATTCTCGATGGACAGCGACAGCCGCGACGCCTCCACAGCCCACGTCATCTCCGCGTCGTCCCAAAAGGCTTTCCCGTTCAGCAGGGAGGCAGTCGCGGCGTCGCACTCAGCCGCCAGTTGAGTCTGTTTCTGAGGCGGTGGGGCTGCCATAGCCGCGTCGCACTTTGTTGCCGCTGGAGTCGGCTCAACGGGTGTCCGTTGCGCGAGGGCCGGAGTGCTTCCGAGCGCTTCGGAACCAGCCTCGGCCTGTGGCTTTGAAGCAGAGTCGGTAAGTACTTTCTGAGAGAGATGCCCGGGAGCGCGGGCGAAATCGGTATGGCTGCGAATCGTTTCTGCGGTAAACGCGGGGGCCATGGAGACTCGGGACGGAAAGCTAAGGACGGCGAGGAAACGAGGGAGCAGCAGGCAGCACTCGTGCTCCGAGAAAGGTAACGCGGAGACTTGCAGAGGACGAAATCGGCGCGACGAGTGAAAACAAGAAATGAAACAAGAAATGAACAAGAAAGAGAGGCAGTGGAGGCCAAGACTGCTTTTGAGTCGACTCAAAAGAGGGCCAGGCGAGGGAAGGGCGTAAGCTGGTAGACTAGGCAGGAAGGACTTTCTGCGTCGTTAGCATGCACATCACTGAATCGGCGAGTACGCTTTGAAGCAGGAGAGTAAGGGAAGTTGGCAGCGCGGGGAACAAGAAACAGGTGGCGCGCGTGACGAGATACTGAGCTGGCCAGCAGGCCTAGCAGTCGCCCAACCGACGCACTTCTGCTAACGCTGACGTATTGCAGTTTCCCTGCTAACGCCGCCTAGTCTAGACTAGAACTCTAAAATCGGTTCCCTCGGGATTGGTTGGTTTCCCGGTTTGGGAAAATCGGTGAGGCGGGGAAGGCGCAGCTAGGCGGAGCGGAAACAGATGCGCAACGAGGCAGGGCGGAACCCGTGGGGACTAGGGAGGGGAAAGGCGCGCCCATACCGGGGGGCTGTGATTGGGCCAAGTAGCCACGGTGTGGTGGGGCTTTCCCCCATGGTGACATCCCATCCCACCACCGAAATTTAGGACTCCGGAGCGTACTTTACCGTACTGTAACACTCTATAAGACCCTGGCATCTGCTCTGAGCCAGAGCTTCCGCATCACATGGTGGTTGGCGGAACTACTGGCGGTTTGGTTGGGGGAAGGTATGGGATGGCGTAGAATGACACACGGAAGTCACACGACTCGCTGACGAGGTAGCCACGTGTACGATGTGAGAAACACGAGGCTACGGTGCATGCCACGTTGCCCAAAAGACAAAAGTGGGCTTCTGCCTCCGACAGTGTACGCTTTATAGTATAACTCGTTTGAGGAACTAGTTGCTGCAAACACTTCTCGCATTGTTGAGCTATTTTCTCATGTGGTGGGGGTGATATCCGCCAAAGCGCGCGTGTCAGAACATTCTGCCAACACCAAGGCTCAGCAACTTGGCTTTCATTGGTGGAGTTCAATCTGCTGGGCGGCTCCGCCAAGTCGTTATCGCGTTGGCGAGGCTAACCTCGAGGTTTCCCGCCAAACCCAGGTTCCACAGAATTTCATCTGCTTCGCCAGAGAAGGACTTGCAAGTTTTGCCTGGACAACATGCCGGACCTCCACCAGAAAACTTATCCTCTTCGCTATGATTGCGAAACTCCGCAATGCGTTTCGCGACTCCCTGTAACGCACTAACTGGCAGAAGCTTTGAACTCTTCGCCTCGTCGTCTACATCGTCAAGGTCCGTGCCGTTTCGCGAAAAGCCTTAGAACAAGAGGACCGAGAATATGATGTGCATCAGTTGACAAACCTATTTTGGCCTTAGTTCTAGTGGAGAGGAAATGGATGTGCCTGCCGACTGAATCACTAACTAGCTCTGTCCGTAGTGCCAACTTACGTACCATTTTAGGCCTGCTAGCATCTTCAAGTCAACTCCTTGAGCGTGCCGATTATCCTTTTTGCCTGCCAACTTGACAGCTTCCCCAGCGGGTCGCCCTCATGGTTACACGATGAAGGTAGTTTCTTCTCCAAGTATTTCATGCGAGGCCTCTAGGAATTTCACAACTTCAGGAATTCCCTGCCGATTCGCCGACATCTAGTGACGTGCTATTAGACCTCATTTCGCGTTATCCACGGATTCGACGGCGGCTGGGTCCAGGATTGAGGGAAGGTTTTCTTCAGCGTACTCCCTAAAATGGGACTTATCACGGATCTTCCGAAGTCTCTTAGGTCCGCACGATCATGCCTTAAACAGCCAGGGAGAGTAGGGACATTTTTTTCGCGACACGCAGTAGCGTACGACAAGCTCGGCGACCCCATTCTTTACAGTCCGACCGCCGTTGAAGACTGCAAAAGCCACGGTGTAGACCGCGTTGACCTCGTTGATCGCATCGACCTGGCAGATCTCCTGCCTCCGTCTAAGAAAGACCCTAATAACAGTAACAAGTCAGCCTTTAGAGGATCGTGCAGAAGATGGAACTACGCGACAGCGTGCCTCCTGCTAGTAGCTCTCATCAACCAATATCTTAGAGTCGCGCATCAGCCGCTGATCAAGCAAGACGATCTTCTATCCGACATCAGGATCGAAACGACACCCGCTAATCAAGCTGTATCCGAGGCGTCTCAGAATCTGGTCAGGCGAAGCGATTTACTATCCGACATTAGAATCGAAACCATGGCTGCTAGCGATGGTGTCAACAGAACGATCGAGCGGGGCCTGACGTTCCTCCAGCTCTGGGCTCAAGCTAACGGCGTCGAGCTGACGCGAATAGCGACCGTTAACGTTGACGGAAACTTGTCCCGAATCGCGACGGTCAACGTTGACGGAGACGGACACTTGTCATCCCCGTCAACGACCGCATTTTTCGCAGTACCTTTTACAGACCCGAGCCCTAACATCAAGTGGAAAGACATCTTCCCCGAATGGATTGACGAATCTCGGAAATCTTCTTGCCCGGAGATCCCGGAACCAGCCTGGTTCGCAGACGATTTCCGTCAAGCCGGCGTTGGCAACGACCAGAGAGATATTACTGCTGCGGAGCACTCATCGTCTCCCTCGTTAGTGGCACGCTCGTTATTGGGGTCGTTCGACGGCGTGGTGGCCTCGTTGCCGTGCGAGCAGCCAGCGGATTCGTGGGCCAGAGACGTCAGGTGGCACCACCTCATGCTCACTATTGGCCGCCTGGTTACCAAGGTGGGTGTAAATTTGGTATAGGCCAGTTGAGTTGAGGTGCGTGTTGGTCGGTCGGTTTAGTGGTTCAATCGAGGTGGGCACCCGGTGGATTCGTGGGCCAGAGACGTCCGGTGGTACCACCTGATGCTGATGGTTGGCCGACTGGTTACCAAGGTGGGCATGACGTTAAGTTCAACTTACGTTTAAATCAAGTCTGTCCGGGAATCAGCGCTCTGTCTTTCTCATCGATCCCGTGAGACCCCCACCTTCTTTATGAGGGAGCTGCAGTTTACCTCTCAGCCCCTCCCACCCCCTCCCACCCCCTCCCACCCACATCGTCCCACTCCCACCCTCCCACTCCCACCCCTCACACTCTCCCCCCCATCCACATCCTCACTCTCGCCGCCCAGTCCACGTCAGCAAAGACGCCGGTGCTACTGTTCACCGAGTGCCGCCCGCCACCGAACCTCTTCCGCTGCCGCGATCTGGTGATGCACGAAGGGCCAATCTGGCTCTACCACGTGGCACCCGACGCCATGCGGGAGCGTCTGCAGCCAATCGGATCGTGCCAGCTGGCGCACCCAGCAACCCTGGCGAAAGGGGAGGTGGCGGAAGGGGAGATTGCGGAAGTGAAAATACAGGAGGCGCGAGTGGCGAGAGTTGCGCGGGTGGCATACGCGTCGGTGCTGCATACGACAGAGGACTACGTGTGCGGCGCGATTGTACTCGCTAGGAGCTTGAAGAAAAGCGGGACTAAAGCGGATCTGGTGCTGCTGGTGTCGCGAGAGATCAGCGCCAAGAGCCGCAGGGGGCTGAAGAAGGCCGGATGGCGGCTCAAGGAGATCGAGCGGATCAGGAACCCGCACGCCGTTCCCAAGACCTACAACGAGTGGAACTACAGGTGAGCAATCATGTGTGTCGTGGGAGATCAGCGCCAACGGCCGCAGGGGGCTGAAGAGGGCCGGATGGCGGCTGAAAGAGATTGAGAGGATTAGGAACCCGCACGCCGTGCCCAAGACTTATAACGAGTGGAACTACAGGTAGGTGGCCACTTCTATGGAGTGGAACCGGGTGGTTGGGGGACGCTTATAACGGGTGGGACAATAGAAATGGGTAGAGGGACGGAGTAAAAGGGGCCTCCATGTACACACCCCATTCCCCAACGCCCGCCTTGCGTCTACTCATTGTCTCCGATTTTGCAGGGTGTTTTTGAGAATTCTCAATAAACACCCTGCGTCTACTCATCGTCTCCGATTTTGCAGGGTGTTTTTGAGAATTCTCAAAAACACCCTGCGTCTACTCATTGTCTCCCCCGCCGTCCCCAAGCTGAGGCTGGCACTCAGGCAACCCCGCCCCCGCCTAATCCTCACCCACGCCAGCAAGCTGCGGCTATGGCGATTGGGGGAGTACCCAAGGTGGTGCTTGGAGGCTGGGAAACAACGACATGGTGAATAACTGAGGTGCCATCACCTGCCCAGGCCCCCCCCCCCCCCCTTCTCTCCACCTCCCACTGGCAAGCTGCTCTTGTGGCAACTAGAGGAGTACGACAAGGTTGTCTTTGTTGCCTCAGACACCAAGACATGGTGAGAAAGTTTGATACCCTCTAACACCTGCCCGCTTTCCCCTCTACGCCCTCCTCCCACCGGCAAGCTGCGCCTGTGGCAACTAGAGGAGTACGACAAGGTCGCCTTGCGGGCTGACACAGAGACATGGACACGTGATGGGGTATCGCTAACACCTGCCCTCCTTTCCCTCCCGCCCCCCCCTCCCCCCACCAGCAAGCTGCGCCTGTGGCAGATGGAGGAGTACGACAAGGTCGTCTTCGTCGACTCGGACATCCTCGTCTTAAAGAACCTCGACTTCCTCTTCGGCTACCCCGAGCTCTCGGCCCGTGGCAACGCGCGGCACCTGTTCAACTCAGGCGTCATGGTCCTAGAACCCTCCAACTGCACCTTCAATCTCTTCATGTCGCATGTTACCACGTTAACCTCCTGTAACGGCGGCGACCAGGGGTTCTTGAACAATGTTTTCGCGTGGTGGCACCGGCTGCCCGAGACGGTCAGCATGCTGAAATATGCTTGGCACGGGGGCGGGAAGAATAAGACCGAGCAGCGAGAGCAAATGGACCGGGTATTTTCAGCTGACCCGCCGAGGGTGCACGCGATCCACTACCTGGGGAGGAAGCCGTGGCAGTGCTACCGGGAGTTTGACTGCACGTGGCTGTACCCGTGGGACCACCAGTATGTGAGCGACGCTGCGCACGCGCGCTGGTGGAAGGTGCATGACCAGATGCGGGCGTCCCTGCAGGAGTACTGCTGGCTGCCCAACAGGTGGGTCTCCTGCTCCCCTCTTCTCTATTGCCTGTGCGTATGTGCGTGTGTGTATGCGCGCGCGTGTGTATGCGTGCATGTGTGCGAGAGTGCACGCGATTCACTACCTGGGGCGGGAGCCGTGGCAGTGCTACTGGGAGTTTGACTGCAACTTGCTGTACCCGTGGGATCACCAGTATGTGAGCGACGCTGCGCACGCGCGCTGGTGGAAGGTGCATGACCAGATGCGGGCGTCGCTGCAGGAGTACTGCTGGCTACCCAACAGGTGGGTGGCTCTGCATATATATGTACATGTATTTGTATATGTAGATTATACAAAAGCTGCCTGGCCAGATGCGGGCGTCCCTGCAGGAGTACTGCTGGCTGCCCAACAGGTGCGTGGCTTTTACTGTAATATGTAGATTCATACATAGAGGCGCCTATAATGTATATGCGTATGTATATTTATAGAGACACAGAAGGTGCACGACCAGATGTGCGCATCGCTGCACGAATACTGCTGCCTACCCAACACTCGCGTATACTGGGTGGGTTGATCACTCGCGTATACTGCACGGTTGTAATGAGCGTGTGTGAGAGAGAGTGTGCATGTGTGCGTGCGTGTGTTTGTGATTTTTGAGTCGATCAAAAATCCCCAACAGGTGGGTGGGTTGATCACTCGTGTATACTGCACCATTGTAATGAGCGTGTGGGAGAGAGAGTGTGGGTGTGCGTGTGCGTGTGCTTGTGTTTGTTTCAGCTTGGGTTCTCTTCTTGAAAAAGGGAGGGATCAGCGGGTGTCTGTCCCTTGTCTTCCCGCTCCCTGTCCCTCACCCCACTGAGTAGCCTGTTGGATAAAAAACGTGCAAACTGCTGCAACAGGAAAAAGGTCCACTGTGAGGAGTCTATTTTTGGGGCGCCTAAAAGACGGCGCCTACAAAATTTGCTCCCTGTCCCTCAACCCACTGAGTATCCTGTTGGATAGAACTGCTGCAACAGGAAGAAGGTCCACTGTGAGGAGCCTATTTGTGAGGAGTCTATTTTTTAGGCACCTAAAAACTTTGCTCCCTGTCCCTCACCCCACTGAGTATCCTGTTGGATACAAAGCTGCAACTGCAAAAAAGGTCCACTGGGTGATTCTCCTCTCCTCCACCCTCCCATCCTCCCCCCATCCTCCCCCCATCCTCCCCCCATCCTCCCCCCATCCTCAAACCATCCTCCCCCCATCCTCAAACCATCCTCCCCCCATCCTCCCCCCATCCTCCCCCCATCCTCCTCCCATCCTCCCCCCATCCTCCCTCCATCCTCCCCCCATCCTCCCCCCATCCTCCCCCCATCCTCCCCCCATCCTCCCCCCATCCCACGATTTACCACCGTATGGAAGGCAGAGATGGAGTATTGCAGCAGAGTGCCTGTGAGGGAGAAAGGGTCTTTAGCAAACTCTGTCTCTCTGTTCCTCCTCTCTCTCCCCCTCCCTCCACCCCCCCCTTTTCAGATGGAAGGCGGAGATGGAGTATCGGAGAAGTGTGCTCAAGAAGGAGAAGGCACAACTTTCTCTGTTCCTCTCACCTCCCTCTCTTTCGCCCTTCCTCCATCCTCCCCTTTTTCAGGTGGAAGGCGGAGATGGAGTACAGAAGACGAGTGCTCAAGAAGGAGAAGGCTCCTGCTGCTTTCTGGAATTTCACAGTCGCGGATCCGAGGAGGGACCTGTGTGTGAAGGGGCAGACGACGTGCAACTGGCGGGGGTACCTCAAGCACTGGAAGAAACGATGAGGGCATGGGGTTAATATGCATGGGTGTTATGGGCATAGGCCCTAGGTGTAATGGGCATGGGGCCTAGGAGCCATGGGCGTATGGCCCAGGTATAATGGGCGTAGGCGCCTTAAACACACACGGGACCCGTGGAGGGCCAGGCGACGTGCAACTGGCGGGGGTACCTCAAGCACTAGAAGGAACGATGAGGGCATGGGTGGGTGGGTGGGTGGGTGTGGTCGTGCATATGTACATGGGCCTACTTTACAGGCTCGATGCAGACATAGTTTGTACATGGTCTGCAAGCAAGCTCTAATTGGCAAGGACTCTAGGTCGCATAGGAAAGGCAGTTTTGCAGTGTAGAGTGTACAGTGTAGTTTGTGTCTCATGCACCTGTTATGGTAGCTCTGATACATGTGCTGCCAGCATACTGTAAGTGTATCAGATTATTCAAAAGTTAGGTAATCTACATTAGTGTACGGTACAGCACCTGCTGTAGAAGGCAATTAGAAAGCATTTCCCAAACATCTCACAATTTCCATCTAGTACTACAGAACCTTGCTAGAACACTAGAACCCAGAAGCAAGGAGAGTTAACGGTTACTATATGGCATATTACTTCTACAAAAATCAAGTCCCAGAAAAAGTGAAGCAAGCAAGGGTTTGGTTGGTGGTCACCAAACCTCTGCCTTTTCCCAACACATGGAAGTTACGGTACCCCACAGCATGCCAATGCCAATCCCAGCAACAAGCCTGATGGCGGGGGGACATCAGCATTGCAGCCGTTTCTGCAGGCACCTACTGGTACTCCTTGGTACCCCTTGATACGAGCTGTTGCAGCTGAGTGTGAGGGTGAGGGTGAGGGCGGTGTGGGGAGAGGTTTGAAGCGCCTAGAAGATTCCTAGCTGCATCTACTGGGTTGCAGCTAATCTTTTACCCAGCGGGCCTGATGGCGGGGATGCATCAGCATGCGGCCGCTTCTGCATGTAGCTCTTGGCGGGGCCGGCTTGGGGTGCGGGGCGCGGGGAGGAGAAGGAGAACTGCCGCGACGTGATGCCCTGCATGCGGTACTTGGGGTGCTCCGCTAGGAACCTGAGGGGTGGAGAGTGGTGAAGAGGGGTGCGGAGGGGATGAGGGGTGAAGTGAGATGGGGAAAGGGGCAATGCGGTGCCCTCTTATTAGTGCGACGTGATGCCCTGCATCCGGTACTTGGGGTGGTCTGCTAGGAACCTGAGGGGTGGAGAGCAGTGGGGAGGAGGGATGGGGAAGGGTGGAGAGGGGTGGAGACGGGTGGAGAGGTGTGCAAAGGGGTGATGTGAGCCTGGGAAAGGTGCAGCGTCTCAGCGATGTGATGCCCTGCATGTGGTACCTGGGGTGGACTGCTAGGAACACGGAGGGGTGGAGAGGGGTGGGGAGATGTGGAGTTGGATTGGAGCGCAGTGACATAAGATGCTCTACTGTTGCAAAAGATGTGTGACGCCCGGCACGTGGCACTTGGGATGGTCCGCTAGGAACCGGGACGTGGAAAGGGTGGGGGGGAGGGGTGGAATGAGGTGGAGTGAGGTGAATTGGGGCGCTTTGCTCCCTTGCTCACCTCTCAACATCAGACTCCCTTGCTCACCTCTCAACATCAGACTCCCTTGCTCTCCTCTCAACATCAGACTCCCTTGCTCTCCTCTCAACATCAGACTCCCTTGCTCTCCTCTCAACATCAGAGTCCCTTGCTCACCTCTCAACATCGTTGACTGATCTCAACGACTTGCCGCACGGTGAATGGTAGTACCTGCAAGCGATGAAGGGGTGCAAAATAATGAAAGCAGAAATATACATATGTATGTATATACATATATTTTTATAGATCACTTGCTTGGAGCACCAAACGAAGCAATACAGACATACCCTGGCATCCGGACATTCCGTTAGACGAGTTCGGAGAGACAAAAGAGGCTCCGATATCCTCACACTTGTGTTACATTAAAGAACTTTATTTTTCCTAAAAAAAAAAAAAAAAAACCTAAAAAAACGCGCTGTCGCTCACACGTCTGAAAACTTCGCGGAAGACCCTCCGCGGACCACAATGCGCCGCCGCCACCCGGGCGGAGGCTGCGGGATATCGGGGCGGTCGAGCGCCCACATGTACGTGCCGTCCTGCACTAGGTCCGGGTCGTCCGCGCACGAGCACGCGGGCTTCCAGCGCTGCGCCTGCGCGCACGTAAATGGCTCGATCGACACGCGCGCGCGGATGCTCTCGTACTCGTCGAGCGTGGGCGCCTTGCGCCACTTGTAGCATAGCGCGCACTGCACGGCGAAGGCCACCAGGGTGGCTGTAGCGCGCTTGTTTGAGTCGGGCGGCGTGGCGGCTGTAGCGCGCTTGTTGTTTGAATCGGGCGGGGTTGCCGCCGCCGCTGCCACAGCTGGTACGGCTGGTGCGGCTGGCGTGGCTGGTGCGGCCGCTACAGCTGGTGCGCCGGCTGGTGTGGCTGGTGCTACAGCTGCTACAGCTGTTACGGCTGATGCGGCCGGTTCGTCGGCGGCGCCTGCTGCTGCGGGGGCGTCCGGTTTTCTGACAGGTGCGGCTGCTGACGTGTCGAGCGACGTTGACATGGCTGTTGAAGCTGCGAGCGCAGAGAGGGCTGTGATAATAGGGTCGATACGGATGCGATTACCGAGGCAATTATAGGGTCGACAATATGGAGTGCTTAGAAATACGGAAGTCAAGGATACTTCAAAAGTCGGCTGTGACGGATACGGCTGCGATTAGTGAGCCGCATAAAAATGGCTTAGCCTTTGCAGCTCCGATGAGTACGTCGCGCTATGAAATACCCCAATGCAAACTCTTCCGTGCAGTGCCGATGTACTAGTGACGGCACTAAATGACCTCCCCTGAAGGCTGGCCTATATTAAAACAAGCGTACGCTGGAGTCTGTAAGAGGAGCCGCGACCCGGCTTTGCGCTAGAAAGGTAGCTAGGAGATCCTACGAGCGCCAAAAAATAGCGCGAGCAATTTGTGAGGGCCTGGGAAGGTTGTGACAGAAAACCTACGTCCAAGCTACATAGAAGCTACATAAACCTACCACGCGACCTGAACCACGACCACTTAGGGCTTGGTAAGACCCGATCTCAGACGGGCGAGGATCGAGTCCCGTCGAATTGTAACTAGTAGGCTAGGTGAAAATAATTTCGCTCGCGCGAGTCAGATTCTAGTTACATGTCCTTCGCTAACTGAACAAGGATGAACACAGCTTTCATCCTCAATGAAGTAAGGAGGGACTGAACAGAGCCTTCTTACTCGCCAGGATGTGTTTCTCTGGGAGGTATTGGGCACATTTGTTAGCTGATATGTCATAGTACTCCGGTTTTGAAAGGACCAAATATATTACCCATTTCACAAATCTCATGCATACCCATCTCACAGCAATCCAAGCAAAATAAAATATGAATCCCGTTTCAGCACTGGCACGTTTCGGAAATAGCATCTACACGAAAAATGTCACTATTTATGCAATCAAAGGTTGTGCATCAGGTCAAAGCACCCGCTCCCAACGTCTACCACCCTCCCCAACGCAATCCTTGAAGACGGAGACTCCATCCTATCCGTATGGCCCCTCGACGCCGCATTAATCAAAAACTTAGTCGCCGTTTCAAAACTCATCTTCAAAATCGGCGACGGGTTCGCGTCGATCCCAACGCGGTTACACGCACGGTAACCACCATCATACGTCATAAAATCCGCAATCAAGCCCAGATGCCTGGGATCCACCGAAATCCCATACATTCCGAACACGCCCCGGACCTCCTTCACGATCGTCGCTCGCGCCGCCTCCACTCCAAACGTCGTCAGAACCGCCGCGATGTGATTGGTTGTGAGGCGGTCCACATCTAGCACCCCTTCGTCATCGTCCACACCAGTGGTTCTAGCGGCGAGCTCCCAGAGGCCCGGGATGTTGAGCCCCTCAACTTGGATTCGGGGGGGTTGGCCGGGGGATGCTGGCTCAAGTGCGGCGCAACGCTGCACTCCGGGGGTTGCTCGCACTTCCACTGATGCTGCCACCTTGTCAACAATCTGAGGGGTTGGTGAGGGGTGTTGTTGGGGAAGGAAAGTTTGGGGGAAAGGGAAGAGAAGAGATTTTTGAGGGGGGGGGGAGAGGGGGCAGGCTGAGGGATGCTGACTCTTGGGCGGCGCAACGCTGCACTCCGGCGGTTGATTGCACTTCGACTTATGCTGCCACCTTGTCAACAATCTAAGTGGTTGGTGAGGGGTGGGGTTGAGGTGGGTTGGGGGAGAGCGAATGGAAGAGAAGGAAGTCGGGGGGTGGGGGTTGGCTGGAGGATGCTGGCTATAGGGCAGGGCAACGCTGCACTCTGGGGATTGCCCGCACTTCCACTGATGCTGCAACCTTGTCAACAATCTAAAAGGTCCATGAGGGATGGGGTTGAGGTGGGTTGGGGGAAGGGGGGTTAGGGGAAGGGGGGTTGGGGAGAGCAAAGGAAAGCAAAGGGAATTGTGGGGGGTTGATTGGGGGATGCTGACTCTAGGGCAGCGCAGCATTGCACGCCTGTGGTTGTAGCACAGGTGGTTGTAGCGGCTAGCTTGTAGCGGCTAGTTCCCAGAGGCCCAGGATATTAAGAGAGAGTGAGAGAGTGCATTCCATGTCATTATAAGCACAACCCACCTCGTGAATGAGCACAGTGGGCGATGTCACTGGTGCGGACAGCACCACCTGTGAATGAGCACGGTGGGCGAGGCCACCGGCACCGACAGCACCATCTGCATCCAGTTGTCAATATAATCGCAAGCCCTCCCTTATTATAAGCACAACCCCTCCCTGATCATAAGCACATCTCACCTCGTGGGTGAGCACAGTGGGCGAGGTCACGGGCACCGACAGCACCATCTGCATCCAGGTGTCGCCACCTTCCAAGTTTTCAACCCCTCGTTATGATCACAGCTCACCTCGTTATGAGCACCACACTCACCTCGTGGGTGAGCACAGTGGGTGACGACACCGGCACGGACAGCACCATCTGCAGCCAGTTGTCGCCAGCTGTCACTGTCGCAACTGACCTCTCCCGCCCTCTCTTCTTCTTCTTTCCCCCCTCCCCCTCCCCCTCCCCCTCCTTCTCCCCCGCCTTCTTTTTCTTGCTGCCCTTCTTCTTCTTCCCCTTGCCTGCTGGCCCCCCTGCTGCTACTACCAATGCTCCTGCTGCTGCTTTACCCCCCTCTTCCCCCTCTTCCCCCTCTTCCTCCTCTTCTTCCTCATCCTCCTCTTCCTCCTCCTCTTCCTCCTCTCCACTGTCCGGCCCTCTCTTAGTCAACCCCTTGCCCTCCCCCTCTGCCTGCTCAACTCCCTCCTCTCCCTCCACCCCTTCCTCCTCCTCCTCCTCCTCCTCTCCCTCTCCCTCTACTTCTTCCTCCTCTTCCTCCTCCTCCTCATAATCTTGCTCATCATCCCCCTGACCCCTCTCCTTCTCAGCATCCTTCCCATCCTCCTCCCCTCCCTCCTCCTCTTCCTCCTCCTCTGCTTCATCCTCCACCGTCCCTCCCTTCTTCCCTCCCTTCCTCCCCCCTCTCTTCCTACCCTCCGTCCTCTCCCCTCCGTCCTCCCCCTCCTCCCCCTCCCCCGCACCCCCCTCTCCCCCCTCCCCACTCCCCTCTGCAGTAACCACCACACCCCCGCCACCCGCCCGATCAAAAGCCCTATCCAACGCCTTAGCCACCCTAGGAACGAAGTCATAAGTAAAGGCGGCTTGAATCTCCTCAAACTTAATAGCCAGGTCGGCAGGGTAGCGGCTGATGGGGTGGAAGGAGAGGCGGACGACGTAGCGCCTGCAGTTGCGATCTAGGCTGTTCATCTGCACCAGATCCGTGCTCTCCGACACACGGACGGCCGAGATGAGCTCGGCCATCGTGATCCGACGGAGCTGATTGGCTATGCGCTGGGCGTCCTCCCTGGAAAAAGGATCAACAAGAGGATGGATTTTGAGACAGTTTAAAGGAATGGAAGCACGAATAAGCGGACAGTTTAGCAAGAGGACTCCATCCTCAGGAGTGGAGATGTTAAGAACCACTCGAGTGAACCACCCTACCAGTTTTTAGTTAAAACTAGTTGAGGACACAAGGCTTGCTGCGGTTCGATTCCTTCAAACTCTCCATCCTCAGGAGTGGAGGTGTTGCGCACAGCAGTCACTCATGAGGATCCTTCCATCGAATCTCCTTCCCCCAACTCTCAACTAGACAGACTCACATGGTGCGGCGCGGAAGCACTCACATGGTGCGGCCGGGCAGCAAGGGGCAGTCCATGACAGGCGTGGAGATGTTGCGCGCAGCCGTCATGAGGATCTCGCGAAGGCGCGGGATCCCCAGAGTCACGTTCGCCTCGCCTCGACCTGCGAAGTGGAAGGTGTTGAGCCTGGCGTGGGGGAGGGGAGTGGTGCAAAATGGTTCCATGGTTTGAGGTGAGGTGAGGCTCAATATGTTGCGAGCAGAGCAGCAAGAGTCACACGGATCTTCCCGAAAGCACGAATCCCCAGAGCCACACTGGCTTCGCCTCGCCAAAGAGACACGTGATGAGCCTGGCGTGGGGGAGGGGAGTGGTGCAAGATATGCTTTAAGCCTCAATACGCTGTGAGAGGCGGTCATGAGGATGGAACGCAATGAGTCACACTGGCCTGGCCTCGCCCTGCAAAGTGGAGCGGGTTCAGCCTGGCTGCCTGGGGCGATATGGGAGGCAGAGGGAAGGGGGAATAGGAGGGACACAGGAGGAATAGGAGGGACACGGGAGGAATAGGAGGGACACGGGAGGAATAGGAGGGACACGGGAGGAATAGGAGGGACACGGGAGGAATAGGAGGGACACGGGAGGAATAGGAGGGACACGGGAGGAATAGGAGGGACACGGGAGGAATAGGAGGGACACGGGAGGAAAAGGGAGGCGCATCGTCGGCAACGACAGTATCGTCGGCAACGACAGTATCGTCGGCAACGACAGTATCGTCGGCAACGATAGTATCGTCGGCAACGACAGTATCGTCGGCAACGACAGTATCGTCGGCAACGACAGTATCGTCGGCAACGACAGTATCGTCGGTTACGACAGTATGCCCACGAACTGCCATCACCCCATCCACCCTCATCATTGGTTCACCCTTTAGTTCGCCATCTGATTCACCGTTTAGTTCACCCACTCACGTCATCTGAGTCGATGGCTCCCCCACCGACTGAGCTGCCAGCACCCCCACCGGCTCCCCTGGCTGCACCGTCGACGCCAGGTACTTCATCGCCAGCACCTCTCTCAACCGCTCTGCATCCGCCTTCCTCGCCTTCAACCCCTTCTTATCCCCCTTCTTCCCGCCCTTCCCCAGAACCACCTCCTGCAGAAACTTCTCGGAAGCAGCCTGGAACGCCGGAGAGACCACCCCGAGCTTGGATCCCGGGCACTCGAGATCCATCAGCTCAGCAGCCGCCAGTGCAGGGTCTGTTGTGCCATGGTCTGTTCCTTCCTTCTCAGCAGCGTCAGCAGCAGTGCCAGCAGCAGCATTGGAACGTGGTGCCACTTTCTCGAGGCCGAGTGCCTTGGCTTCGTCGAGCCGAAGGGCTGAGGCCTCCTGCTGTGCGTTCTGTTGGGGTGCAGGAAGGGCAGAGCGAGCAGAGAGACACATAGGGGTTCAGGAAGGGGAGAGGGACGCATAGGAGAGGGGTGCAGGAGGGGGAGAGCGACGGGAAAGACACATAGGAGCTTAGCAAGGGCAGAGCGAGTCCTTTTTTTTTTAAGACGCCTCAAAAAGGGCTGAGGCCTCCTGCAGTGCGTTCTGTTGGGGTTCAAGAGGGGCAGAGCGAGCAGAGAAACACTTAGGGGTTCAGGAAGGGGAGAGTGAGGGAAGAGACGCATAGGGCATTTGAGTGGAGGTCCTTGAGGTATCAATCGCGTCCTCTCCCTACCGGAACGGAACTGTATGGAGCTGTATGGAGCTGTATGGAGCTGTATGGAGCTGTATGGAGCTGTATGGAGCTGTATGGAGCTGTACGGAGCTGTACGGAGCTGTATGGAGCTGTATGGAGCTGTATGGAGCTGTATGGAGCTGTATGGAGCTGTATGGAGCTGTATGGAGCTGTATGGAGCTGTATGGAGCTGTATGGAGCTGTATGGAGCTGTATGGAGCTGTATGGAGCTGTATGGAGCTGTATGGAGCTGTATGGAACTGAATGGAGCTGTATGGAGACTATGGAGTTCTGTGCAGTGCACACGATGGATGAGTGGGTCGCTGCCCTGCTCCTCACTCACGCTCGCACGCGGTACGACCTCACAAACACGCCTTTCCTACTATCACTGAGCGCGGTACTAGCACTGAACGCACTTCATTGTGCACCATCAGGCTCAGCCCTCAAGACTCATGACTCAACACTCAAGACTCAAGACCCAAGACTCAAGTCTCAAGACTCCAGGACTCAAAACTCAAGACCCAAGACTCAAGACCCAAGACTCAAGACTCAGGACTCAAGACACAAGACCCAAGACTCAAGACTCCAGACCCAAGACTCAAGACTCAAGACTCATGACTCAAGACTCAAGACTCAAGACCCAAGACTCAAGACCCAAGACTCAAGACCCAAGAATCAAGACTCAAGACTCATGACTCATGACTCAAGACCCAAGACTCAAGACCCAAGACCCAAGACTAAAGACTCAAGACCCAAGACTCAAGACTCAAGACTCAAGACCCAAGACTCAAGACCCAAGACTCAAGACCGAAGACTCAGGACTCCAGACCCAAGACTCAGGGCTCAGGGCTCACCTCCTTGATGAACTCGAAGTTGGTGAGGAAGGAGGTCCGCGATGTGTCGATGGCGTCCTCCCCATACCGGAACTGCACAATGGACGAGTCGCTGTCCCGCACGCTGCAGTCGTAGTGCACCCTCAGCCCCTCCAAGTTCTTCACCAGGCACCGCTGCAGGTACCCACTGCGGGATGTCTTGACTGTTGTGTCGACCAGCCTGGGGGTCAGAGGAAGGGGCGAGGAGCGGGGAGGGAACCGAGGGAAGAAGGTTGAGTCGCTATCCCGCACGCTGCAGTCGTAGTGCAGCCTCAGCCCCTCTAGGTTCTTCACCAGGCACCGCTGCAGGTACCCACTGCGGGATGTTTTCACTGTTGTATCCACGAGCCTGGGGGTCAGAGAAATTGCGCACGATAGAAGAAGGTTGAGTCGCTGTCCCCTCCAGTTGTAGTGCACCCTCACCCTCACCCTCACCCTCACCCTCACCCTCAGCCCCTTCAGGTTCTTCACCAGACAGCACTGCAAGTAGCCACTGCGGGAGGTCTTGACTGTCGTGTCCACGAGCCTGGGGTGGGGAGATACGGAGAGAAAGGGGAAGGAGAAGGGGAAGGGATAACGAGGACAAGGGACGGATGGAGGCGTCTCTGTCTCGCATGCGGGACAGCCTGGGGTGGGGAGCTAGGGAGCAAAAGGAGAAGGGGAAAGGGATAACGAGGACAAGGGACGGATGGAGGCGTCTCTGTCTCGCACGCGGTAGTCATAGTGCACCCTCAGGCCCTCTAGCTTCTTCACCAGACAGCGCTGCAAGCTCCCGTTTCTAGAGGGCTTGACAGGAGTGTTGTCCACGAGCCTGGGATTTCTATTTTTGAGGCGCCTCAAAAATAGCTCCCGTTTCTAGAGGGCTTGACAGGAGTGTCCACAAGGCTGGGATTTCAGAGGAAGAGGTGAGAAAGGGGTGAGAAAGGGGTGAGAAACGGGGAGGGAACGCGAGGAAATAAGGTTGAGCCTCTGTCCCGCATGCTGTAGCCATAATGCCACAATGTAAGCGTAAGCTAAGCACCCTCCTTACATAATGTACCCTCTCAGCAGCATGCCCTTCAGTCCTGTTGCGATGAAAACGGATTAGATCCAACCAAGGCCATCCAGCCCAGGCTCTTCACACTATCAAACACACCACACCTGGGCAGAAACAGCAGCACACACACACGCATTACAACAGCCGTACGCACCCGTCTCGACCCGCCATGCAGTGGAAGTAGTACTCCTGCGGCCTCAACCCCGTCAAAAACCGATCGGCAATGAACCCGCCCGCCCGGGCCTCGGTGCTCCACGACTCGAAGCACGGGAGAGTCTTCCCCGACGCCATGCGCGGCACTCTCTTGCCCTCCAGCTCCTGCTGCCCCAGCAGCACCGCGATCTGGTTGAAATTCACGCCGCTGCCCTTGGCGCCCGTCACCGTCATCAGCGACATGCAATTGGCCGGGAAAGGTTTCAGCTGCCCGTCGGGCAGCGCGGCGGACGTGGCTGCAGTGGTGACCTTGCTGAGAGCAGAGGTCATTCGGTTGTCAAGGGCAGCTGTGGCGGCGTCCTTGCGAGTTCGAAGCTGAAGAGCTACATGCTCCCGCACCCACTCCTTGTCGGCGTCTGTTCATGAGAGAGGGAGGGAGGGAGGGGAAGGGGGAACTGAGACGTTTAGTGGCTGCAGTGGTGACTTTGCTGAGAGCAGAGGTCATGCGGTTATCAAGGGCAGCTGTGGCGGCGTCCTTGTGAGTGCGCAGCTGAAGGGCCACATGCCCTGCACACACTCCTTGCTGGCAGCTGGGATAAGGAAAGGCAAGGGGAACGAGAGTCGGAGACTCTTTGAGTGGCTGCACTGGTGGCTTTGCGGAGAGCAAAGGCTGTCATGCGGTTGTCAAGGGCTGCTGTTGCGGCATCCTTGCAACTGCGCAGCTGAAGGGCCACGTGCTCCCTCACCCACTCCTTGCTCGCAGCTGGGATAAGAAAGCGCCATCTAAGCAGCTCCGTTGACTCCCAGCCCAACCTTCTTCCCAACCCCCACCACTCACTCGCCGCCTTCTTCCCTGTGAGCCCCACGAACTGTGCGTGCACGGGATCTCCAATGCTGTCCGCCCGAGATATGATTGCCGCCCGCTCCGCCTCGGCCGGGCGTGTCAGCAGCAGATCGCCCACCCCGCAGGTGAACCCGCGGATCTGAAAAGGAGAGATGGGGTTGGGAGTGGGGTGGAAGGGCAAGGTGCAAATCGGCGACCTTTTTTACCCCCCCTCCCCCATTTTTTTTTGCCTGTACGGTACGGTACAGAATTAAACGGCCGTATAATGAAAAAAGCGGGTTGATTTTTTCCTTCTGATTGGTTGGAAAATTCGGCCCCTTTTTCTGGAAAAAAAGAATGGAAACAAGAAAGAAAGAAAGAAAGAAAGAAAAAACGGCGAAATGCGCGGATCTGGCATTTCGCACGCCGATATGCGCGGATCTGACATTTCGCCCACCACAATGCGCGGATCTCACGTTTCGGCGGACGAGATGCGCGGATCTGGCGGACGTTTAGTTCCCCCCCCCAAAATCACAGGAAAAAAACGACCGCATAAAACGAGCGAAAAAAATGGCCAACCAAAAATGCCCACGTTGTGGAAGGGTGGGGGAGTGGACCTACTGCAGGAACAAGACTCACCTGGGGGAAGCAATGACAGGACCCGGACCAACTTGCAGGAAGGGTATTTTTGAGAATTCTCAAAAATACCCTGCAGACCCGGACCCGCTTGGAGGAAGATGGTGAGCAACCCTGAACCCGAAACCTTGAACCCTAAACCCTGAACCCCGAGGACAGCAGCTTGCCGGCAGCAGAGCAGCCGTGGAGCGCCTGGAAGCAGTGCACGAGGTGTCCCTAGAGGCGGCTGAGCGACGAGAGCAGCTTGCCCGCAGCGGAGCAGCTGTAGAGCTCCTGGAAGCAGTGCACGAGGTGTCCCTGGGAGGGCACCGAACGGACCTACTAAAGAGAGCCAGTCTCACCTGCAGGAAGGTGGTGAAGAGGCGGCTGAGCGACGAGAGCAGCTTGCCCGCAGCGGAGCAGCCGTAGAGCTCCTGGAAGCAGTGCACGAGGCCGTAGCGCGCGAACTGCGCCTTGTCAAACACTCCGGTCACCACCTCGCCGCCGCGCACCTGAGACAAACACTCCAAGACACACAGGAGTGTGGCGGCAGCAGGGGGGGGGTGAGGTGAGGAGTGCAAGAGTGCACAGCAGTGAGGGCAAGAGTGCACTCATAGAGCTCCTGGATGCAGTGCACGAGGCCGTTGCGCGCGAACTGCGCCTCGTCAAACATTCCAGTTACCACCTCACCGCCGCGCACCTGAAGTGGGGAGGGGTGGGTGTGTGTGAGTGGTGGGTTAGCTGTCAAACAGCCCGGCCACATACCACCTGGCCGCCACGCAACGAGGGGACCAAAGGAAAACCGTTCCAATGGAGTGCGCTTGCCCACTTGGCGCACGAATCTATGCGCACAAACTTAACCAGCGCGATTCCCTCTCAGCGCCCCACTTACCCGCAGCGTTGCATCCTCCTCCCGTCACCTTGCATGGAGAATGCAAAATCCAAGGATTAGCCAACCCAACCCCCCTCCCCACCTCCCAGCTTGCCCGCAGCGTCGCATCCTCCTCCCGTCCCTTGCCCCAATAGCGTGCCGACACCTTGCAGACCACCATGCGAGGAGGATGCAAATACCAAGAATAAATCTCCCCAGCCCACCTCCCAGCTTACCCGCAGCGTCGCATCCTCCTCCCGTCCTTTCCCCCAGTAGCGCGCCGACACCTTGCAGGCCACCTCCATCGTCATTGGCTGCTGTCCAGCTGTCAGCAGCTGCAGCAAGGCTGTTATCACCTGGAACAGAGATAAGAGAAATGGGGAAGGGAAGGGAAGGGTGGACGGATGAGAATGGGTGGTGCTGAGAGGTGGGACGCGGGCACCTTGCATGCATGCCACCTCCATCGCCATTGGCTGCAGGCCCGCTGTCAGCAGCTGCAGCAAGGCTGCAGTCACCTGAGGGGGATGGGAAAGAAGGGGGGGAGGAGAACAAGGGGCGAGGTGACAGGCAGGTGAGACAACCACCTTGCACGCCGCCTCCATCGTCATAGTTTTGAGGCGCCTCAAAACCGCACGCCGCCTCCATCGTCATCGCTTCTACAGGGTGCTTTTGAGAATTCTAAAAAACACCCCGAAAATTGAGAGGTGAGTGAGATGGGCCCCTTGCACGCCGCCCCCATCGTCATTGACTGCTGCTGCCCCACTGTTAGCAGCTGCAACAAAGCCGTGATCACCGAGGTTGGTAAGTGGGTGGGGGGTACAGGGGGAACGAGGAGGGCGGGACAGTGGGAAAACTGAGAGGTGAGAGATGGGCCCCTTGCACGACGTTGCCGCCCCCATCGCCAGTGGCTGCTGGCCAGCAGTGAGCAGCTGCAGCAACACTGTGACCACCTGACGGGGATGGGGGAAGAGGGAAACGGGGAGAAAAAGAGTGGGGGAAGAAGGGGAGGAGGGGATATGGTGCCAGATACGAAGGGCACCTGGTGGGTGGGAGGAGGAGCACGCCAGTGGACATGGCTGGTAACCGGCAGGGAAATGGGGGGTCGGGAGAGCAAGGCTGACTTTTGAGTCGACTCCAAAATGGGGGGTGGGGAGAGCAAAGGTGATTTTTGAGTCGACTCAAAAGGCGATTTTTGAGTCGACTCAAAAATCCCCACCCTCAACTGTTCCCCAATCTCACCTGTTAGCCGCGCCACAGCATCTCTGGTTTGACCACAGTAGGCGGCGCGGCGGCATGGCGATGGCACCACTGCCAGCCTCAGGTAGAGCCCTGGTCTCCACCGCTGCCTTCCTGACTTCTGGAATCTCCTCCCCAAGGGCACCTGCTGAAAGTACAGAAAGACAACTCATGTGCTGCCCTCACCTGCTTCCCCGTCCACAGCGGACGTGGCTGCCGGTGGGAGTGTTGTGGTGGGGGTAGTGGTGGCACTCTCACCTGTTTGCCCGTCCACAGCGGCTCTGGTTTGACCACAGCAGGCGGCGGCAAGGGAATGGCAGCCGCACCGGCCTCAGGGAGAGCGCGGATCTTCACCGCTGCCTTCCTGTCTGCAGAAGGGAGTGTTGTGGTGGCGGTGGCTGCTGGTGCTGTGTCCGTGGGAGGAGCAGCGCTGCCAGCTGCAGCAGCAGCAGCAGCAGCACCGACAGGAATTGCAGGGGCACCAGCAGCAGGAATACCAGCAGCTTCAGCAGCAGCAGGAATACCAGCAGCTTCAGCAGCAGCAGGTTTGGCAGCGAGCTTGGAGTCAGCGGGGGAGGACTGGAAGAGGGGGTCGGCGGGAGGCAGGCAGGCGGAGAAGAGCAGCTGCTGGAACTCGGTGCGCGTGAGAAGCGTCCCGGGGGAAGTGAGGAGCGTGGCGGCAATGATGTGGTCCTGATGGGAGAAAGACGGAGGGGGGGGAGGGGGACAAACATTTGCAGCGGCACGCAGACAGGCACGCGGAGAAGAGGAGCTGCTGGACCTCGGAGAACGTGAGGAGCGTCCCAGGGGATGTCAAAAGCGTGGCGGCTATGGTGCGTGGTTCTGGTGAGAGGGAAGTGGAAAGATAAGTGAAACGCATGATACTTCAGTCCGCAACTAAAAAACGATTCACATGTGAATGTGTTGACACCCGTCAAAACACACAGATGCAACCTTCCCCAATCGCACCCGCACCTGAACGAGCCCTCTGGTAGGCAGGCCGTTGGTACACAGCAGTATGTACTGTATGTCAGCACTATCGAGTGTGCTTCTGTGAGTAGCACTGAAACACAGGAATCCGTACAACCTTCCCCAGTTGCACCCTCACCTGGATGAGCCCTCTGGCAGGCAGGCCGTTGGTGGGCAGTATGTACTGTAGGTCAGCATCCACTATCGAGTATGCTTCAGCGCGGCCAAGAGCGTCCTGCGGCAGATGCACGTTCATCTCGTCGCCGTCAAAATCCGCGTTGTACACACTGCGGTTATGAGGGGTGAAAAAGGTTGGAACGGGGCAAACAGGGGGATATAGTACGAGGGTAGATTTCAGGGTGTCAAAACTAGGGTGAACGTTGGTATGCATGCACGCACTGCAGACGACATCACACGACTCGGGAGGCACCTAAGGCCTTACCAAAAAAAAAAAAACGCTCTTGCAATAGGCATAACACATCTCTCTTTTTTGAGGGTCCTCACAGCCTCCTAACCACCAGTCTCTGTGTGACTCTAGCCCTTCACAATCCGACCTCCTGCTACAACCACACGACTCACTTGCAGTTGGCGTAGTGCAGCCGCAGGGTCTTCTCCCCCTTGAGGATCCTCACTCGGTGCGCCATGATGCCCGGCCGATGCAGGGTGGGCTGCCCAGAGGAAGAGAGGGAAAGAAAGAAGAACGGGAGTAAGGGTTGCAAGAGAGGATGATGCACAGTGGAGAGATAAGAAGAAGCGGAGAGGAGAGGAGGGAGGAGATAAGAAGAAGCGGAGAGGAGAGGAGGGAGGAGATAAGAAGAAGGTAGAGGAGCAAGGAAACGAGTTAAGAGAGCACGCCTGTCTGTTGACCAGCACCACATCCCTGTCCCGCATGTGCCGATAAACCGACTTCACCATCGCGCCCCCTTCCAGAGAGGAGGCGAGGAAGGAGAGGAGTGAGCACACACATGTTCCTTCACAAGCACATTGCCACCCCTCGTCTCACCTGTCGGTTAACGAGCACCACATCGCCGTCCCGCATGTGCCGATAAACCGACTTCACCATCGCGCGCCGCACATGCACCCCCTTTCCATCCACTCCCCCTCCCGCCCCTTTCCCCTTGCCGCCCTCCCCGCCGTCCTTCACGTGGACACCTGTCGCGCGCTGATTGGCCCCCAGCGCCGCAGCTGAGGGCGTGGAGAGCAGGGTGCGTGCGAGCGCTCGCCTGCGATCCTCATTGAGGTTGGCGAGGGAGATGAGCTGCCCCCTCTCGTCCTCCACGTGCGTCGCCCCTGGCAGCACGTCAGGCCCGTTCATTACCAGCTTGCCCAGATACTCCACGTTCCAGTCGGTCACATTCTGGATTGAAAGAGGGGAGGGTGGGGGGAAGGGGAGTAGAAAGAAGTCAGAACGGGGAAAGGTGGGAGGGCGTGGAGAGCAGGGTGCTTGCGGGCGCTCTCCTGCGGTCCGCGTTGAGGTTGGCGAGGGATATCAGCCGCCCCCTCTCGTTCTCCACGTGCGTTGCCCCTGGTAAGGACGTCCGGGCCGTTGACCACCAATCTGCCCAGATACTCCACGTTCCAGTCGGTCACTGTCTGGTTTGGAGGAAGGAGGGAGAAGAGGCGGGGAGAAGGGGGAGGAGAAGGAGGGGGGGGGGAGGAGGGGGGAGAAGGAGGGGGGAAAAGGAAGCAGGAGAAGGGGGGGGAGAGAGGGGAATAGGGAGGGGGTGGTGTGGGGGAGGAGGCAGAATGGAGGAACGTGGGACATTGGAGAGCAGCGCACGTGCGTGCGAGGCCCCGCCTGCCTCCAGTGACTATCCTTCCTTGGAGTGCGTTGAGTTGTGCCGCAAAGCCTGCAGGGCTCGTCCCTTTTCCCCAAACAGCTACCTGGCTGGAAGCTCACCGAGAGCGTCACTCGCGTAAGCATCGCAACAACAGCTGCTTACCTCAGCATACGTGAGTCGCTTGGCGAAGACGGGCGGCACTCCAATCTCGTTCACCTGATTTTGGATGGCAAGAAGAGGGGAGAAAAGCCAACCAACGGTGTGGAAGAAAGGGCCACTGGGTTTGGCACGTGCACACACGACGAGAATAAGCAAACATGCTGGGGGGATCCAACATGCTGGGGATCCAACAACCCAAACCACCCGTGCATGCATGGCTCCATGCTCGGCTCATCACAGCCGGTTGCACAAATACACGCAGTGGCCACACATGGTGCGTCGCCTCTAGACACATGAGGAGGCAGACGTGGATGTAGGGGTCCGGGGAAACAAGGTGACCTTTGAGTCGACTAAAAAAACAAGGTGACCTTTGAGTCGACTAAAAAAACAAGGTGACCTTTGAGTCGACTCAAAAAACAAGGTGGTGACCTTTGAGTCAGCTCAAAAGTCACCCTGCACGCACGGCTGCATGCTCGGCTCGTCACTGCCGTTGCACACATACTCGCTGTGGGCTGCTTTTGGGTCGACTCAAAAGCACACATGGTGCGTCGCCTCTAGACACAGACCTGGATGTAGGGGTCCGGGGAAATGACGGATCGGCAGGCATAGTTGACCCGCTTGCCCATCATGTTCATTCGAAAGAGCCCTTCCTTGCGCTCCAGCTGCTGCCGAACGCCGTTGGCCACATCTTTCTGCGTGCCTGAGCAAATGTTTGGGGGGGGGGGAAGGTGAAGAGAAGAGAAGGAGCAAGGGTGGAGGGGCGAGGGGAGAGGGGGGGTGGCTCGTGTAAACTGCATAGTGAACCATCCATCACATTCATTCGAAACAGCCCCTCCTTGCGCTCCAGCGGCAGCCGGATGCCGTTCGCCATGTCCTTCTGTGTGCCTGGGAAAGAGGAAGAGGGGAGGAGCAAGAGGAGAGATTGAAGGTGGGGAGGGGAGGAAGGGGTTCGCGCATTCATTTGGAAGAGCCCCTCCTTGCGCTCCAGCTGCAGCCGGATGCCGTTCGCCATGTCCTTCTGTGTGCCTGGGAGAGAATGAGAGAATGGGTGAGAGCGAGCAAGTGCATGAGCGAGCGAGTGAGTGAGTGAGCAAGCGAGTGAGTGAGCGAGTGAGTGAGTGAGCAAGTGAGTGAGTGAGTGAGTGAGTGAGAAGAGTGGTCTAAACAGCCTCTCAGCAGCTTCTCATCAGCCTCCCAGCAGCTTCTCAGCAGCCTCTCAGCAGCTTCTCAGCAGCTTCTCAGCAGCTTCTCATCAGCCAGATCTTTCGAAACCCAAACCCAAGTCAACTCACTCAGGCTGCTGTCCAGGAAGCAGTTCACATGGTGCTGCAGCTGCAGCCACGCAATCGCAGCCTTCCTCACATCCGTCGACTGCCCCTCCCCTCCCTCCGCTCCTCCTCCATCCACCCCTGCTGCATACACCAGCGTCGCCACCTGCCTGGCGGGACCGTCACCATCCCCATCCCCATCAGCATCAGCACCGGAGGCAGCAGCAGCAGCGGCGGTGGCAGCGGCATGCGAGGAATCTCGCCCGATCTGAGTGATGAAGAGGTTGGCCTCGAGGATCTTAGTGAGGAAGACGTTTTGCGGATGCTCCATCAGCTGACGGGAGGGGCGGAGAGAGGGGGGAGAGAGGGGAAGAGGGGAAGAGGGGAAGAGGGGGAGAGGGGAAGAGGTGAAGAGGGGAAGAGGGGGAGAGGGGAAGAGGGGAAGAGGGGAAGAGGGGGAGAGGGGAAGAGGGGGAGAGGGGAAGAGGGGAAGAGGGGAAGAGGGGAAGAGGGGGAGAGGGGAAGAGGGGAAGAGGGGAAGAGGGGAAGAGGGGAAGAGGGGGAGAGGGGAAGGGGGGAAGAGGGGAAGAGGGGGAGAGGGGAAGAGGGGAAGAGGGGAAGAGGGGAAGAGGGGAAGAGGGGAAGAGGGGAAGAGGGGAAGAGGGGGACTATGCAGCAGCAGCAGCGGCATGGGAGGAATCTCGCCCGATTTGAGAGATGAAAGACGTTTTGATAAAAGACGGGAAGGGAGAGCGAGAGAGGAGGAGGGGGATGTGTGTTAGAAGCACGTTCTGAGGGGGTGGGAGTGGGATGCTCCCTGAGCTTATATGAGGGGGGGGTGGGAGTGGGATGAGGGCTTTGAGGGAGTGTGAGGGGTAAGAGGCATGCCTCGTCTCGCCAGATTTGATTGGGGAGCGGAACTTATTTGGCGGCACGAGCAGACAGAGCAGCGCAGGAATAAGGGAAGATGGGAGAAAAACCAACCGGCCCCATAGAAGCAGTCCCTACCATCAAACTCCAATGAACCCACCATATCCTGCATCGGCTTGAGAGGGCGAATCTAGTTGCGTGGCACAATGAGGCACCGGAGGAAGAAGTAACACGAGAATGTAACGAGACCCATCCAGACCCCCACCCCACTGCACCCACCGCGCTGCACCCACTCCACTGCACCCACTCCACTGCACCCACCCCACTGCACCCACCGCACTGCACCCACCCCACTGCACCCACCCCACTGCACCCACCCCACTGCACCCACCCCTCTGCACCCACCCCACTGCAACCACCCCACTGCACCCACCCCTCTGCACCCACCCCTTTGCACCCACCCCACTGCACCCACCGCACTGCACCCACCCCACTGCACCCACCGCACTGCACCCACCGCACTGCACCCACCCCACTGCACCCACCGCACTGCACCCACCCCACTGCACCCACCGCACTGCACCCACCCCACTGCACCCACCGCACTGCACCCACCCCACTGCACCCACCCCACTGCACCCACCGCACTGCACCCACCCCACTGCACCCACCCCACTGCACCCACCCCACTGCACCCACCGCACTGCACCCACCCACCATGTCGTCTATCAGGTTGGGCGGGCGGAACTTGTTGGGCGGCACGAGCAGGCAGCGGAGAAAGAAGGCAGACGGCCACGCAGACACCGGTACCCCCGACGCAACCCCCCTGTGCTGATAATACTGCTGGTGATGGTACGGGGAGAGCGTAGAGGCCAAGGCAGAAGCCGAGGAGGAGGAGAGGGAGGAGGTGGGAGCGATGCTGAAGAGAGAATGGCAGATGGCCGGTTCTCGGATCCACAGCCGTCTCAAATGCTCCTCCACTTCCGCCACATTCATCAGAAAGGGCCGCGTTGTTACCACCTCTCCCTCTCCTTCCCCCCCCGCCCCCCCCCACTTCTTCCGCTTTGCTGCTAACCCCGCTGCGTACGCTGCTGATGCTGACGTGTAGCTGAGGATTTCTCCGTCCGGCCCGATTTTGAGCTCTGCGGGGTCCTTCCCAGAAGCTGCGGCGTCCGCCAGCTCAGCGAGGACGTCTGGGAAGGTGATTCCTGCCATGTCGTTCTGCTGCTGGTGCTTGGCAGGGAGAGGCTTCTGGGGGGTTGAGCAGAGGGTGGGTTTGGAGGGGTTTGGGGGGAAATGGGGGAGAGGAAGGCAGCTCAGCAAGCACGTCTGGAAAGACGATTCCCACCATCTCGCTCTGGTGCTGGTGCCTGCCAGGGAGAGGCTTCTGAAGGAATGGGTTAAAGAGTTGAGGGAAGGGGACAGGTTGTAAGAGTACAGTGTGAGAGGAAGGAGACTCCCGCCATGTCGTTCTGGCTCTGGTGCTTGGCAGGGAGAGGCTTCTAGGGAAAGGAGTAAGAGAGAGGGGAGGAGAAAGAGAGGGAGAGACGGTAGAAGGAGAGGGCGGGCGGGAGGTCAGCAAGGGGAAGATGCTTCCCGCCATGTCGTTCTGGCTCTGGTGCTTGCCAGGGAGAGGCTTCTGAGGGAAGGAGTCAGAGAGGGGGGGCGGGGGGGAGAGGGGGAGAGATGGCAGAAAGAGAGGGGGGAAGGCAGCTCAGCAAGCACGTCTGGTGCTTGGCAGCGAAGGGCTTCTGAGAGGGTGGATTCAGGGGGGAGGGGGGGAGAGAGGGGGAGAGACGGTAGAAGGAGGGGGGGAAGGCAGCTCAGCGAGGACACCAGGGAAGATAATTTCCACCATATCGTTCTGGTGCTGGCGTTTGGCAGGGAAGGGCTTCTGAGGGGGTGGATGGAAGTTGAGGGAAGGGAACAGGAGGTAACGGCAAGTAGGGTGGGGGGGTCTATTTTTGAGGCGCCTCAAAAATATGAGGCGCCTCAAAAAAAGGGGACAGGAGGTAACGGCAAGTAAGGTGGGGTGGAAGATAATTCCCACCATGTCGGTTCTGCTGCTGGTACTTGGCAGAGAGAGCTATCTGAGGAGGTGAGGGGAGGGTGGGTTTGGATCGGTTTGGAGGGGTGTGGAGGGAAGAGGAGGAGAGGAAGGAGGAGAGCGAGGAAGGCAGGTCAGCAAGAACGTCCGGGAAGGTGATTCCCTGCATGTCGTTCTGGCTCTGCAGCTTGGCAGCCAGAGGTTTCTGATGTAGGGAGTCAGGGGGGGGGGGGGGGGGGAGAGACGGTAGAAAGAGAGGGGGGAAGGCAGGTCAGCAAGAACGTTCGGGAAGGTGACTCCCTGCATGTCGTTCTGGCTCTGCAGCTTGGCAGCCAGAGGCTACTGCGGGAGGGAGTGAGGGAGGGGGGGCGGGGAGGCCTGCCTGAGAGGGGGAGGGGGAGGGTGCAGGGGATGGAAAGCGGGGAAGGGGTGGAGGTAGGGCATTCTTCGTGAGGGAAGGTGGCTCCCTGCATGTCGTTCTGGCTCTGCAGCTTGGCAGACAGAGGTCTCTGATGTAGGGAGCACCGGGGGGGGGTGGGGGGCGGGGGGAGGAGATGGTGGGGAAGGGGTAAAGGTAGGGTATGACTTGTGAGGGAAAATGATTCCCTGCATGTCGTTCTGATACTGTGCTTGGCCCAGCCCAACCCTAGACCTGAAACCCTACAACCCCAACCCCCCAAAACCCCAAACCCCCAACCCCAGGCTCACGCGGAATATCTTGAGGTGGCCCTCTCTGCTGATCGGGGGGTTGTTGGCCCAGCAGTTCTGGCACTTGGCAATCGGCACAGCACTCCACAGCTCCCTCACCACCTCCTTTGCCGCTAAACCTAGGCCTTAAACCCAAAACCCTCAAACTCCCAACTGTCCCCTCTTACCCTGAATATCTTGCGGTGGCCCTCCTTCCTGATCACGGGGTTGTTGGCCAAGCAGTTCTGGCATTTGGCAAGTGGCACAGCGCTCCACAGCTCCCTCACCACCTCCCTTGCGGCCGCCTCCGCTGCCCACGACCAATTCGCCCAGCCCCCTGCCCCATCCCCATCCCCCACCAAATTCCCCCCTAGGCCTCAAACCCCAAACCCCGAAACCCCTAACCCCCCCCCCTCTTACCCTGAATATCTTGCTGTGGCCTTCTTTCCTGATCGCGGGGTTGTTAGCCAAGCAGTTCTGGCACTTGGCGAGCGGCACAGCGTTCCACAGCTCCCTCACCACCTCCCTTGCCGCTGCCTCCGCTGCCCACGACCAATTCGCCCCGCCCCTTCCCCCATCCCCATCCCCCTCCGCATCCCCCCACACATCCCCCGCCTCGTCTCCTGCCGCGGCCGCTGCTGCAGCGGCCTTCTCAGTTTCTTGCTTCCAGGATTCGTCAATCTCCATCTCCTCCACCCCCTCCTCCTCCCCATCCTCATCATCATTCCCAGCTGCTGGGCCAGCAACGAAAGCAGCGTTCGCTCTAGCGGCCCCTCTTTCTTTCCCTCCTGTTGCCCCTCCTGCTGCCCCTCCTGCTTTGCCTCCTCGTCCCCTGCCGATCTTCCTGGCCTTGGGGGGAATCTTCTGCCCCAGCTCCTGTGCCTCCTTCAGACGCCCCTTGGAGATCAGAGCAAGCCGCAGAGCAAACAGCTTCGTCTGTAGAGGGTGGGGGAGAGGAGAGGGGGGCGGGGGAGGGGGGGTAGGGGGATGGGTAAACCCATCTTACTTGGGGGGAATCTTCTGCCCGAGCTGCTGCGCCTACATCAGACGCCCCTTGGAAATGAGGGCGAGCCGCAGAGCAAACAGGTTCGTCTGGAGGGAGGGAGGGAGGGATGTTGGGGTAAGGCTGTAGGAGTCAAGGTCACCCATCTCACTTGGGGGGAGGGGATCTCCTGCCCCAGCTCCTGCGCCTCCTTCAGACGCCCCTTGGCGATCAGAGCAAGCCGCAGAGCAAACAGCTTCGTCTGTAAGATGGGGAGGGGGGCAGGCAGAGTGTGCAGCGGAAGGGGGGATTGGGGAGGGTGTGGGAGGGAGGGGGGTTGGTCGGGTTTAAGGTTATGAAACTTCAGCAGCATACACCAGCAGGGGGAAGCGCAGCGGATGGAACACAGGCCGTGCACGGCTAAGGTCGCTATTGAGGCGGCTGACAAGCACTGGCGAGGCGGCGAGGAAAGGGGCGTACTTACGTACCACGGCGGAGAGCAGCTTCATGTGGTGGCAGCACAGGCACACGCATCACAGCAGCTTGACTAGGAGCTGGAAGAGCAGCGGACGGATGGTACACGGGCAGAGCCAGCTAGGCGAACCGTTGAGGCTGATTGCAAAGGGTGGTACGTAGTACATACCACGGCAGAGAGCAGCTTCACGTGGTGGCAGCGCAGACAGACACACGCATCGCAGCAGCTTGACGAGGGGCTCGACGAGCAGCGGACAGCACACGGGCACGGGCAGAACTAGCTAGGCTAAGCATCGAGTTTGACTGTGAAGGGTGGCAATACCTACCACGGCGGAGAGCAGCTGGTGGTGGTGGCAGCGCAGGCAGGCACACACATCGCAGCAGCTAGACGAGGGGCTCGACGAGCAGCAGTGAAGAGGAGGGCATAATGTGAACCACGGCGGAGAGCAGCTCCATGTGGTGTGATACGGATTTGAGAATCCTCAAAAACCTATCACAGACGAGCAGAAGTGGTGAAGAGGAGGGCATAGGACGTACCACGGCCGAGAGCAGCTTCATGTGGTGGCAGCGCAGGCACACGAGCTGACTTTTGAGTCGACTCAAAAGTCACATCGCAGCAGCTTGAGGAGGGGCTCGACGAGCAGCAGTGAAGAGGAGGGCATGGTACGTACCACGGCGGAGAGCAGCTTCATGTGGTGAAGAGGAGGGCATGGTACGTACCACGGCGGAGAGCAGCTTCATGTGGTGGCAGCGCAGACACACGCATCGCAGCAGCTTGACCAACAGAGGGAAGAGCAGCGGATGGTACACGGGCAGAGCCAGCTCCAGGTGCCCAAAGTGGCCCGGGCACTGGAAGTAGCCCAGCTGGCAGGTGAAACAGCTGCGAGGGGTTAGGGTGTATAGGGTTGGGGGAACAAAAGGGAGGACGACAAGGGGTTGAGGTGGGTGCACGTGCAGAGTCTAAGGAAGCTGCAGCGGATGACACCAGTGCCAGCTCCAGGTTCCGAGCACTGGAAGTAGCCGAGCTGGAAGCAGCTGAAAGGGGTTCGGGTGGAAGGTTTAAGGAGAAGGGTTTAAGGTGGTGGGCAGGGGAGGGAAGTGGTTGAAGTGGGTGCTCGTGTCGAGGTTTATGGAAGTGCGAGCTCGAAGAGCAGCGGATGGTGGACGGGCAGAGCCAGCTCCAGGTGGCCCAAGTGGCCGGGGCACTGGAAGTAGCCAAGCAGGGAGGTGAAGTAGGCTGCTAGACCCTTTCCTGCCATCTATGTTTCCCCTGCCTACGACTCGCACATCGGCTCTGTCCACAGGGCCAAGAGCGGGGCCGTAGAGGCCCCCCACAGCGGGGCGACACACGGAACCCCTTTTCCTTCCCAGTGAGCATGGCCTTCCTCCCCGCCTGCAACTCGCACATCAGCTCTGTCCACAGGGCCAAGAGCGGGGCCGTAGAACCCCCCCACAGCGGGGCTGCGCAGCCCGTCGAAGAGGCGCGGATTGGTGATGCGCTTCACGCTCAATGCACGATTCTCCCTCCTAGCCCACTCTATACCCCCTCGCCCCCTCCCCCCCCTCCCCCCCGCTCCCCCCCCCCCAACCCCGCAACCCCTTCCTAGTGAATTCACACATCGGGCTTTTCAACGGGGCGCAGAGCGGGGTCGTACAGGCCCCCCACGGATTGGTGATGCGGAGCCAGTCGAAGAGGCGCGGATTGGTGATACGCTTCACGCTGATTGCACAGAGCTTCCTTCCTGTTCCAACCTATCCCAGCTTCCCCTTGCCTCCTCAGGAAACTCACACATCGGCCTTTTCAACGGGGCCCAGGGCGGGGTCGTACAGCCCCCCCACGGCGGGGCTGCGCAGCCCGTCGAAGAGGCGCGGATTGGTAATGCGCTTCACGCTGATCGCGCGCACCTCGTCTGGCATGTAAAACCCGAAACCCACGCCCTCTATCACGCGGCTCACCACCTGGGGCGTTCAGCGAAGAGCGAGAGGGGCGGGGGGGGAAGAGGAAGGGGGGAAGGGGGGCGTGATTGCGCGCGCCTCGACTGCCGTGTAAAACCCGAAACCCGCGCCCTCGATTATGCGGCTCACCACCTGCCGGGAGGGGGGAGAGGGGGGGGGGGGGGGAGAGGGGGAGGGGAGAGAGACGCGAGAATAAGGGGGGTTGATTGCGCGAACCTCGTCCGCTGTGTAAAACCCGAGCCCCACGCCTTCGAACACGAGGCTCATCACTGGTGGGAGAGAGTTGGGAGGGGGGCGGGGGGTGGGGGGGAGGAAGGGAGGGGGGAAGAGGGCGGGAGAGGGGGCGCAAAGACCGGAAGAATAAGGCGTGATTGCGCGCAGCTCTTCCCCCAGGCGGCAGGACCTGATCCCGCGCCCTGAAGCACGCGGGTCACCACCTGCGCGAGGGGGAAGGGAAGGCAGGGGGAAGGGGGGCGAAGCGGAGGAGAAACGCCAGACGGACCGTGAAAGGGAGGAGAGAGGCGGAGAATAAGTCACAGGTGTGTTTTGTTGTGTTTTGAGACGGCTCAACACGCGACATTACACGCCATGGTTGTACCTAAAGGACCAACGCGTGCGTCTAGGGAAAGATAGACGCAGAATAGCTAGAACCAAGGCTCGAGGAGACGATTTCAGAGGCGCCTAAAAAAAATGCCTTTAGGGAAAGGTAGACGCAGAAAAGGCTAGAACCGAAGCTCGAGGAAACGCCCTCCCTCTAAAAGGCTCAAGCAAAAGAGACGTGGGAGGGACGCCCCGTGTTCCTTGCGAAGGAAGTGCATGGTCCGCTCAGCTGGCCTCACAGCACAGCGGAGATGAAGTAAACATGATTTTCAAAGCTGGATGCAAGGTGGCTTTTGAGTCGACTCAATGGTCACCTCAGCGCATGGGCGGCTCGGCTGGACTCAAGGCACAGCGGAGATCGACTAAATCTGATTTGAAAAGTTGGATGCAGCACGCCGGTCCTTTTCGTTCAATGGCTAGGCCATCAGATCGCGTCGTCCGACTTCCAAATCCAGAACGGAAAGAGAAGGGTGGCGAACAAAGTGACTTTTGAGTCGACTCAATTTCCAAATCCAGAACAGAAAGAGAAGGGTGCCGAACAAGGCGAGGCTTCCCTGAGACTCAACTCAACTGAGCAATCCGCACGTCACGTAGCTATTCGGCGCATTAACTAGTCCGCGCATCAACTAGTCCGCACCTCATGACGAGCCGACTTGTTCATGGTCGCATCAACGAGCGACGGCGAGAGCCTAGGCACGGTCACCCGGTATCACGGGCACCAGAAGCACAGAAAGCCAGTTCAGCGGAAGCGGGGAAAACGGTGAGTTGTGCGAAGAAGCGACCGGCTGTCGCGGTTTCCGCGATCTGAGGCGGACAACCCGCTGGTCTGATGGGCGAGTGAGATGCTAGGTAGGGTAAAGGGAGGACTGGGTAGGATCCCTAACCCTAAAAAGGTCTAGGGGTTTGTGGCTGCGGCTGGTTCCAAATGCTAAGGGGAAAAAAAGTCCCCGGCACAAGATAGATCGTCCAGAAGATAGTCAGATACCTACATTATACAGCGTTGGATACAAACGTGTGTGCAGCGAAACGAAAGCAAGCCTTACTAAGGTTTTTGAAGGAAATATTTCCGTACTAAGCTTACAATCATAGGAACCCCTATCAAAGTTAACGAATTACTAGAACAATGACATACAAGGGAATATAACCTAGTGGGTTGTACTCCCTAAGGCACAACCCTGTATAGTATATAACAATATACAAAGATATGTTTGACACACCCCCTAGACTGGATAGGGGCAGTGCCTGGTGAGAGACAAGTAGCTCAGGGTGGCACTACTAGTCCAGCCTCTGAGGCAAGGGTCTAAAGACCTGTCAAACGAGTACAAACAAGGCAAGAGCAAGACCAGGGTGGCACTACTAGTCCAACCATTGGGAAGAGGCCACAGGGCCAGTCGGAATAATATATATAAAGGTCTGTACACAATCAAGGTCCTCGCAAATGAGAGGCTACAGGAACAAAAACTAGCTGTACACAGTGCCGCTGATCATCTTTAGGCGCAAGCGCCTTCGTAAAGATATCAGCTGTGTTGGCATCAGAGGCCAAGTGTACTACGCGAGCCTGGCGACACTGCTGTAGCTCGCGCAGGAGGAAGCACCGCAGCTGGATGTGCTTGTCAGAAACCCAGTCACTAACCACTGGGTTAAAAGGGCTTGTTAATAGCGGGTTAGTGCGCCCATAGCCCCCCAGGCTCTGCACCTGTGGCCCTTCCCCGAGGATCTCAAGGGCAACCCCAGCGGGTCACTCAACAGTGCTTTGCTCTGCCCTCAAGTCGTGGCTCCTAACACAGGAGGATCATGGCCCTGTTGTCAGCATATAGAATCGGGGCAGAGCTAGGCCGCTCACCTAGGTTGGTGAGCAAGAAGGTCAGCCAGCGGAGCTCCTGTGCCGCCATGGCACCAGCGTAGATTTCAGCCTCACAGTTAGACTGGGCAACAGACGAGGAGCAAGTGGACCTCCACAAGATGGTACCTGCACCAAGGCTAAAGCAGTAGCCCTAAGAGGACTTGAGAGTCTCGACGTCGTCTGGCCAAGAAGCGTCTGTGTGTCCGGTAAGGACAACTGGCCGGCGTCCTCCTAGCACTAGCCCCATGCCCGATGTACTTGCTAGATAACGCAAAACCCTCTTAGCTGCCGACCAGTGCTGTGGTCGGTGTCTGCCAGTGGCCACAAAGCGAGCCATGATGCTGAGAGGGTATGCGAGATCTGGACGAGTGCAAGTCATCAGGTACATGAGGCAACCCACCAGCTCTGCGTAGGGACCACTAGGTTCTATAGCCTTCTTCGAGACTGGAGCAGAGAGTCCGTAGTCTACTGGCAGAGGGATGGGCTGTGCGGAAGAGAACTGAAGGCCGAACCTCTGAAGGACCTGGCGCACCAAGTGTGACTGTGTAAGAGTGATGGTGCGTACTGCTCTGTCCTTGGAGATCTCCACGCCAAGGTAGTGGCGCAGCTCTCCTAGGTCAGTGCAGGTGTGTCTCCTCAGCAACTCGGCCTTCACGGAAGCAAGCGCGTCTTTGTCTGCAGTAGCAAAGACTAGGTCGTCTACGCAGACAAGGATGTAGAACGGAGTCTGGTCGGGACGGACGAAGATCGAGGGGTCTGCAGACGAAGGGAAGAACTGCAGGCCGGCAAATGTAGCACGCAGCGTGTCGTGCCACTCACGGGGCGCCTGTCGCAAGCCGTAGATGGGGCGCTGGAGGAGCCACTCGGTGCCAGGGGGAAAAGTACCGGAGAAGCCTGGGGGCGGCGCAGGTAGACCTGCTCGTGTAAACTGCCCTGGAGGAAAGCTGTGGAGACGTCGAGAGAGTGGAGCTCATAGCCACGCTGTGCTGCTACGTGTAGTAGTGCCCGAAGAAAGTCATCTTCGGGGTCAGGGCAAAGGTCTGAAAGAAGTCCACCACCTCACGCTGACTGAAGTCTTGAGCAACGTAGCGCGCCTTGAAGACAGGCGGCTCTCCGAGAGGGCGCTTCACCTTGAAGAGCCATTGGCCATCGACTACGTTCACCCCAGGTAGGGGAACTGCGTGGACGAAGGTACCGGTGGATCTGCAAGATGCCATCTCCTGCTCCATGGCAGCTATCCACTAAGAGGCCCAGGGTCCCGAGGTGGCCTCAGCGTAGGTGCGAGGGGTCAGGATGTCAAGGGCGTCTGGATCACCCCTAGGGACTAGCAGCATGTAACAGAGATGGAGAGCGGCCTCAGACAGGAAAGCGAGCTCGAGCTGCCTGTCCTCTAGGACGTCACTGCCAAGGGCAGCCACACCCCCGACGGCCGAAGGGCAGGCAGGGTCAGAGAGAAGAGCGATGGTGTAGTCGAGGCAGCGGGTAGCGGCGAAGTCAGTGACAGCAGCGACAAGAGCCGACAGACTCGAGACAGGAACGGACGGGTCGGTAACAAGGGAGGGAAAGACACGAGGAACAAGGGGACGCGATGCACGGAGGAAGTCACAGAACGGGGGCGGGGCCACAACAACCGACGACGAAGGAGGAGACGTGAGGAGAGGGGAGCACGAGACACGTGGGAGCGAAGCAACATAGGGTGAGACCACTGAACAATGAAGGTAGGACGAGCACGAGACGGACGACGAGACAAGATGTGAGACGGAGGATTCGGGTCAGGAGAGAGGGGAGGGGACATAGGAGGAGAACGAGGAGGGAAACGAGCCAGAGTGGAGTCCGGGGGAGAAAACACTGGGCCGTAGACCGGCGGAGGAGGAGGCCGCGGCGACGGAGAAGGCAGCGACAGGCGGTCAGGGGAAGGAAGACCGAGGAGGCGAAGAGAGGACACCGGCAGCGACTGCTGCCCGACGCCAACACCAGAACCTCCAGCGACAGGACGACTCCCTCCGAGAAGCTCCACGCCAGGACCCGCAGAACGGGAACTCGCTCCAGTACCCGCTCCAGCACGCTCCCCAGCACCCCCAGAACTCACGAACCCCAGCAGCGGTGACGACGGCGGCTGCTGCTGCTGTGGTAGCTGTGGAGCCGGCTGCGGCTGTGACAGCAATGGCGGCGACAGGGGAGGGGAGACCGGGGCGGGGAAAGGCGAGGGAACGGACTCCGCCGAGCCGCGAGAGTCAGAAGACTCCTCGGCAGAGACAACCGTAGGAGGGGGGTGACGTCAGACATACCAGACGGGGCACGGCGGGGAGGGGGGGGAGCAGGGGCTACCCGTGGAGGGGGGGGAACCAGGAACTTGGGGGGAGTGACCGGGGGACTACGGTGGGGAAAGCGGTGGTAGAAAGAGACGGAATCGTCAGAAGTGACGTCGCGAGAGTGAAAGAAATGGTGAGAAGGCGGGTGGTAGAACTGCCAGTCGGACGAGTCGAGGGGGAAGCCTAAGAAGACACAGGGAACAGTGCGGGCAGAGAGCTTGTCCGTGCCAGAGGCACGGACGTGAGCAAGGCAGCCCCAGACGTAGAATGCAGACTCGTCACCAGGAGACCCGGTCCAGAGGAGGGTCGGCGAAACCTGCGGCCATTGAGGGTGCAGCCACAGGTTAAGCTGGTGGGCGGCGTAGAGAACGGCGAACGGCCACAGAAAATGGGGTGCACCGGCATGGATCATGGAGGTACGAGCCACCTCCATGACCAAGCCGATGCATCGCTCAGTGAACCCATTCTGTTGCGGCGAGTCCGGTAGGGTGAACGTCTGGGTGATGCCCTCCGCATGACAGAAGCGACCAAGGCAGCCAGAGGCGAACTCGCCACCACGGTCAGAGTGAAGATGCAAGACAAGGAGACCTCGGTGAAAACGTGCAGAGACAAGCCACGGGATAAGAACGTCAGGCACGTCGGCCTTCCGCTCCAGGGGAAACACTGGGGTGTAGCGCGTGTAGTCGTCGACAAGCACTAGGAAGTAGCGCTCTCAACGCGGCCCATGGACGGGGGCAGGGCCCAAGACGTCCATGGGCAGGGTCTGCAGTGGTACAGCGGTACGGCAGAGCCGGCCCTCGACGCAGGGCGTGCACGGCGGCACTGGTGAGGAGGGTAGCGCAGGGAACGACTCATGGAGACCTAAGACAAGACCGTGCTGAGACATGTGATGAAGACGTGTGAGGGCAGGGTGACCTAGACGGTGGTGCCACAAAAGCGTCGGGTGAGTAAGCGACCGACACGAGCAAGCCACAGCATCCTGGGTAGACGCAGACACCTGGGGAGACGTCCCAACCGGGGGGGAAGCGGTGTCCAGCGTGAACAGGCCAGACACCGTATCCCGGGGGAACGTGGCAAGGGGAGCACCAGTGGCGGCCTCGGTACAGACAGCGTACCGCTCGTGACCAGGGAAGGTAGTGGTGATGCCAAGGTCCTGGAGGCAGCCGACACCAACTAGGTTCCTAGAGAACGAGGAGATGTGAAGGCCTATAAGGGAGCCCGAAGGAACTGCCGAACAGGGAAGGGTGGTGGAGCTACGGGCAACTACAGGACCCGAGGAGGGGTCTGCAAGGGCAACTGCGGCGGGAGCGGCAAGCGGCGTAAGCGTAGTGGAGTCCCGAACGAAACATGCGAAGCCTTGGAGTCCAGGGTGAAGGAGAGCGTGGCCGTAGTGGCTGGGGTCAGAGGAGCGAGGTTGTAGCTAAGGCTGAACAAAGCAGGGGATCCTACGCCTGACGCAGCAGGGGAGCCTACACTAGGCACACTGGGCATACCTACACTAGGCAACATGGGGTAATAGGGACCACTCACACTAAAGGCATCGAGATACAGCACGTACAAAGTAGAGCTAATCTCATCCATGTCCATATCAAAGATCCTAAGACCACGGCAGAGCAGGCTGTGCCAGTCGTGGAGGTCTGGCACCGGGCCAAAGCGGAGACGAAATAGGTCGTCTAGGCGACTTAAACAACGAGTGGGGGTATGGCTGGTCTTACCGCACACGAGGCCGC